AGTAGAAAGGATGATTTTTGTGTCTTGTGAGTAAACTAGTCACTTTAGAAGGAAATGGAAAATACCACGTGAAAGAGGATGGAGTTATTAGTGGAAATCACGTGACAGAAAGGAAACCAAACTAGTAGTTGCCTTAATAAGCAAGGTTTGAAGTTGGAAGGTGCATAGGTTGACTAGTTGAAAGAGATTGAGCAATCTAGGCTTATAACCTCAAAAGGTTAGGTTGTGACTAAAGAGGTAGGTTGTGAAAGCAAAGTATTTAACTAGTGAAAGTATTGCTGTAAGCAGTAGAAAGGCAGGAAGTAAGGTAGGCAAGTAAGGTGCAGAAGACTAGTTGTATTGTGTAGTTGATGATAATTACTTCACCAAAGTCAAGCAGCTATTCTAGCTAACTATATAGTAGAAATTTAGTCTTTTTGCTTTACTTAATTTACTAGATTAAAACAACTTGATACTTTAGATTGGCTAATTAGACTAGGTCTGTAGGATCTGATTGTTTGAATTAGTAGTAATATGTAGATTACACACTTACAAGGTAGTGATATGTATCAAGTAGTTTGATAGGGTTTGATGGTTTTAGGTGGTTTGATTTTATAAAGATTACTTGATAAGTCTAACTTTAAACCTATATATTAAGGTAACCACAATGGTAATGACTAAGCTGTTTGCTAATTAAGCATTATAAGTGACGTATTTATAAGTCTACAAAAGTAGCTAAGTCATGTGATAACTCTTTACCTTATAATTTGCATTTGAGTCAAAAAGACTTTCCTGTCAAAGACAACTCTAACCTTAAGGACAGGGTAGCCTGGCAAGTCTAGGGTAACCTTGCAAGTACAGGGTAGGTGTAGAAAATCAAACCACTTAAAACCTTCAAACCCTGCTAAACCACTTGATACGTATCACCACCTTGTAAGTGTGTGATCTACGTATTACTACTGATTCAAACAATCGGATCCTACGGACCCGGTCTGATCAGCCGATCCGAGGTATCAAGTTGTTTGATCTAGTAGATCAAGTAAAGCAAGAAGACTGAATCTTTACTATATAGTCAGTTAGATTAGCCGGCTGACTTTGGTGAAATCATCATCAACCATACAATACAACCAGTCTTCTGCACCTTACTTGCCTACCTTACTTCCTGCCTTTCTACTGCTTACAGCAGTACTTTCACTAGTTGAATACTTTGCTTCCACAACCTACCTCTTTGGTCACAACCTAACCTTTTGAGTATTTCTATATAGCGTTGGCATTGTAAATATTAATCTTTAGGTTTTGCAAAATAGGCTAGCTTACTAAGACTAAAGCGTTGAATAGATTGCAGTTAACTGCTACAAAAGGCTTAATTACTTTAATGCTATGCTTTTAGCAGTTAGTAAGTTTAAGGCGCAAGTAATAGACTTTGTAAGTCTTTACTATAGTTTTGCTAGCACTTTTAATTTCTAGTATTAAGTGATTATGCTTGCGTTGCTACCAAAGCTTTAAGCTTATTAGTCTAATGTAGTTAAAGGCTACTAGGTTTAACTTAGCGTAAGTGTTTAGGCTAATCAAGACTTTCTTAGCCTTGCTATTAATAGCCACTTTTCCTTAGGTGTTGACTGCTTTAACTGCTTTTAGGTAGTTGGTAAAGCTTGTGTTAGAGACTATGCAACTTTCTAATCGTTTTTTTAGTGCTTAGCAATATGCCTGTTAGAATTAGACATAGCATAGTTGATGTTAGTGTTGTTGTTAAGCTTTGTAACCTTTTTAGTAGTAGCTAGTTAGGCTTTAGCCTTATAGGCAGCGCTTGCAGGCGCTGTCAAAAAGGTTGTTATGGTAGTATTAGCAGGTGGGTTTGGGTTATACTAACCTTGGCAGTCTTTTGAAATGTGCTTTGCTTTACTATACTTAAAGCAAAGGTGCTAGTCTTTACAGCGTTGCTTTTTAGCGTTAGTTATCTTGCTAGAGGATTGCAACTAAAAGCTTTAACTGCAGTTACTGCAGTTGTTACAGTTACTACTGCAGTTATTGTTAGCTAGGCATTTGTTGCAGTCTTTGCTATAAGACTAGTTATTGCCTATAAAGTTATGGTTAGGTTAAGGCTTGTTAGTATTATAAGTCTTTCAAACCTTTTAAGCATTGTTAAGCAGCTAATTAGTAGCAATGCTAACGCAGTTGATTTGTATAAGGCTGTTATGCAGCTAGTTGGTAAATTGGTATAAAAGGAGGTTGTAGCTGATTGTTTGGCTAGCTTTGAGGGCTAGAGACTCTAGTTAGGTATAGAAGTTGACTAGGCTTTCACTATCTTTTTGCTAGGCTTTAAACTACTTCTAAAGGTTGTCTTGACAGTTAGCTTGTATGTAAGAGTAGTTTTGTTAAACCTAGCAGACAAATTTACGCTAGTAGTAGCATATATATAAGTAGGCATTGATTGCTATATGCTAACAGTTCTTTATAGTCTAGTCAAAGTAACTAGTAGCAAAGGCAACCTATATATTAGCAGTCTAATATTAGTTAAAGTCTGCAATAAAAGCAGTCTTGAGGTTGTTAAACTAGCCGTAGTAGTTGGCAAGACTTTTGTTAGCTTTTAGTATGGTGATTTTGTCAATACAGGTGCTTTTTAAGCTAGGGTAGGCTTTAAAGTAATTGTTAAGCTTGCTGTCTTTGTTAAAGAATAGCTAGTGAAGTCCTAGGTAAGACCTTTAACTAAAGGCCTGGCAAGACCTTTAATTAGGCTTCTGGTAGGCTTTTTGAGCTAGATTTGCAGCTGTATTCTTAGGCTAAGGGGTAGCAGGTTGGCTCTCTTAGACTATACTTAAGCCTAGCGTATTAGTAGGTTGCAACAACTTGTTGTTAGTCTTTAAACCTAGGCTAGTAAGTTGCTGCGCTTTGTTGTAAAGCTTTACTGCCTTGACAAAGGCAGCTAGCTAGTTACCTAGAATATAGGCGCTGTTTATGTAGTATTGGATTTGCCTATGCAAGTAAGAGTAGACGTAGTTAATATTATAGGCTAGGTAGCCTTTTAGGTTTGTAGTAGTAGAGGCTACTTGTCTAGCTAGTAAAGCAGTAGTAGAGGAGTCTATTGCAAGGCTAGTGGCAGAGTTAATGCTAGGTTAATTAAGCGTGCTAGTGTTGTTGTTGTTATTTGACATTGTGGAATTTGGTAGGGTTAGTGTATTGGATTAAAGGCAAAGGCGTGCTATATAGCAAGCTTGTTGAAAGAGGCTTTAAAGTTGTAACAAGTTGCAAGACCTAGGTTAGCAGCAAGACAGAGGCATAGAGGTGATTAGTCTAACTGACTTATACAAGGTAGCTAATTGGCATGGGTTTTGAAGGAAAAGGCGGTTGCGATAGTATTGCTAGTAAATTAGGTAGGAAACTGTCTTAAGCAGCTTTTTGGCTAGAATGTATATTAAAGCCTGCCTTTGTAAACCTTTAGGCAAGTCTATCGCGGTTTTTAACTTAGGGCTGCCTAGCAGTCTCTATGCAAGCCCCTTGCGAAAACACTATAAGACTGTCGACTAGGCTAGCTAGGCCTTCCTACTCTGCAAGGTAGGACTGTACTAATTACAGGGCCTTTCAATTGAAGGCTGCGCTTGCGCTAATCACTTGAAGCCACTTATGCGGCAGACCAAGCCACCTTAGCCACTAAGCTTTCCTAAGCCCCATGCGTGGGGGCTGGGGCAATATTGACCTGGGCCTTTGGGGCGTAACAAGTGATATGTATTAAGTGGTTTGACAGGGTTTGATGGTTTTAGGTGGTTTGATTTTCTGCACCTACCCTATACTTGCAAGGCTACCTTAGACTTGCTAGGCTACCCTAGACTTGCCAGGCTACCCTGTTCTTAAGGTTAGGGTTGCCTTTGGCAGGAAAGTCCTTTGGACTTCAAATGCCAATTATAAGGTAAGGATTAATCACGTGACTTAGCTACTTTGTAGGCTTATAAATAAGTCATATATGACGCTTAATCAGCAAACCGCTTAGTCATCACTATTGTGGTTACCTTAATATATAGGTTTGAAGTTAGATTATCAAGTAATCTTTATAACATGCCTAGCTAGCTTCTACAAGATTTCCTTAAGCCATATACATGTTGCCGACCCAGTAGTAGTACCACCTAATGATACCAGGATTAGGCGAAGCTCTAGACTATTCGATCACACTCACCTGAAGGACGGTTCGGCCATGCTTAAGTATTCCTTGGCTCTGAAAGGAACTGATGACCTCATTGTAACAACCTAGGCTAGTGTAGCATCTGCCCAGGTTGTTGTAGTTCATGGTCATATTGCCCTTGGCCCCAGTAGCAACAGTCTCTTGGCACACCAGATGGAACCATAAGACCTCAGTGTAGCTTCCCAGTGACAAGTTGAGGTTTCCGAGGTTGTTCATGACCACCTAGATATCTTCGGATGTCTCAAGCCACTTCTAGAAATCAACAGCCACGTTTTGTCTAGTAACGTCAGCTTGAATGCATATCTATATTCTCAGGAGATCTTGCCCGTCTTTTGGAGCCAATTCAGCAGAATGATTCGATTCTTGGTATTTTTGTCGGCCAAGTCCAGGCCAAGCAAGTGAACCGCTTCAGTGAAGCTCTGTTCCAATGTAAGAATCTCAAGGGAGTTACGCAGGTTAGAGCGAACAGCGGGATCTTACAATATAAGGCGCGGGGCGCGAAGGTTTCGGCACGTGGTGCCGAAACTGCTGAATCTTTTGGTTCATTGTGACCTAGTCGATTCGCGCGCTGGTTCTTACATCCAAGCTAATCAAGGTCTAAGCATGGATCTAGAAGACGGCGTCGTAGTTGTTGGCATGCTGATGCACATACATCAACGCAATCTGGCTTTTCCCAACGCCCCCAATGCCGTAGATGGCGGTGGAGAGGAGAGTCTGCTGATCCGGGCGTGGCGCGAGGTAAGAGTGAATTAAGGCCAGTTCATCATCCTTGCCGCAGAAATTAGTGTCCTTCAAGCTCGGTTGCATATAATTAAGGCAAGTTAGGTCCAGCTGTCTTGGGGGCCTCCTAAGGACTCTTCGTGTAGGAAGGCTTGAAGTCGGTGGAAACCATCTGTATGAGACTTCGAGAGTGGCAGAGAGATGATGCGGGCGTATACGGTCGGCGGCTTCTTCTAGTTGTGACGACTGTTCGAAATTGGCTTGTGATAACGTCCCAAATTGTGTCTTTCAAGCCAGCGAGGGCACTGTCTCTAAAAGCGAGAGTGACTAGTTCCTTCGACACCTCAATGTAGACGTTCTTCTTCTGCTCCTGTTCTTCATGCTTTTGCATCGTCTCGTTCATGTACTCAAGTTTGATGCCAATGGTTTTCACCATGCGGTTAATGCAGTCCAGGGCGCAGCACAACCAAGCGGAAGCGTTTGAAACATGCAGATGCTCGGGAGGCAGCACCTTAATGACCAAGAACAGCAATCCCCACATCATGGAAACGTCCGCCTTGTTGCGCATCAAGGCAACCAACGAGTTCGCAAATTGCTCGTAATGATCGAGGACGGGAATGACAAGAAGGGGGACACCAGCCTGCTCAGAGCCCTGCGTGTAGTTCTCAAGCAATGAGCTTGCTTGGTCTCGGAAGATCTCTGCTGACTTGACCATGAGGGCGTCCTTGAGATCATTCCGTTCAAGGCCCTTTGTGCACCAAGCGATAGTCGATTTCCATGCGTCCACATAGATCTGGTCGTTTCCAGAAGTCAGACCCCATCATGGTGAATTCGGTGTGTCGAGTCCGCTCTGGAATATACTTGGCCAAGCGTCTGTGGATCCCGTGAGCTTGCGTGAGAGAATGCCTCAATCTCAAGCAAAGGACGCAAATGTCTCTCGAGATAGAAAGCAGCGATATTATCCTTACTGTAAATCGATACCAAACGTTGACAAACCCGATACTGCAAACGTCAGTGTTACTGTCATCAAATACTTGGACCAATGGATAAGGGTGAAGACCAGGTGAGCCTTATACTGAACTTTCCGCCCGAAACTGAACTTCCCGCCTGATACTGAATTTCCGAAGCACCTTCCGTGGGTACGCCGGCCATCGTCTCAGCCCACCACAATCCCAATACGAGGCACTGTTTCTCCAGGCAGCTAGATCAGACTCCCTAGCGCCTTTGCCAGACTGAATCGTCGGTCATCCATAGGCCGCTTCCAGAACTCCTTGGTCTTTTCCAGCTTCTGTCTCGCCGCCAAAGCCTGCCTGTCGCGAAGCCTTCCCCAACTTTTCCGTTCGCCAACATCGCATCGCCACCAGTCCTGAGCTTGGAATGACGACAAGTGCCGGTAGCTTTGTTCTCTTGGAGGACAAGATCCTAAAGAACGCTCCCCTAGTGGATAGAGTAAGCCAGTCTCCTCCACCAGACTCAATGCTCCGGCAAGACTCAAACCCAGAAGCTTCTAGACAGCGGGGCCATAATAATTGGCAAGAGCAACCTAAGCGTAAGGTCTCCTCCCTGCATCCCCGCAGGTAACCCAGCTAAATTTATGACAGGAGTTATGTGCATTCAAGTAAGGCGCCTGGCTCATGCTCGCCGCCGGCTTCGAAGATAAATGTGACAGGGGGGAAGGGCTCATTGACGGGTTTTCTCCCGTAGGAGGCCAGACCACGTCACCGTACATATATGGTGACATTCAGCTCGATGAAGGAGATCTGTCGCCATCAGTAGGACCAGAATGTTATGCAGCACGAGATGCGTCCGTTTTCTGACAGCTTCGCAGAGCCCCGGCGGCTCCTCGACCGGGAGTGCCGTCAGCCTTTCGGCCAGCTTCGCGCTCATCGGAATCGGCACCGAGAACGACGGATCGATCGTGCAGCCGTCATCTAGACAGTCCTTGTACTCACTGAAGCCAACTCAAGAGGTAATCACGGCCGAGAGTTGTTGGCGCGTATCCAAAAGCCTCGACACCCCCGGAGCCATGGCAAGGTCTACTCGCGACGTGGCGGCAGCGACAGAGGTCCTCCTGGACCCTGCGGCGAGTGCGAAACTACCTGGAGGTGGCTACACGTCCTTCTTGGCGGGATCATTTGAGAGGTTGAAGATTGGCTTCGTTGATCCTACCCTCTGGCGCTTCCCACCTGATCTTTGGGTTCCCAGCGATGAAGCTAAAGAACAACACGTGAGTGTATACAAAAGTCCCAGTCGAAAGATAGTCTAACATTCTTCAAGGATGCGTATCATAACGCGAGAGCTTTGGTGGAGTCACTTGGCGCAAAGGTGGTCTATCCCGCGACCTTGCCTGAGCCCAGCAAGTTAGAAAATGATGGCGACTACACACCTTTCGTCGTGAACTGTACGTGGCAAACCCTCTCATCCCCCTACTCTCCACTCACATGATTCAGCCTTCGAGATCGCAGACACAGTAAAGGAGTTTTTCAGTGACTACGTCGATCCGGAGTCCACGATCCGGGACCTCTGCCATATTGTCAACTTCAACAAACAGCACTCAGAAAGCTGCTTACCGAAAGGTAAAGGAGTCTTGTCCTTTGCTTGGCTCTGTGTTAACCCTTGCCATAGATGCACCAGATCAATCTTGGCTCGTCAGGGCTGTCGAGGAGAAACCGTCGCAAGAGAGATACGAGGCCGCTTTCCAACACATGCGCCGGGTCGGGAGGGATGAGGGACTCAAGAAAACCCTTCGCGATAATGATCTCGACATTGTAATCACTCCGATGGATAGCCCTGTGTGCTCCCTCAGCATGGCTTCTGGTAACCATCAGTCCTCAAAAGGATGTCTGAACTGCGAGTAACCTTTACAACAGGATATCCAATCGCTAATGTTCCTCTGGGGAGGTACCACCTTAAAGGGGAGCCCAGCCATCCGTTTGGATTGGCTTCTCTCGCCCGTTCTGAAGGCGAAGGCACTCTCTTCCAATTCATGAGCGCCTACGAGGCCAACTTTCCAGCTAGGGTTATCCCGGAGCGGCTGCTAAGGTCCATTCCAGAGCAATCCGCCTAGGCATACGTCTCTGGCTTGCTTGGGGAAATCCAGGCTGCAGAGAAATAGCAGGCGTAAGTGATATACATGTTGATATTGGCCTCGAGGTCCATCTTTAGGTTTGCAAGGAAGATGTCGCCCTGGCAGCTGTAGAACACCCTGTTGTGTTGAAAGCCTAGATTAAGACGATATCGAGTGAGTGGTGTACCACCATTCCGCGTAGAACGAGTTGATAGTGTCTGCCCAGCCCAAAGGAATAACTCCTAGCTCAGACTTGGTCACGGTCGCCCACAGAAGGCGCGTTAGGCAAAAGGGGGGCCGAGTACGGCTCAGAGAGAACTTGCCAGTTTCTTGAGCCATGTGGCAAAGATGCCGAATCATCTCCTCTCCACCATGCCGGCGCCCTCTCGTATCACTGCAAGTGCCGTGTCACTTGGCACCGTGATGTTGTTGATCGGGTCCGACCGCTTTCGCAATGCCTTGTCCCTGACAATTGCCCGCTACACGCGCGAGTGCCAGTCTGGCATGGTGGAAGGCTTCCATCCGCGCTTCTTCTCCGCTTACTTAGGTCGGAGTCGGTCATCTCATCCCAGTAGCCAAGAAGGTTGGTGAAATCGACGCGGATATCGACAGGCTCGTCGGCTCGTTTTAGGGTGATGGCGTGGAAGTTGTAGTGAATTTTGACCTCGTAGACAGGGCTGTGAAGGCCTGCCAGAGAACGTTGCTCGAGGACGTGACTCGAAAGTTGGAAGCCGGTGTCGGCGAGCTTCATCGACACGATGCGAGCGAATGGGCCCTGACCAACGTGGTCGGGCAAACAAATGACGGTGTCCTCTGCCCGTCTATCCGGATACTCTCGCACTCAGCAGAGCCTGCCGGGTAGTTGCAAAACACGTGGAAGACCTCTTCTGTATGGTCGAAGACAGAGTCCGTGAGAGTCTGATTGGGTGGCGAGGATGGAGCGCTTTACCGCCGGGATCTCCTAGGTGCGGCGGACTACTGTGTGGGACGTGGAAAACGAGGTATCCAGGGAGCCATCGGGACCCTCAAGCATGATGAAGCCATAGGCATCTGAGCCATCCTCGGAGCTCCACTTTGAGTCATCATTGTCGTTGTTGGTGAGTCGTCAGTGTATTCCCACAGGACGACTGCGTGATCTGGGTCGTCGTAAGGGATCTGTCCAACTTTCTTCGGGTTGACCGGCCACTTCTTGTTGTATTTGCCTGGTGGACTGCAGCAGCAGGGGAGTGCACGCCAAGGAAGGGCGGTATGGCAACGCTGTCGCAGGACAGGGAGTTTCTGCCTGCATTGAGCTCTGGCGAAGGGGGCGATCTAGAGCGTCGCCGGGCTTGAACCTCCCGTTAGGGCACACCTGGTTAGGCCCCAGCTCACCCGAGGTCCCGCTAGTGCAGGTCGGTGTGATGAAGCAATTCTGACCTGTGTATGTGCCGAATCCATCAGCCAGAGCGGCGGCCTGGTCGGGGCTAAGACCGCCCCGGAACCCCCCGCCCTAGAAAATCATCCATCTTCGCAACGTGAGTGCTGGGGACAGCGGCGACGGCGGCCCCGAACTTCACGACGTCATGGTGCACGCCCAAAATCGACCCGAGCGCCACTCCAACAACAGCCAACATCACCTTTAACGAGACGGTGTCGTCGCTGATCGCTCAGCGCACGACCTACTGCTGGCTAACGCAGGACGACGGAGACAACGGCTTCTACCCGGAGAGCTGCCGGGCGGGTGCCAGGCGCTGCTGGACAGGTATTGCTTCGCCAACGACGACAAGCCGGTGCCCACCTATCCAGCCCGCACCCCCGTCTGGACCTCGGACCGCTCCGACTACGACACCGATGACCCTTCCACCACGGGCGTGCCGGCTGGCTGGCCACGCAGTTACAGCCGAGCATGGTCGACGGCTGCCAGAAGTTCTACAAAGTCGTGAGCGACGATACTTGTGACAAGATTGCGAGCGATTTCGACATCACTCTGGAATTAGTGAGTTATTGTTGTTTTCTTTCCCCCCGTCACATGGGCTGTAAACTCCAGCAATGGCTGACCAAGATATACACTAGTTCTATGGGTGGAAGGAATCGCGATGCTGGCACCAACTCCCAGGGGCTTGTCTTGAACTATTTGTGTCTGGTCAAGGCCTGGAAGCAAGGAATAGTGATCGCTCGGGACCTGAACACTCGTTGGTTGCATTTACGTCTGGTTACTAGGACTTTCCATATTCCCTCCACCAAAAGGGGTTGCTTCGTGAACATAATTAGCCGGGTTCGTGATGACAAGCAAGTCAGAGCAGATCTTCCACATCGTATAGTGCAGCGCCCATCCCACCGCGCGCGCGATATTTCTCCCCCAGCTCGCCCTCGAGTCAATAGTCCTGGTCCCACCAGCTCGAGCGGAACCAGGCACCCCTCACATCGAACAGCTCTTCCAACGGGAGCCTCGGGTGCCTCACCGCGTTTCCTCTCGCGTCGAGAAAGATGACACGCTGGCGGTCGCTTGCCCACGCCTCGGCGTCCGCGATGACGAGAAACGACTCAACCGCCAGCACCTGAAGATCAGGGGCGGCGCCATCGCCCGTCTCGGCACAGCCCTCCTTGTCCTCGGCCGCTTGTACATCCTCCCCTAGCCGTTGGCGGAGTTCCCGGACCTTGGGCCCGACCGTGGGGCCATCTAGATTGCGAGAGCTCTGCTGCAGCGGTCCTGCAAGCTCGGGCAGCACGTCGAAGACGTCTTGATAGTTCCAGATGTGGATCGCGGCTTCATGTCACCTGAGTGGCCGCCATGGTTGAAGGATATTCTGGACCTCCATTGGCTCCATAGGTCGGGGCAGATGCTTAGACGTACGATGAGATACTGCTAAGCCGGGAAGGCTCCCCACGGAGGAGACATCTCGGTTCCTGGATAGGAAGGACAAAGTGATGCTAGACAGGAGGGGAAGTCTGACAGATATTGGACAAGCTACCTAGGTTTACCTAATATCGAGATTGGGCTGCTTATATGCCCCTGAAATGGCCCCACAATCATCCGAACAGCCGGCATACAAACAAGCTTTGCTCCCGAGCGGGAGGGTACACGTGAAGGGAGGTCACTTTTGATCGCTAAAGTAACCTGGTAGAGCGCTGTATCAGCACTAGGTACCTACTCTGTCTTATTATTTTGCCTTGCACCTGACGGCTTTGCTTTCCATTGCTTAGAGCATTTGATGATACGAAACTCGGTTCCGTCGAAACTGTAGTGATGATTTAAAATACTTGAAGCATTCCAGGAATTGCATCAGGTGTCGTCGGGCTTCCGTTGTCGGGTGTGGTATAGATAGGTACCTAGGTAGGTACTACGTAGTACGAATGCCCTATAAGGCTAGCAGGGGTATGCTGATCTCTGGCCAGGGGTAAAAAGCTTGGTCGAAATTGCCAAGGCTCATTGATCGACGACCGTTGATGCGACTCCAAGCTGCCCTGCTTCCAACTTGCTTCTGGAACGCTTCAGCCTGAACTCTTCGTGCCTTGTAACTCTCATGTGCATCGAACCACTTGACAACGAAAGAGGATCACCTACTTTACCGGAATTGCTGAGTGGAATCGATGCGCTCTCCTGATCTACTCCGAATGCTCCTGAGGAACCAGGCCAATGTTGCGGAAAAGGACCACCGATATCTTCCTACCCTGGACCTTCCTACCAGGGCTGATTATGTATACACGCACCCCGCACCCCCCACCACAACGGAGGATACATAGTAGAGAGAGGTAAAGAGCAGGGACGAAAAGGGGGATACAAGAAGAAACCCCTTCGCCGAGTTCCGTGACATCATGGGAATCAAGAGTTTTGCCATTTTTTTTCCCCTCGCGATCGGCTCGAGTGACATATCGTATTCTCTATTCCCTACCGAATTCCAAGCCCCATGGGATATCATCAGTACGGAACCAGCGCCACAACGCTGGGTTAGCAAAAAGCTGATACGCTCCGGCCCAGTCTTAGGACCAGACAAAGCGATGCTGGGTTTACGGAGGAACAACACGCTTCCAAGCGTCCCACCTTTACGCCATCAATCGGCAGCGCATGCTGGCTTCCCCTGGCGAACCACCACATCTACAGTCCTCGAAACAGCCCGGCTTTCTTGCAGTCACTAATAGCTGCGACCGAACATGACCCACGATTTCGCGAGCCGCTCGCATTCCGGATTCAGGCACTTTGTCTCGCCTTGGACGAGACCATCGGGCTAATTCGGGACATTCAAGAGTCAGCAGTTTGCCTCCACATGCCGTAGTGCACTGATCCTTGGCGTCACAAGCACGTACCTGCTCGAACGGGATGCACAAGCTCTTCATGCCCATGCTTGGCTGCCTCAAGCCATCTGGTCCAAGTTCCTGATTCTCATCGCTCTTTGTCAATTCCTTGATCCGCTCCTCACATGCGGGCTCCTCGCAAAAGGGGATGAGCACCACGTTGCGCGAGTCCAGGGCAGGGACGACCTGCGCCCAGTCTCGTAGGATTAGCCGATGGGACTTGAAAGACGCATCCGCCTTGTTGTACATGTCCTGCTGGATCGTCTCGAGCAGCGCGGGGACCTGCGTGGCGAGCTCGGCAATGGGGATCGTTCCCTTGGAGCCCGTGTCGCGGCGAGCATAGGTTACGACCGAGGCAGCGGCGTCCTTGGGCCCGAACTCGAGGCGCAGGGGGATGCCTTTCATTTCCCAATCTGCGAATTTGAAGCCGGGCGTACTGGTGTTGACGATGCGGTTAGCAGTCGAGGTCTCAAAACTAAAAGAGAGGAGGGGCAACATGGGGGGAGGGGTGAACCAAGGAAGTTCCGAGCTGGGGGATAGGTGCCTGGATTACGCAGGTTATACTCACTAGCCATCACGATCATCAATTTCGACACGAACCTTGGCTTTCCTCAAAGATGCCCTGAGCTCGTCGACTTGCTTCATGTGGTTTGCTCGATCTTCAGGGTTCATCTTGGCGGTCAGGCCGACAGGAATCAAGATTGCCTGGATCTTAGTCACTCGGGGGGGAAGGACGAGGCCCTTATCATCTCCGTGCAACATGACCATGACGCCAATGACACGGGTTGACAAGCCCCTATTCCAACGACCACATTAGTTAGAAAATTGTCCTTATCGGAGGCCGGAGGGAGGTATTGGGGCATGGGGAGCAAACGGGCATATCTTGGTGGGATGTTGTCCGGTGCGCTCCCCGGCCATAGCATAACGCCCCTTGTCTTCGGCCTGGAACGGGCATCCGCACCGCCGAAAATACATACCAGGAATTCTGCCAAACGAATATCTTTTCGCCCTTCTTCTCTGGGTCCTCCACTGTAATGTCAAACATCTTGCTAAAATTCTGTCCAAGAGCACTAGGATCCCTTGTTAGCTCGGCTCACACCTGAACCAACGTCGCCAGAAAAAAAAAGACGGCTGTGCATGCTTACTGAGATGTCGCCCCCTGGATCCCGCGACCATTTGTCGGGATGTAAGCCTCGCAAGTTGATGTCCAGTACCCGCCGGCGAATTTTTCGTTTTCAGTCTTTCTGTACAAAGTCGAGTGATCAGTGAAATATCCAGGGGACTCTGAATGTTGGGCAACAGAAGATATCTAGTACGTACTTGCCGCGCACGACAGGAACAGCCAGCAATTGCTATTTGAAGTTAGCAACGTTCCATTTGGTAAAAGCAGGGCCCTTTACCTCATAGACGCCGGCGTAAAGCTCCAGGATTTCGAGCACTTCCTTCTCAGCAAGTGCCTCGCTAAGATGGGCACTATTTAAACATCAGACCACGTCCTCAGAAATGGGTTGGGGGTTACAGACGTGTGCCCTTCCTGCCAGAGGAACTCTCTCGTTCTCAGAAATGGCGTTGTTTGTTTCGCTTCCCACCGGACCTGTTACGTTCGGGCAAGTTGTGTCAGTTCCCTAGAAACATCAACATGGAGATTTCGCGGTTGCTTACAACTGAGTTCCATTGATTCAACCGGAAGGGGAGGTCCCGATGCGATCGAATCCACTTCGAGTAATAAGGGTACATGACTGCTTCTGAGGTAGGGCGGACCGCGACGGGGACCTGCATCAGCCATTGTGTCAGTTCCCTGTCCTGGAAGCAGAAGCCCGAGGGGAAAGAATTCGCCGACCTCCAAGTCTTTGTCTCCCCTAGAGAGTGTTAGTCGTGAGGTCTAGCCCATGTAAACAACCGTAATCTTAACTTACGCCTTGGTTACCCATGCCAGCTCAGGAGCAAATCCTTCCACGTGTTCCCTATATTCAGGGGTCAGCCAGTCCTCCTTCGAGGTAGTTTTATTTTATAGGGTGGGTGCAAAACTCTCGGGAGTCTAGTCCACAGCCTTTGATCCCAGGAATACATACTTCTCCTACATTCGAAGTTAGTCTTAGTCTCAATGGATATGCGCTCCTAGGGGCAGCCCTTAGGTAACCGTGACCAGAAATGGGAGGCTTGCTGACCTTTTCCAGTGATTTGGAAGACAAAAACATGGGGAAGTTCGTCTCTTCGACCCCCATGTCTTGGATCCTCTCCTGGAACCAGGCGCGGATGACGTTCCAGATATGCATTGCGGCCGCTGCCCATTTCCCAGCGTTAGTCTGCCGATCGAGGATCTGGGAAAGGTTGTCTTACGTCGGAGGATGAAAAAGCCGGAAATCTGTCCAACATCTGTAGTTAGCAAAGGCTGTCGACAAACGGTAACATATACACAGGGATTTCTCTCTCACCTCGGAATAGTATTCCACAAGCTCAGCCTTGATCACCAGGTCGTGGTACCACTGGCTGAAGTTGACTTCCTTCGAGACAGTCATGCCGATGATCTCCTTGGACTCGTCGCCCTTCTTGGCGCCGCCTCCTCCAACGATGGGGACTGTGGTAGCTCGCGCGGCCGCTTTCTCGGCTTTGGCAGCAGCCATCTTCGCCTGCTTTTCGGCCTTCTTCAGCGCGCTCTTCGATGGCCCTTGTGCATCTTCCATGGTGGCTGTTTCTCGTGGATTCGCGTCCTGGTTTTTTGAATTTGTGGGAAGAATTGGACAAAACAAACCTGAGCCCCAAATGACTCAGGCGCGGGGCTCGCGGGGTATGGCACCCCGCCGTGGGAGAGTCATACCGCCCGTTGCGCGAAGTGGGTGAATCACGTGCTGGGCGTCCGGCACCAAACCTCCTCTCGCCTGGCTCTGCGAAGGGGTCGCATTCGAGCCGTTAGATCCACAACATTTGCACCGTTTGTGACCTGGGAAGAGGAATATGAAGTCTAAATGGCCAGATCCAGATCTTCTAGTAGCACAAATGAAGGACACCGGGCTCTAGCAAACTGATGTCGTCGATCCCAGCCCCTGCAAAATAGGTATGCGCACCTCTATTTTGCGAGCATCAAGAGCTTCTCCGAGAAGGCTTGACCTATTGGGGGGAATCCTACGTTGTTGATTAAAACCGTAATCCTGTGACTCTCCCTGAGTCGCCTCTTTTCAGCGATTGCGACGGTACAAGTGTCGTTTTTAAGGGGCTCTAATGTGGCCTGGATGTGAAATCGGTGATAAAAAGGGGTTAATCAACACTGGCTAGCCCCTTTCAACTGCCCGTCCACGAGTGACTCTATCTGCTGTGCTATGATGAGTGGCATTGGTGAATTGAAGGCCACGTACCGAGTCTGGATCAATGTCGAAAGCTGGCTGATCAGAGGGTACCAGACTGTGAAGCTCGACTTGCGAGCCACAGAGATATGGAGCCACTCAGCCTAATAGTGCTTGTAATAGCACCATGCTCAATAAAGCTGGGGGTCATAGTCAGACCTTTGGGGATGTGCTGTTCATTTGAATGAATACAAGCCCATTGAAATACGCATATCCATACACTTTCGCTTAACGCCCTTGGGTATCGTCCTCGAGAGTATATTAATCCAGAAAATCAACAGGCTTGGTTTCTCTCTTTCCACCGTCTGGATATGCCATATGTATGTATCCCGCCCCGAGCTCATCAGTCCCGCGCAGGCGGGACTCGCTCAGATGGCGGCAGATTTCTCCCTTCCGAGTCCCACATAGGCGCTTTTGCATTACCCTTCCTATTCACCTCCCTCCTCCGTCCTTCCCCACCAACCCGACTCGGATCTTCACGCTGAGAGCCATTGTCCTGATCCGGTTCACCGACAAGCCGTGGGCGTTCTGATGGCGGCAGCATCCTAGACCCCTCGCCCTCGTCCTCGCCCTCACCCTCGTCCACCAGCTCGCCGGCAGCGGTATCATAGTCTGGCGGCTCGACCCACTCCCGCGGTACGACGCATGGAAGCGCTACGCCAATGCTAGCCGCCCGATTCAACCACCCGGGGCCGGGACGGCCGGTTAGTTTTTGGCACAGGTACGCCGTGAAGTGGTTGCAATTTTTTGTGAGAAGGTTATATGCTGTCCCGGAGAAGTTATCTGAAGCTTCATGGATTATGGCATCGATTTCCGCTTGGGACGCAAGGGTGAAGCCGTGAAGGATCTCGCATTTGAACGTGCCGCCGGGAGGTTCAGTCTTCGGCCTTGTCCAGTAGACGCCTGTGACGCCGCGCCTGTCGTGACCTCCATATGCGTACTCTTTATCGTTGATGACGACGCCCGAGTGCAGTAGCGAGGTGCCAAGGAACCAAAGGGTCGAGGATAATCTGCCGGGCTGTTTGGTAAGAGGTTGCACATTAGCTGATGATCTTGACGCTTGGTGAGTGGGATGCTTGGATAGTCCATACAGGAAGCAGGTCATAGACGTTGATTATTATCTCAGTCTTCTGAAGAGATAGCGTCGATCTGTGAGACCGGCCGGGTTTTTGCGGCTTTCGGGTAGGCATGGCGATTCTGCGATGGTCGACTGGAAGTGTGGGAAGGTGGGAGGAAGGTGAAGAGGTTCAGGCGGTTGATCAGTTCCGGAACTAGACAAGGTTGTGGATATGGGCTTGACAATCACTCGTTCATGGCTGTGGAAATGAAAACGCAGAAGTCTCGCAGTGTCCGGCTAGATGTAAGCGGCAAACTGATGCGGATGACGAACAGGTTCTGGGAGTTGGTCTCTCGGTGCGATGAGGCAAGATGCTCCAAGGCGGCCAATGAGATGAGTATGGAGTCCCGGCATTGGGGTAGCCAGAAAGTTAAAGGAGCCAAGGCACGTATTTCGTCTTATGAATACCTAGATAGTAGCAGTAGCTTCAAAGTTGGTCGATGTGAGGTAATGGAAGCTCAGCTACCTGCGTCAAGACGACTGGGTGGGCAGATAGCTGCAGGTACGTACCTGCCCCGCCGGCCGCTAGCGGCAAGGCAAAACGGGTAAATCGATATTCCTCTTCCGCCCGCTTCCTGGTTAGTGGGGGCTAGGCTCCATCCACAGGAATGGAAATTAAAAGAGACTTTCACTGGGAGGAGAACTATTGGAGAATTTCACCCAAGCCAAGCCCTCCCCTGCCCAACAGCTTTTCAGGACCAGACATTCTCTCGAATTGTTCAGGCCGACCACCATCTCAAAAGCAGGTTCTATCCCCTTGGCCGTGAGGCTGGGAACAGCCGGTTCCATATTCACCACGGTGCCTTCCATATTGCGCCTCTCCTTTCCCTTCGCTTCCTCCACCCCTCTTTGGTCCACCGCAGCAAGTTCTGCATTTTTAAAGAATCCTGTGCTTGCCTGCACCCTGACCTTTATCTCTACCCGTCAGTACAGTAAGAGAAGGACAATGGCGCCCAAGAAGCCAGTTCAAGAAGAGAAGATCCTCCTGGGCAGGCCCGGTAACAACTTGAAGAGCGGTATAGTACGCATCTGACCTCTGCAAAACTGAAGTATCAATTTCTGACATTGTGGTAGGTTGGTCTTGCGAACGTGGGCAAATCAACTCTCTTCCAGGCCATCACAAAATGCAACCTGGGTAATCCCGCTGTTTGTCACCCTCCCCCTTGCTATCCCGGGCATCGTTGGAGACCGCTAACTGGATGCTTAGAATTTCCCCTACGCCACCATCGACCCAGAGGAGGCTCGAGTCATCGTTCCTGATGATCGGTTTGACTGGCTTTGCCAGAAGTACAACCCCAAGTCCCGTGTTCCTGCCAACCTAACGGTCTATGACATCGCCGGTCTGACCCGGGGAGCCTCAACCGGAGCCGGTCTCGGCAATGCCTTCTTGTCTCACATCCGTGCCGTAGATGCCATCTTCCAGGTGGTCCGGTGCTTTGATGATGCTGAGATCATCCACGTTGAGGGTGACGTTAACCCTACACGGGATCTCGATATCATCAGCGAGGAGCTGCGTCTTAAAGATATCGAGTTCGTCGAGAAGGCCCTCGAGAACCAGAAGAAGAAGACACGGCAGGGAGGGCAGAGCCTTGAACAGAAGAAGGCAAGAGAAGAGGAAGCAACTATCGAAAAGATTCTCGCCTGGCTCAATGACGGAAAAGATATTCGCAAGGGCCAATGGACTCCAAAAGAGGTGTGTTTTTGAGTCGCTTTCTCTCTCGTCACGCCGCCAAGCACACCTTCCACTTTCATGATGACAAAGGGCCATAAGGCCTGATCTAATCCCAGCTCGTCGAATGCCTCAGCAACTAACGCAGAGAGCATACTGAGATCAAAAACCTGTTCTGAACCACGCAATCTCCACATTTCTATTCGCATATCTCTGTTGGTTTCTTGGTAGTAACTGACATGCGTGCACCTAGGTCGAGGTACTCAACCCTCTATTCCTCCTGACAGCCAAGCCAGTGGTATATCTGGTCAACCTGTCCGAAAAAGATTATATCCGGCGAAAGAACAAGCATCTCGGCAAGATCGCTGAGTGGATCAAGGAGCATGCGGCGGGAGACCCCATCCTCCCTATCTCTGTCTGTTTCGAGGAGCGTTTAACCCGCTTCGAAACGGAAGAGGAAGCTCAGGAGGAGTGTAAAAAACTTGGCGTTGAATCGGCTCTCCCCAAGATCGTCATCAATATGCGGAAGGTCATGAACCTCGGAAGTTTCTTTACTGTTGGCGCCGACGAGGTCCGACAATGGACTATCCGTAACGGAACAAAGGCACCGCAGGCGGCTGGAGTTATCCATACCGACTTCGAAAAGACTTTCATCCAGGCTATTGTCTACAACTTCACGGTCATCAAAGAGCTTGGCGACGAAGCCGAGGTGAAGGCCAAAGGAAAGATGATGACAAAGGGCAAGGACTACGTCGTGGAGGACGGGGATATACTACTCATCAAAGCAGGGGCCGCAAAGGCTTAACTTTGAAGAGATAGCTGTTAAATTACTTTGGACTGCCCTCATGATGGGTAGATTGCGTAGCTTCATAGGTAGCTACCTAAGCTAGGCGAATGATGACGACACAAAAAGCTGAACCCACGAAGCTCCCTTGGGCGTTGGAACGGCTTGTACCGTGATTGACTAATGGTGGAGATATTTGATTGAACTTGAAGAATGCCTTTTTGGGCGAGCCATCCTATCGGCCATGGAATAGGCTGGTCAAGACGACAGTTATCGCTCGTCCTGATGATTCAGATTGTGAGCTGCATGCCCACTATCTACCTAGGTTTCCATGGTAGGTGCAGTGTGCGCCGGATAAAGTTATCCCCGCAATTTGGGTTCCATGGAAGGGCCAAGACCAGGTAAACTCGCCCTAGCTGCACGTCAGATTCCTAGGTACCTCATCATTGGACGCCTACTTCGTGAAGGAAACACTGACAACAGCATGAGAGGTAGCCTCTTCTGACCAACTCTCCACTTCCTGGATGTCTCAGCTTTGCTTTCGCGACGGTTATTCGCTGTGTCGCCTGTCTCTATTCAGAGCTTCAGCACCCCTCTGTCAGTTCCACACCTAGTCCCAGGACGACGCCTCTTGTAGCCTTGAATGCCGGCTCAATGCTGGTGCTGAGGACCACCACCACATCGCATTCCGAGGAGCTGCAAAGCGCAAGTCGAATGAATGCAACCTCTAAACCCATTCCTGAGCGCCTTCTCCAAGAGCCCCCTCGCCGCTCAGTGCAGCCCCGCTCGACTCCATATCCTCCTTGTTCCCCCCACCTCTGTCCTGCTCAGCTCCCGCGACTCAGAGAGCGGCGCCCTCTTGACCGACACTGTTGCCTCAGACGAGTTCATAGGCAGCCATGTTTTGCGCATTGGAAACGGCAAGGGTTCGGCCGCGGGAGGAAAGGATGTCGCCCAGAACCTGCGCGAAATGAGAGGGAAGGCGAAGGTATACAATACCATCAATGGTCGGAGCATCATCATCAAGGACAATCTTGTCTATAGCAATAAGGGTACGTCAGACAGTTTTCCTCCATTTCTTTCCTATGATCACACTGCTGATTTGAACCCCCTGTAGGCTTCAAGAACTTGGCCCACGCAAACATACTGAACGACACCATTTGGTATCCCGACACCCTTGAACCGAGACCATTCTTGATCTACTACATATCCCAGCCTTTGGTTGGCTCATGGGACGAGATCAAAATCCGGCCCGCCATCTTCCCGCCGGTCGTTGAAGGGGGCCATGCGCCTACAATGAATAGGGGGGACCCAGGCGCCGACCCGACACCGTCCGTCATTGTTCCTCGAAAGAAGGACATCAAGAGCTTTCATGACCTCCTCAACCACTTCCCCGTCATTGCTCGGCAGATGCAGTCGGGTCTCGAGAAACTGTTCCGCGAGTTCACAACTATTTTCGAACGGCCGTTACCACCTCCTCCATCCGCCAATCATATTCCTGACCCGGAGCCGGATGGTCCAATTCTGGCAGCGATGAAGAGGGTTAGATCGGACAGTGCTTCGATTCGAAGAAACGGCGCTAGCAGTAGGAGATCGGATCGCGCAATAGAGAACTTCTATGCCGAAGACGAGGAAGACGTGATGAGAGCGTCCCTTGAGACCGCCGTTACCACTGCCATCGATCTGTTCCAGTCCGTTGACAAGCAACAGCTGTCTCTACTTGGCGCGACCACCGACTTGACTGGCCCGGTTGTGGAGAGACTGATCGAGCGCTACGTCACCGAGAGCGTCCATCACCTCTTATTTCCGCGACTCAGCGCTCTGAAACGTCCTGATGACCTCGAACTGGAGGCCAAGATTCGGCAGATGGACTTCATTGATATTTCGCAGCTCGGAATTGCCATGGATGGTGGTTGGAGTGGCAAGCGTGACCTGATCGCCAGTCTGGGGCGGGCCATGGATGAATTCCGGAAGATGAGCAATGCGATGAGTCCCCAGGAGACGCTGGAAACCCTTCTGCGCACGACCAAAGCGGTGACTCAGCTTTCGGAGAGCTCACGGCAAGGGGCTGTCTACTCAGATGGTTCTGAAAAGCCGGTGCTCACGATCAATGCCGACACCCTAGTGTCTCTGCTCTTATATGTCGTCATCAAAGCTCAGGTCAAGAACCTCCAGGCTCGTCTCATATATATCCGCCACTTCATATTCATTGACGACGTGGATAATGGTGAGATGGGTTACGCTTTGAGCACGTTCGAAGCCGTGCTCTCGTACCTAGACGCCGATTCCGGCAGCCTCCGGAGAGCGAGCCGACGAAACAAAGCTCTCTGGGATGCCGCAGCGAAGGGCGACCTTCCGGGACTGATGAGGATAATGGAGCCCACCTCAGGTGCAACGGGCGATGAAAACGAGCTGTTTGAGTCGCCGCCGTCATCCAGCCGCTGGGAGAGTTCTAGCAGCTGGACCCTCCCAAACGGTACTAGTTCCAGGCGGTCTTCCTCTCCCCTTACCGTCTCCGAGAGGTTCTCGCTTGGGTCGGGCCTAAGCCATGTCTTCCCATTCCAAAGCCGGGGAGAAGAAGAAGAGTACGGAGAGTATGAGCTGCCTCTGGCGCCGCCAAAGCGAATAAAAAGAGTCGCGATGGACACCCGAAGCATGTCCAGCGGGTCCGAGATTTCGTACCGTTCCAGAGCAACGAGCACCGGGACGATTGGAAGCGGCATTGAGGGCGACACTTCGATCGAACGCCTGGCACAGACCCAAGATGCCTCAGGGGAGTCTGTATTGATGATGGCAGTTCAGAATGATAGGCAAGAAGTCCTCAAGTATCTCCTGTCTCTGGAACAATACTACTCGCCCGAAATCGTGGCCGAGGACAGAAACAACGAGGGGACGACACTGTTAAGCGCTGCTGTACAACTTGGGCATGCCGACATCATTCGCATCCTGCTAGGATACCTCCTCGAATTCTCATCACACGATAGTGTCCGTCGCTACCTCGCCATTCAAGATACCCGCGACAGGAGCGCGGCGCACTACCTTTTCCATGCTCCATTTCTCATCCGGGAAATTGGCAGGATGCTGCCATGGCGGCAAAAGGACAAGAACGGCCAGACCCCGTTGTTCGCCTTATGTCGGTCGTACGATCACGCCATGTATCACAAAATGGTGGAGGAAGCCCTCAACGTGGCGACCGAGACGCAGGGGGATGGTCAGCCTCTGCATCTAGATGACCACGTGGATGCCAAGGGCAACACACTCCTACACATTGTGAACGATGCTAAGCTGGCAGTATACATCTTGCATCGGTGCGATGTCGACGTCAATGCGACGAACGAGAAGCACTTCACGGCACTGATGGTCGCAAGCAAGTATGGTCGATTCGACATGGTCCGGGCGCTCTTCAGCGATCCTCGCGTCGACGCCGCTGCCAAGGAACTACGAGGGCTCACCGCGGTGGAGCTGGCCAAAGATGACGATGTTCGGAATAAGATCGACGACCTTGCCCTCTTCTCCATGCCTGTCGGTCCGGAGTCGCGAACCACACGCGTCGTCCGTTCTTACTTTGTCGAGGATGCCTCAATCCGATTTGTCCTCAAATCCGGGGCCCCCGTCGACCAGCACAGTTATGCAGTCACAACCTGTCGGCGCTCTCTGACCGACTTCGAGCGTCTTGCGAAGCTCCTTGCGTTGGAGAACCCGGCATCGTGGATTCCGTCGCTGGCCAACCTTCGGTCGCCGACGCAGATACCTTCGAAGCCGAGTCGAGCCGTGCTAAAGGATCTACAGCTCCGCGTGGATTGGTTTCTCAGGATCCTTCTCTCCCACCCCACGTTTGCTACTCATGAGATGCTGTGGGAATTTTTCCTAGTTCCCGATCTCCAACCGGATATGATGGAGCAACGGAGCCAGTTGAAGGCAGAGACGCGGGCCGAAAAAGTACGCGACGAGCTGGAGCCGCTCGAAGATGTTCAAGAAGTCGAGCAGTTTGTCGAGTATGCAATGGAGATGGTCCATGGCCTCCAGTACAGTACACGGCGCGTTGGGAGGGGTGCCAGCGTCGTCGGCAATGCTTCTTCTGGTATGTGTGCCCCCTCGTGAACGACTTACAACTCTCACCTACCCCTTCGCACTGGTGACTAATACTCGTGCAGATTTACATGAAGCGTCTCAACTGCTCGCGCGAGCGACTAGCACACTCGACTTCTTACCCCAGTCACACAGCTCAGCTTTCGAGGTTTACGCCCGTGCCCTTTCCTCGTCGCAGTCGTCTCCCATAGCCGCCTTCCATGGCACATTCTTGGCACTTCACTCGATCATCGAATCGATACTCCTAGCGCTCGCCCGCCCCCAGCAACTGATAACGCAGATTCTCGCGGCACGTCGCGATGCCGAACGTAATCACAATTCTCTCGGCCGGTCTACCCGCTGGCCACTTGGCCTACTCGACGACGCGCGGCAACGGCTGAACGAAGAGCGTGAAGAGAGAGCCCGCCGTAGCGAGATGGAGGCTGAGGGCCTGGCAAAGGAGCTGCGATACACCCAGCAAACCGTGGCACAGGAGCTGGCCGGGTGGCGAGACGTGCACGAGAAGGTTGGCCGCAGAGCCATCAGGGATCTGGCGAGGGGGATGGTGATTGCGGAGAAGATGCGGCTGGACGGGATGCACAGAGCGCTCAGAAGGGTGAGAGAGGTGAGCACAGATTCTGCTGCAGGCGAAGGGCAGGAGGCAAGCGACAGTCTGTCAGCGCTGGGCCAAAACAACGCGACGTTGGGCCAGCAGCAAGTCACGTCGGATCGCGTGACAAACGGGGACAGCAGTGCAGGCTCAGGCCCCACGCGGGCTATCGACTGAGGAGATGACGTATACTGCCGTGAAGCGGTCAACAGCCGTACATGGATAGCCGCAAGGGTGGGCTCGGGATCTGCAGGCCGAGTAGTTTGAAGTCGGTGAGGGCGACGTGGGACGCGACGGTGTCACTAGCTCGAGGCATGGCGGCGCAAGTTTCTGGCCTGACCCATCATGCTGTCCGGACGGAGTTCTTACATCATCATCATCAACAACATCATCGTCTTTTGTCGGGCGTTTCCCAGCGATACGATACCCCCTCTTTTAGGCTCGTGGGCAACATCGGGAGGGAGCCATCGCCTGACGAGTCCAAGGGGCGTTACACATATAGATACGGTACATTGAATATACACACATAATTCACACACGGGGTCATTCGTATGCACCCTCCACCCTCTATCGCAGCTGCACAACGGTGGCTGTGCCGCGGGGTGGAGGGGGCCAGGTGAGGCAATAAACAATCCATGAGATCTACGTATGCAACGATTACTTCGGCACTTGGGGAAGGTGTGAGTCTTGCCAACCCCCCGACTTTTCGAGCGGTGTCGACCGCAAGTACCTACCGATCGAGTAGATACACAACCACAACTGTCAAAAGGACCCACCTAGTGTGAGTCATTTGGGGAGGAGATGAAACGAACGATCTCGTGAAACAATCGCCCGATGCAGCTCGCCTATCCTTCTGCGTCTTTGACTCTTTGGAAATGTTGGCGAGACCCGAAGGCCAATCGACGACTGTCATGGGCGTCGGGTATCTTGGCTCTGCCACCGGCGATGCCATTGGCTGGTTCGTCGACGCGCTACACGAAGCTCGACTGGGGTTTACCGCGTGCTCCTCAGCCAATCCCAGGGCCACTTGCATTCCTCGAAAAGCTCGCGCTCCCGTGATCTTCGCGCCCGCGCTTGATTTTCGCCAGGATATCCCATCCCGGGGAATCTCTCTTGTCCTCATATAAGCGCCCAGCAGATTTTCGCACTGAGGCTGTGCAATCCTTCAGTGAAGCCTCGTCAGCCCGGGCGGCCGGCGTTCCCCTAGCAATTTCATTTCAGCAACCGCCCGGCGCTCCAATCGAACCTCTGAACAGAGAGGGGGCTTCACCTGGCGCTGTTCTAAGTGAGGGGCGCCTCAAGCTCGGCTCCTTCATTCTCCGAAGGGAATCTCTGACGCTGGGAGCCTCAGGCCCGAAGGAGGACCGCAATCTCGCCTCTACGAACCTGTAGCCGCCCGCGGACTTGTTTGAGGACTCCAGCCCGTGGAAAGGGCGGATCTCGACCGACCGACTGGCTTCACGCCGTACGACTACTAGCTATGAGGCGAAGCGGCGCGAGTAGCATTTGCAAATTTCAGTAGCCGCTCGCTCTATGATGCTGTCCACCTCGCCAATGCTAGAATGAGGTCACCTCTCCGACATCTGGCGGTCCAAAAATAGCACGTGGACCACGAGAAGATGGAGATGAACCGGGGTGAGTAGGGTGGGCAGGTGGTCTGGTTGAAGCAGACAGGAAAGACAGCAGGCGTCAATTTGGGCAGGTTTGATGGAAATGAGGCCGAGGGGGAGATAGCACCCGAAATTTCGCTTGCAGAATCGAAGTCGCTGCCCAACATGCGGTAGGTAGGTATGCGACGTGTATGGAATCGTGCCGCATGATGGACAGGTACCTGTTCTGTTTCTTCACGAATACCGAGTCTGGAAAATCCAGGGGACCCTGGAAGAGTGAAGGTCCTCTCCAGATCGATGGGCTTCTTCACAGGACCGTTGATGCCCCAAGCTCGTTGACGCATGGTCCCGCCATTCGTGTCCATCCGCGAGTCGCCAAAAAAGCCGCGCCAACGCCTCACTTTCTTGCTCGCGCTGCGCGTCGCACCAGAAGTCGTGGGTGAGTGTGTGTGGTACGTCCCCCACACGGCGTTTGGCGCTAGCTTTGGTGGGTGCCCCACTGCCCGCAATGGATGAGCTCTTTGGAGCTCCAAAAGCCACCCAAGTGCCATGTGTCTAAATATGACTCATAGCCGCCCGCAGGGCTAGCTGCATCCAATCTGCAGTCTCGAGCCGGGGGCTTCTCCCGGTCCTCCATCAGCCACTTACTGTCCACGATGCTGCATCGACTGATTGCTTCTCAGGACTCTAGGGTCCTCTTCGGTCGAGCTAGTCGAGCTCGTCATGTGTGTTGAAGGTACATGCGATACATCATTCTGGGACTTCTGTTGATGAATATCTCGCGGTACACCGTGACGGGGCACACTCAATGCGCACTGTCGCTTTCCTGGCGGGCGCCTACGGAGCGCAATGTTCCGGCAGGCCAGCGCCCACTGTCTGGCTTACCGCCGGGAGTACGTACCGAAGGTATATCGGCCGGCCACATCATGGCCCAGCAGCAAACTGTGTTCGACGATAGGCCTGCTCTGCTGGCCGCTTCCCCGACATTCTTGATGTCGAGTGACATTGAGGGTTCGAAGCCACCTTTCCTCCATGCGTTTCAGGTTTATTTTCATCCATCTGCGATCGAGAACGAGATTCGGTCCAGCCCTAGTGGAGCAAGTGGGAAGCCGCTGGCTCCACGCTCCACACTCGCTGCCCCACGCTTCGCGGTCCACGCTTGCTCGCATCCTACTGATGGCGGCGCGACGCATCGCATCACCAGACGTCGCGCCCTCCATTGCTATGGCTGGGGTTGGCTGATCTGGCCATGGCTGGCCTGCATCGTCCGGCCCTCTCGTCCAACGACAAAAGGATAAGAATAGCTGGCATCCCATCCCCATCTGCCCCCCCATCTCTCTTTTGCTTCCATATCTCAGACATCTCTCTTCTTTTCCTATCCACCAGACTTCTCAGGAGAGGTCGGGTCGTCATCATACGACCGTAGTCGTCAATTACGGCCTCTGTGCCCCCTTCGCTTTCCTACGTCTCCCACACCAACAGAGCTGGCCTCCACCCCCCAAAAGTTCACCAACACCATAATCTATAATATCTCCTGTGTGCCCAAGCAAGGCACAGCACTCACCATGTCCACGTGAGTAGCTCTCGTGCCCGACTCGAGTACCATCTTCTGGCTGACACACTCCCTCATCCAGTCTGGCAGCGGATGTCACCTTTGACTTTACCTTCCCACCACCATGCGGCCCTGTTACCCCTCCGAGCTTCTCTTTTGATCCCTCTCTCCTTGAAATCCCCTACCATCCTGGTCATGCTCGCTCCAGCTCGCATGGATCCGTCTACTCCTTCGAGTCGTCGCCCTCCGACTCGATCACCACCACCAGCACTCGGAGGACCACACCCATGCGGTCTCCCATCCGGACTCACGGCCCACTGCTTCTTCCAAAGATCCGGTCCCAGGATCAGGCGATCGGCCCGTCAGCTTCGGGTGCTTCGCCCCCTAAGCGCATGAGGACGTCGCCCGCTCCGTCTGCACGGAGGAATAGTCGAAATGTCGCCTCGGGTCATACGCGCAGCTACACAAACCCGGAGACCATCTCCTTCTCAGCACCGCTGTCCTTCTCCGAAGAGCGCTCGGGCACTCCCAGCCTCCTCTGCTCCCCGGTCAGCTTTGCGCCGGCGCTAGATGCGTCAGCTTGCCACTCTCGTCGCGCATCGACATGCAGCCTGGATAATGCCACCATTGAAAAATACGGCTTCCCCACCTACCGGAACGTGCCCGCATACGTCTCCGGCCCCGGTGGCAACTGCACGGCCGCCCCTCAACCCCAGCAACAGCTTTCCCAGGCCGAGCCCTTCCTCTACCAACCCTACGCGCCGCGTGCTCCATCTCCGTTGGCTCACGCCTCGATGTCGCCAGAGCCCACTCCAACGACGACCCTCATGACTTACCTGACGTCGCCCAACCCGGCCCCGTCTCTGGTCCGCACCATCTCCTTCCCGCTGCGCGATCCCCACACGAGACATTTCTGGTGGGATGTTCGGCAAATCCGGCCGTGGAGCTCCTTCAACGCCTCCACCATCCTCTCCCTCCCCCGCGCGGCCTCGCTGCCCTGCCCCGTCCCGGCGCCCCTCCTCCCAACGCCGGCGACGGCACAGCGGCACCCCGAGACCGAGGCGGCGCTGCACTCCATGTACGCCTCGTACTACCTGCCCAAGCTCAACTCGGCGCTGGCGCTCTCGTCCACGCGGCCGCTGCAGCTGTCGGTCCCGAGCAAGGCGGCCAGCCCGGCCAGCAGCGGCATGGCGAGCGACTGTATGTTCGTGGCCAACGTGGCGGGCGAGTCGGCGTCGGCGGCGGCCATCTTCGGCGGAAAGCCGACGGCGCATGTGGTGGGGCTTGTCAAGAGCTTCGACCGGTTCAACACGGGCATGCGCGTCGAGGGCAACGTCAAGCGCGTCGAGTACCTGCGCGGGCTGTCGCACCTGCACCACGCCATGCGCGAGCACGGCTGCCGCTACGGCTTCATCCTGACCGAGATCGAGCTGGTCGTCGTCCGCAACGGCGGCGAGTCGGTCCCGCACTTTGGCTACCTCGAGGTCAGCAGCGTGCAGCTGGCCAAGGCGGCCAGCCCTGCCGACGACGACGAGATCCTTGGCAGCGAGGTGCCGGACCTCACGGCCTGCCTCGCTCTCTGGGGCCTGTGCATGCTCGCGGGCGACGACGAGCCGTCGCCGGGTCAGGCGCACTGGCGCGCCGAGATCGGGGCCCCGGCCGAGGGGACGCGGCGCAAGGCGATCGCGCGCGACGGCTGGATGCCGCAGCCGCAGCTGGCGGAGAAGCGCGAGGCCAAGCGAGCGAGGGGCTGGGTTTTCCCCGAGGACCCCGTCGGCCGGAAGGAGCTGGGCAAGAGAGGCGTGCGCTATGGGGCGTGCTGAGTGAGAAATCGGATCGCTCTGACCATGCATGCTCGCTTCTGACCTTTAATCCCGGATGGGGAGTGGGACGGACGGGGCGTGAGTTTGGACAACACTGGCTGGATCCAGGGTCTGTTGTGAACTCTTGCGTCACGGTATTTTTTTTTGGGGGGGGTCGCATTGGGGACAGGATGGAGCATAACATAGGTAAACGGACTGTATGAGCTCATGAGTGGGATACCTAGGGCCAAATATTACCTACCTAAGTACTAGCATTTTTAATACCTCTATTGCTTACTTGTGAACTTCAGCTGTCTGTCTACTCCTGGTCCTGTGAGTGAAAAATGCTCTTCTGCCTGGTAGACTCATTCTCTTCATTATACGTGCCCGTAAAGGGTTCTGTTAATGAAAGAGGTCAAAGTCGGTTGTTCCAGCGCCCGGAATATTGCCCGGGTCGTAGCACCGTAAATTTTACGGAAGTACTCCGCACTCTCTCCTCTTTGGCAGGACCGCGGAGGAATGCACCCGACGTGAATGCCAATCGATTCTCTAACGTGCAGACGGGGCAGGGAATGACAGCGTGTCGAACCTGCTCCAGAAGATACCTAATCTCATGTCAGGGACACACGGCAACGATTCACTGGCCGTCCCTCAAACCACCTACCCAGCCTAACCTAAGGTTGGGCAGCTGATTTTGGTACTTAGGTCGAAGAGACTCCACAACCTGGGAACCGTTCAGACACCAGAAGTTCGTATTGCGTCGTCTCGTGGGGGATTAGCTTAGTTAGGTCAATCACAAGTCTGGCGATCTTCTGTGTCAAGGTGGAAAGCTACCAACTGCTTGGAACTGAAAATGGAGCAACAACCTGCAATTGGCCGCTCCGATTGGTGGACTGCATCGAGTCCAAAGCCAAGGATTTGGACGGGAACCCCCTAGCGCCTTTCCAAGGTTGCTTATTTGGGATGACGAGGGGCGACACTGACGTTGACTCCTCCCTGGTGAAGCGAGCCTACGAATGTTTCCACTAAAAAGATAAGAGGAAAACCGATGGATTGATATTGATTAGGAAGGGAGAGAGGGAGAATGAGCATATACGTAGTAGCAGGAACGCCGGGAAATTAGATATCTCCCTGGTATGTATGAAGTTGAGGTGGTCATAGCTCGTCGACTGGGATCTTCCTGTCAGTCCCACAGAGATCACGGGGAGGCGGCTTGTCCATCTTGGAATCGCGGGGTTTGTGTTTGCAGGGAAGGCATCCTTGCACTCTGACCTCGAGTTTTCACTTGCCATGGACTCAGCAACTTGAGCAAGAGCTCCTGGAGACCATCCTACGTAGCGCAGTTGTTTCGTACCTCCCTTTGTCATCCCGTTTCGGTGCTACTTGCCCATCCTAGCCAATGGTTGAGCGCCGCTTAGCGTCAGAAGATACAATGCCGAGGCCCCTGGACCTGGCACTAGCCACAGCTTTTTGCTCTTTTAGGCCAGTCTACGAGGAAGCTAAGCTCGTCGTTGTTGCCGGGTGGAAAACAAGAGAAGGCAATCAAACATATTTTCCGGACCTTCCTTCCCTCGCACGCACCCAACACCAACCTCCTCCTTCCTCATCACCAATCACCCGACCAAAATAACCTCTTGCGCGCGAGATTACCTCGCCCACTTGTTCGCTTTTCCACCCCTCATCTTCCGCTCTCAATCGCTACACCAATCACTTCCCAATTGACCACTGCATCTGCTAACGATCATCGCGTATCCGGACCGCCGCACCGATAATCTCGTTTCATCATGTTGCTCCCGCAAAAGCTCGCTCTCGCTCTCTCTTCGCTCTCTGCGCTCACCCTTGTAGCCGCCCAGAAGTCCAACTTCACCATCAACCCTGATGCAGTGCCTATTGGCACGAGATGTATGCTTCCGACCCCGCCAAGACATGCCACTTCCCGACGCTAACCCTGTCACAGCTTCTTGGTGTCTGGCTGAGATCAATACTTGCGGGACTCTCTGCGCTGGCAATCCTGCGTCCAACGACTGCGATACTGTACCCGCGCCTCGCCCCCTTCCCCCTTCTAGCATAGCAGGATGACTGACCGCGCCTCCACAGACCGACTTGACTTTCCACTGCACCTGCCAGAACAACTCGTCTCCTGGTTTGCAATACTACACCGGGACTATGCCCACCGTATGCGTCCCTCCTCCCCCCGCCTCTCCCTCTCGCGCGGCTTGGCTTGTCTTGCTGTGCTCCATGCTAACACAGTCGGGTACAGTTCGTCTGCCAGCAAGCCTTCCAGGACTGCATCGCTCAGAACGTCGGTGACAAGTCAGGCCAGGATAAATGTACCAGCGACATCCAGAAGCAATGCGGCACCCTCGATCCCAATAAGGCTGAGACTGGAAACTCGGCTCCTTCCTCCAGTTCCTCCAGTTCCTCGCATTCTGCCTCAGCCACCAGTGCAGGCACGGCGACCGAGACCGGGGGTGCATCTGCCCCAAGCTCGACAGCCACCAACGCCGCCCCGAAGATTGCCGCCCTCGTAGGCAACAGTGTCGCCGGTGTTGCCGCCGGTCTGTTCGTGGCTTTCCTATAGGAGTGCCCTCGCGAGGTTCGGCGCTAGGGTGCGGGAGCTTCTGACGCGCCCGCATCAGCTTTGGGGCGATGCTGGTCACTATTCATTTCTTGTACTGAATTACACTGCATTGCTTGACGCTCTTGCTTAAACGCATACATTTCAATCCCCCTGCCGTGACTACTCGACTCGGCAGGTTACTACTTCACTGGAGGACACGAGCTTAATGATCTGATATCAATGGAAATGGGGAGGGGTTCTGAGTGTTGAATGGGTTTTATTGCAGTTCCAGCCGTTACGCCTATTGAGAGGCAGGGAGGAAGAGCGAACAGCTCTCTGGAGGTCGCGAGCCACGTGGACCAGTTGCTTATCAGGTGTGCCACACTTCCGCTCTGGAGGAACCATAGATAACAATCAATTCAAGTTAATTGGCAGCAGATTCTCTTGCTAGTGTGTTCGACAGAACGTGTTCGAACGTCAAGAGTATCTATCCCTAAGGAATCTCAGCACCTGTCACCATGCGGCAGGGGCGTGTGACTCCCAACAGATCGAGTTGTCGTTTCTTTGTGAAATGGACAAGGAGAAACAATGAACTAGGTTGCGACCATGGCCATTGTTCCAGAACAAATCTCTTGTCTTAAAAATAACTCTGTCCCAAACAAAGGCAGAAAACACAAAGGTATCGAATGGGGGGGCAGTTTGGATGGGTATAAATGGGATTCGCCCCAAGCTCTACCAGTTCACATCAAACCGAGCCCCATCCCACATCCCACAATTTTGCGAATAGGACAATCTAACTAGGGTTTTCGTCGCCGAGTTCGAAGATGGCCAGGCTACCGCAGCTCCCTCTGGAGCTGATCATCAAAATCTTGGCCATGTCCCTCGAAGAAGAGCCGGTCTGCGCCTTTAATCTACTCGCCCCCGAATGGAATCTATGTGGGAGACAGCACGGTGAGTTGGAAACCCTCCTACGTTCAACCCGTTTCGACACCTACACTGTGCTTGAAGGCGGCCAAGGACACCTATCGACGACGTTTGACCACTGCAGCAAAGACTGCATCCACCTTCCGCTCATGCACGACCCCAGAGGCCTCCCGCCGCTCGAGCCCTACCTTGACCGCGAACTGGTCAAGGAATGGTCCGGGACGAACACAATGGTGCTCGGGCAGACACCCTGGTACATCGGCCCACTTTCTGACTCGGAGCTTGCACGGAAGGTAGGTAATTACCCCTTACTTCGCCATCCGCTGGCCCTTGACTTGATCCCATTCCACGACCCAGTGAGCACCAGTACACTCAAGGCGATGGTCCCGCCTGTCCCGGGGACGACGGGGGCCCCAATAACGTTCATCTACGAGCGCATCCAGCACCTCGTCCTCAACACGGTCCCGTCGCTGTGGGACCTCAAGAACACCGACTTCGGCACCATGCCCGACTACCCGCAGGACATTGCCCCGGGGGTGCTCGAGGCCATCGACGCCCAGCTCGCGGTTGAGCGGTCCTTCCACCTCATCGCGGACTGGGCCGCGATGACGCGGCTGGAATCCGTCTTCCTCGACGTCAGGCCATTCAGCCGCAGTAAGCTTGGCGAGGCGGACATTGCGGCTGCCGCGTGTGGGCTCGCGGGGAGGGGCCTGAAGCTCCTCGTCGTGGCTGGGCTGCGGTCTTTCGAGTACTACACCGGTCCCGAACCCATGGAGATGGGCCCGGATTCCGACGCTGAGGATGATGGCAAGGACGGTGGTCGGGCGTACAACCCCGGCGGGTGGGACTGGATCCGCCTGTTCCGGGACGCGGTTCGGCCCGGCGGGAAGCTGATCTTGGTCGACAAGCAGCTCGACGCCATCAGGCCGCTGCCATTCTGCCGTTCTGACCAGCTAATCACATGCAAGTAAGTGAGAGGAGGATGGTAAGTGTGATATATGCGGTAAGTATTTGGGAAAAGGGATGTATATATACGGAGTAAAAAAGTAGGGTTTTGAGGTAAGATCGAAGTATTAGAAGAGAGGTAGGAGGAATGAATTCTGATATATCAAGACACATCTCAACAAAGGCTTGATCTCCCTCGCGTGTACATCTGTGAGTGTGAACCCAGGAATGGAGCGGAGGAGCGGGAATGGAGCCCTGAATAGGGGTCCAAAATATCTCTTGGCGTCCGCGATCGCCCCGGCCCGCGAATGGATTCGCCGCAACCATATAGTATCCACATCATTGTGCATGAACATGGAGCCTAAACAAACCGGACCGGGAAACTGTGCAGACAACGGCCCCACGTGGGGCCATGCCTCAAACTCAGATGATGCTGCGGGGCTGGGTACGTAGGTACTTGCACTCTCCTCAGCTTCAACCCGGCTTCTGTTACAAAAATGATTGGCTACGGCGCAGGCAAATAGGTTGATGACAAAACTGTGGAAACCACCCAGCAGATGCCAGATGCCAGAGTTGAAAGTCATGTGCAACTGAGTTTTTGATGAGTCTCAGGCAGCTTTTAACCCCCGCCCAGGTACACCTAAGCACATAGTCAGAAAGTAACCAGGTTCCTAGACGGGTTCCATGCTGGCCACTTGAGTCGGGCTGGAAACCCCAGAGCCTTAGGTATCTCGGTAGGTACCTACACTGTAGGTACCTTACCACCCATCATAAGTGTACCTGACATTACTTTTCCTCTTCCAAGGTTACTGCCCTCCGAACTCAAAACTGCACCTATTTCTCGGCCCCCAGCCTCACGTCCCCTCCCCAACATTATCGAGTTTAAACCTTTCACTTTCTCTTCCCTTGTGTCTGTGTCGCCCTCGAAATCAGATCATGGATCGTGACCACGGAGAGCGATTTGTTTGCCGAGGAGGACCATGAGAAATGGCGAACCGAGATTCGAAGCGGGGCAGCAGGCCCCCCGACGACGAGCGCCGCCCGGCGTCCCCAACGGGGCCAATGTCCCACTTTGCCAAAATCAAATCCACTTTCGGCTCCCGGTCGGCCCACCGACACAACCACCCCGCCGATCGGGATCGGGATCGGGATCGGGATCGGGATCGGGATCGGGAAGGGGACGGGGATAAGGCGAGGGCTAAGGAAAAGGAGAGGGACAAGGAGAAATACAAGGACAGAGACAAGCACAAGAGCAAGAACAAAGGCAAGGACAACAAGGATAGAGTCCGTTCCCACCGTTCTGATCGAGACCACCGCCCGAAAAAGCCACACGTCAACGTCGAAGTTGAGCTTCGGCATCTCGACCACCGGGACAAGCCCTGCACCCTCGCCGTCAGGCTCGGCGCCCGGGCAAGCAAGATCAAGCATTTCATCCAAAACCGCAACGATGGCCGCCTTCGACCGGGGGCGGCGGTTCGCCTCTACTCCGACGGCAAGGAGCTCCATCGCCGGGATGTCATCGACCGGCCCTCCGTCGTCTGGTACCGCTCCGGGACGGCCTGCGACGACGACTCCTGGAAGGTCACCCACTGGCAGGACGGCGCGAACGGGAGGTGGAAGGGAACGTTCGCCAGCGACCTCGTGCGCGCAATAGAGGCCGGGGACACCGTCGCCCAGCTCCGGCGCAAGGTCGCGGACCATGTCGGCGTCGAGGACCACAACAGGATCATCATCATCGCGCGAGACGGGATGCGGCCGGGCCTGCTCCAAGGCGACGCCTGGGAGGTCCGCCAGGTCCGCAGCTGGCTCTGCCGCTGGCTGTCCATCGATGTCGGGCGCAGGAACGGCTACGTTATCCTCGAGGGCCTGAGGAGGCAGTACATATACCACCCCGAGCCGTCGTACCTGCAGAAGGGCATCGATCTCAAGAGGCTGAAGCAGTGGATGCAGCAGCGCCTGTTCGCCTGCGTCGGCCGCCTTGGTCAGCGAAGCGATCTCAACCTCAGGTGGACGGACATCGCCCTCGTCCGCAACGGCAGCCGGCTGAGCAGCCTCTCGCCCGTGGCCTGGGGCGCCACGTACAGCTTCGAGCTCGCCGACGACGTGGCCGAGGCCCTTGCGGCCGACGAGTCGTGGCTGCTGCCTGCGACGGAGACCTGCGCCGTGTGCAGCGACGACAAGAGGCTCACCGAGCTGCCCGTGCGGATGACGGCGGCCTGCGAGCACAAGCCCGCCACCTGCAAGGACTGCGTGCTCCAGTGGATCCACTCCAGCCTGGAGACCTCCTCCTGGGACAGGCTGAGGTGCCCCGAGTGTCCTCAGCTCATGAAGTTCGCCGACGTCCGGCGCTACGCCTCGGCGGCCGACTTTAGCCGCTACGACGCCCTCGCAACGCGGGCTGCGCTGAGGGACATCCCCAACTTCCGATGGTGCCTGTCCACCAACTGCGAGTCGGGCCAGATCCACGACCCGAGCTGCGCCAAGTTCAAGTGCGCGGCCTGCAAGTCGAAGCACTGCGTCACGCACGACGTCCCCTGGCACTCGGGCGAGACGTGCGGCGAGTACGACGGGCGGAACCGGCGGCGGGCGGCGGAGGACCGGGCGTCGGAGGAGACGATCCGGACCACGTCGAGGAAGTGCCCCGAGTGCGCAAAGGACGTGCACAAGTGGGAGGGCTGCAACCACATCACGTGCGTGTGCGGCCACGAGTGGTGCTACGTCTGCCTCGCCACCTTCCAGAAGACCCGGCACGGCTTCCTCTTCTGCCACCACGCCCGCGACTGCACCGACCGGGACCCCTTCGCCCACATCGTCGACCCGGCCCACCACGGCCTCCGCGGTGCCCCCGCTGCAGATGCGGCAGGGCCAGGGGCTGGGGCTAGGCCCGCGCGCGTCCCGCCGCGCCACGCCCCCTTCCCACCGCCCCTGCTGCGCCCGCAGCGGCCGGGTCAGGCCGCAAGGGAAGGCCAGATACCCCACCGGATGGCGGGCCCCTTACCGGTCCGACCGGCCCAGCCGCCCTTCCCGCGCCGCCGCCAGGAAGCAGAAGCGGGAGCGGGAGTAGGAGCGGAGGGTCCGGCCCGCGCGGGAGGGGATGGTGACGACGGGCTGCGCATGCGTCTCCCCGACCGTCGACGGCAGGCGAACTTCTTCGGCGCGGCCGCGACTGCGGCTGTAGCTGCGGCCACCGCAGACGGGGGGGGTCATCGTTACAACGTCGGGCAGGCTAACATTACTGATGTTGCTGAGGCGCTTCATCGCATTGAAGCTTTACGCTTCTAGGGGTTTTTTTTTTCTTCCTTTATTTATTTTTCAGGGGTGAACTGGGTCACGGCGGATGCCATTCAGGGGAGAGGAGTACGAATGGTGAATCATAAGGGTGCTATTTCGCATCCCCAGCAGATCTAGCGCGATACCTCAAGTGAGGGCTAGTTGTCGTCTAATATCCCCCCTTTATAACAAGTATGTAACACTATCCCTCCTGGCCGTCTTCCTTCTTCTTCTTCGAGCTGTCAGCAACGGGTTTTTACTCGGCTTTTGCTTTTAAGGATGGATTGACGTCTTATTGATGTCCCGCACAGCACGTGGAATTGCCCATCGTGCTTCTACTTGTCGTTTAGGATCGCATGTCACAACAGGTTCGATCTATGTATTAGAGCAGGTCCGCTGCCAGGGGAGTTGACCGCGGAGTGATGTCTTTGCAACAACGGACGGAGGCTTTGGGATTTTTGAGTTTGAGTCTTCCATTTCGGCGCCGTGGATTCTCGTCCAGGCTGGGATTTTTTTCTTGCAGTTGATGATACGATGATTATCTGGGCGAGCCGACATGACAATGACACTCTCAGTCAGTCCCGGGGCCCTCCATAATAGGACGACACGGGGTGTGTAAAGGGGATAAAGGAACAATCCTTCCACCCGGGGACGAAATAGATAGGGGAAGGGGGTAGATACCACGCGGGCATCCTCCTAGGCTTCTAGAACGAATTAACAGTACATAAATTGGCCCCTGCATGTCTCTTCTAACCTCGAGTTGACCAGGGATGAGCTATCTTGAAAGATGTGTCGAGCCTACTAACTAGAAATATACCAAGGGCCACTCCGCAGTAGCAGGTTCACCCGCGGGTCAGGGAGCCTCCAAACGCGGCCCTCATTTCCGCAGCAAAGCACAGCGGGCACACGTACCCGTCTCCGTCTTAAAGGCCAGGGGATCGCTGCGACCGCACGAGGCCCACTGTCTGCCCTTCTCCGACATGGCGAGCCTGACCCCAAGGCATTTCTTCCGATCCATCGTGATGAATATGCGGTGACTGCATATCTCGCAGTACCGCTCGCGTCTCCGGAGGTGGCACATTGTTGAGCTTCAGATGTGTGTGGGGTGAATAACGATTTGCTTGGCATTTGGTGGTTGGCCGATGACCCTCGAAATATATCACAGAAGGGCGTACGTGCTATATAGGCCAGAGGCACAAAGAATGGATGGGCATCTCTTTATTGTATGTTTTTGTCGAGTAGAAACAAAGAGTTGGCCCTCTAGTTGCGTCAGGCGTGACTTGCAGCCTCCTTTGAAGCAGCCATTGGTTCAATGGACAATCAACAACCGTGGGCTTCTCCATCTTGAGGTTCTCATTGTCACATTCACTTGCCACGTCCAAGGAAGGGTTTGAGGGTCTACAATCAGTAGTTTCAATACGATTGACTGAAACCGTAGCCCAGATTGACATTATCCAACCTCGAACGGTTGAAAAGGGGCCACCTCCAAACGATTGCTATCTGGTACCTCTCCGTCACTTTCTATTGAGACCCATATCATGTTCACTTGCAGATCGCGTTGCATCCCGATGCTCTTTGCAAGCCCTCCAGGTAAGGCAGTGAAACAACGAGATACCTTACAACCCAACCCCAAACACCAGCATTGCCCAGTCATGTCTTGAGCGACACGATGACAAGAGTCTCCGTTTTCGATACGGGCCATTTTAAGCATGGAGGACGCAAGCAGGGCACATTCACATCAAGAATAATATTGGTAAAATCCCGTCAAGGTAATTTATTAAAATAAGAAACAGCAAGTGTAATCGCAATGGTCTATCAACGAGGTACTTTTGGGTGTAGTCTAGTCCACCACTAGAAGGACAGGCAGTAAGAGAGCCAGTCTGTCTATGAAAATGCATGTCTCCTTGCCGGGATACATGTGTAGCCACCGTACTTTCGACATAAGTGGCAGGACAGAACTGTTTACAATGAATAGTAGTAAACCAACGGGTAAGGATAGTCCACTCGATAAAATCAGCTGTTGGAAGCACTGCTGTTGGTGAATGGTTCACTCTTAGACTGGACTCTGCGGGAATAACGAGGATGTCTCAACCCGCCTGCTCTGCGTCCCGCCGACCCTCTGCCAGCGTCGTTCGCCCCAGGTTGGTCCGTGGATGATGCCGCTGGTGCTTCCCCCATGGTGGTGACATGCTGACACGCGTCTCTAGTCCGCGGACGAATTTGGGGATGGATAGAATAGGCGGTCGGGACGAAAACGACGGGTGTAGTAATGTACTGGACCTGCCGACGAGGAACATGAACCACAGGAGTTGCATCGTCTAGATCGAATGCTGCATCTCCGTATGGAACATGTCTCGTAGGGCTGGCAGGAGATGCCGAGGGGTGCCCAGCCATCGAACGCGGGGTGAAAGCCGGAGCATCCGGATTCAGCCTTGAGCCCTACAAGTCAGATGGTGTTAGATACAGCCAAAGAAAGAATATTATTTCTTCGGCAGATCTATACCTCTTTCTTGTGGCCCGCAGAGGCTTTTGCCGGCGTCATGGCAACCATGGCTGCAGCCAAAGGCCCCTCATCTTCCTCACCGCCCCCTTCCTCGCTGCCCTCTCCAGAATCGTAGGATTTAAAATCGTCAGGGGAGGCATTATGTGATGTCGGTCCACTCTTGACCTTTTCAAGTTCCGAGTTGGTCATCTCGATGGTCAAATCGTTTACGATGCTCGGCGTCTCGTTGCCAGCGTCATTCAATTTGTCCTTGGCTGTGCCCTTCACTTTCGGCCTGATAAACACCTGCTGGGACCAGAGCTCGGCGTATTTGCCGCCCGCGCGTATTAGCTCCTCGTGGTCTCCCTGTTCGATGACCTCGCCGTCCGCGACGACGATGATTCTATCGGCGTTCATGATGGTGGACAAGCGGTGCCTGGTGGTAGGTTAGCTCCCTCGCACATGCGATCTATGAAAGGGGAGGGGAAGGATAGGAGGGAAAAGGTAGGAAAAGAAAACTTACGCAACGATGAATGTCGTACGGCCATCACAAAGGGTACGGAGTGCCTCCTGGATCCTCTGCTCCGTCTCGGTGTCTACAGCACTGGTTGCTTCATCCAGGAGAACAATAGCGGGATGCTTGAGGATAGCCCGCGCGATGGCAACTCGCTGCAACTCTCCGCCAGAGAGCTTGATCCCGCGTTCACCGACTCGAGTATTGTAGCCTTGATGGGAATTATTAGCACGGTCTGGCCGAAGACGACTTGATGACGCGCTTACCGTCAGTGAACCCCGAGATTTGATCGTGGATGCTAGCCGCCCTGCAGGCCTCGAAGACTTCTTCGTCCGTCGCCGTTAGCTTGGCATACCGGACGTTATTCATGATTGTGTCGTCAAACAGAATTGGAGCCTGTGGAACCACTCCGACTTGTGCACGGAGACTGATATGATATTAGCCTCCGCATGCCCAACTAAGTTGTCCTGCCAGAGGAGAAGTTTACCTGTAAAGATCGACATCACGGATGTCCTGGCCGTCAATCTCAATGGAGCCTCCCGTAACATCGTAGAATCGATCGAGTAACTTGAGGATGGTCGACTTCCCGGCTCCCGTGGTCCCTACAATTGCGACGGTCGTCCCCGGCGCCACGGCGAAATCGATATCTTTGAGAATCTCCTTCTTTTTGTCATAGGAAAAGTGCACATGACTGAAGCGAACGTTGCCGCCCTTCAGCTGTAAGGGTGCCGCTCCGTCTTTGTTGACTACGCTTGGCTTCGTCTGCATGATCTCCAGAAGTTGCTCGGCGTGTATCAGGTCTTTTGAAATGCTCTTCCCGAGGCCCGCAAAGAAGCTGAGAGGAGAGACCAATTGAGACCAGTAAGTTAAGAGCATGATGAACTGGCCAGGGGTTGCTTGACCGCCGGTTACTTGGAAAACGGCAAGAAACAAACCGGCCAGCAAGCCGGATAACAAGACCAGATATTGGAAGGCGTACGAAACGATGTATCTGGTGTATACCGTTTGCGACTTGGCCACACGGTCTTTAACAGCCGCGGAGTATCGCCTCTCTTCGTGGCCGATCTGGTTGAAGCAAGCAACCGTTGTCCAGCCCTGGATACCTGCTTGGCGAACGTAGTGTTCCTCGAACCATGCGCCCACCTCACTCCGGCGAGCAGCCTTGAGGCCCGAGATCATCTTGGTGGCGATGTAGAGGAAAACGGTGGCTGTAGCAATAGTAATCAGGCCTTCGTAGGGGCCGAAAGTGACGGACAGGTAGACAAAAGCGACGCCCATATCAATGAGCATGGGGATAGCCCGGAAGCAGACTGACTCGAGCATATTCGACACGTTCTGGCCAGACTGGATCGCCATCATGGTATCCGAAGTGCTCTTCGTATCGTGGAAGTCGGACGACAGGTTGAGCACGTGGGAGTAAGCCGCTGTGCTCATGGCGTCGAAAGAATAGAACTCGACCGGTATCCAGAGCCATTGGCGCAGGAGGGATATTCCCGCGTCGGAAGCCACGAGCTTCAGAGCAGCGAAGATCAGGACCTCCATCCAAGGGTTCTTGCTGTTGACTTTGTTCAGAGAATCCATGACGATACCCAGTTGCCGTGGGATCAGAACATTGACAAAATTCATGGTTAGCAGGCAGACACCGACCAAGCCTGCCCGAATCTGAAGCTCCTTGTTGTTGACGGGCCAAATGTAAGGGAGGAAGATCTAGTTCATCAGAGGGTCAGCAAAGGCCACAGAAATGACAGAAGGGAATAGCCATATCATACGAGAAAACTCTTCGCGTAGGCAATCCAGTTGCCCTTCTCTTTCAAGCGCTTTTCCATCTGTTCGCTTGCTCGACGCTCTCGCCTTTCCCAATGCGACTCGGCGGTTCCCGTGGTCCCCGAGGTCCCCGTCGTCTCCGTGGCTCCTGTGGTCTCCGTGGTATCCGTTGTCTCGGACTGTGTGGTATCCTTGGAGGTATTCGTGACAGATCCGTATCCGTTTGCCTGTCTGCCCGCTGTCTCCGTTTCGGCATCAGCTCCTGGTTCGGCATCCTTCTGAATGAGAGGTTGTTGTTCGGCATCCTTCCCCACTTCCTGCGCCTGTTTGCAAGGCAAGCCGAAAAAGAGAAGTAGCACGAGGAGAAATGAGGCGTAGCGGACGGAAGCGGTGGCAATGTCGAGAAATTGGACGTATGAGAGCACGCTGTGCGGCTGCCCAAGGATCGAAAAGACCTCAATGATAGGCTCAAAAACCAAAGCGATCAGGTAGGATCCGATGTAGGGGTACCAGACTGGATTCTCCGAGTCAGAGAGGCCCGCGAGCTCCAGTCCAAACACAAGAATGCAGGAGAGCAGGCCTATGATGGCATCCTGGCGGAAAAGAAATTCTCTTGCTATCAGTGACTGGATCAACAAGGATGACAGTTGGACGAGGTAGGTCAGAACGCTGAAGAGCAGTATCGATTGGATGCCGGGTCGTTGGAGATTCTGATTCCTCAACGACTTTGTCCTGAGGGTGCACACGGCGATGGTGGATGAGATTATGTAGTAAGAGAAAACAAGGGCAGGGTAAGCATAACGGAGGCTCAAGAGCGCCGGTGCTAGAGGATGGGTCGGCCCCGCGCGACCAATGTCATCCCCTGGCGGAGGAGATATCATCGCGATGCGAGGACTGAACCTCTGGTTCGTGTCCAGTAGAAGAATTGTCCGATGACGGGCTCCGGTCGGGACTAGGGTGACTTCTAGGATATCCGAAAGACACTTTTACCAAGAGAATATTCTGCTCGGCGTCACACATGAAGTTGAAGACAGAAAGGCGGGCAGGTAAAGGCTTGGTTTGCAATGTGAAGCCAGTTGCGAGAGGATTTCTGCTGAGGTGTACCTCCTTCCGGAAGTAGGTAGGTAAATGGTAGCGGAGCAGAGTGGTGGGTGATCGGATGGGGAACAGTCACGGGACGTGGACCTTCTCGGTGAACCTGCCTGATGAACCTGGCAGGTATTACTGTAGCAACTTCGAGACGTGGAGGTAAAGAGCCGGTGTCAGGTAGGTACCCCCGGTGTTCTTGTCGTACTGGAGAGTGGCAAGGGCAATCACGACCGTAATGAGGGCCAGACGGAGGAAGGGCGCACCTTCCCACCTTGCGAGTAACCAAACACAGGCCGTCCGGATCGGTGCCCGACTTCTTCTCGGCCTGCGATCCGAGCTCACAAAGCCAAGTCGGAGTCGAGATTCCGGTTGAGTCTGAAGCAAAACGGGCCCGATTGCAGAGCAGAGTGGTATGGAAGTACCAGGTATCCAAGGGAGGAAGTTGGGTAGGTAGGTACCTAGGTAGTGATGGCGTTGTCCCAACAATGCGCCGGCTTAGAGACCAACCAACGGTTTCCCAACTGCTTGCAGCTTGCAAGAAAGAGGGCAGTCGGCAGTACCGATAAACCTTGGGGTTCTTCCTTTATCCTCTTTTCTCGCGACTGCCAACCCCAGCAACAAGTAACTGACGCACCCTGTCCACACCTTCCTCGATTTCCAGGCCGGATTTACTGAATCCCACGAGCTTTTCGTGGCGAAAGGACCACTCCTTCGGTTAAGTCCTGCCTCGCTGTCTGTTCCCGGCTGAAGACAGCGCCGCCCACCTGCATCCAGAGGAGGGGGAATAGGAAATATCCGATAGCAATGCTGGTGAAAAAGGATCTTGAGGGATGTGTCAAGATTGGGGCCTCAGTTCAATGTCCGACGTCTTGATAAACAACCAATCGGTTCGGACAAACAGCCAAGTTTGTCAACCCTCCCCTTCGGGTATTGGCTGCTGACGGTGGCGGTGAGGCGAGAGGGAACTTCCTTCGCACTTGATTGCCTTTGACAAAGACCCTGAGAGCCAGAAATGGAGAGAGTGCGAGACGGCGGGACAACAATCGAGCCAACAGCGAAACAAAGAGGGCAGTGGAACCGGATGAAACAGGCAGAATCAAGCCATGGAAGTGGAAGAGGGAGACATGCACAGCATATCTATTCGTGGGCGTCCCGACCGGGCCCGTGGCACCGAGGACGGTCCTGGCCGCGCCCAGGCCGACGGCGTTCATCAAGGCTGATGGGAAAGGAAGTCACAAGACGATCCCATTGCATAGACATTGCATAGCCCTCCTGCAACCCCTTGCGCTTGGCTCTTCCCGCTGCTTGTCTTGCAGCGTTTGCGGCTTTTGACCGGCCCCGCGACTACGCTAGTTGCGTGTGCCCCTGGTTCAACGAACGGTCTGCCAGGTTGGACTAGGGTACCCCGAGGTTGGGATATTGGTAAGGACTTCACCGCTCCCACCCCCGCCGAATCCCTCCGCGGCGTTTCTTCCTCGCCTCTCCGGTCTGAATTGGGGCAAATGTGTGCCTTCTTTGCCATCGCGGTAGTGATACGTGGAGGCAATGGCAAGTGCATGTCTCACAGCCGCTGCGAAACGTCATTCGACAGCTCTCATGATCTGACCAACCACGATATGCGCAGTAGCCAACCACAAGCCCGATTCCCAACAAAGCCTAACAGCACGTCTGCCGATTGCTGGCAGGACACTGACGGATGCATATAAATTTGACGTGGCAGGGAAGCTGTTGGTTTCCCTTCGCATTTTGGATGTCGTCTGTCCTCAATCCCACCTCCCTCTTCGCACCTTTTAGGTCTCTGGAGAGCTCCCCCCTGCTTATAGTTCGCGTATTATGCCGCAACTGTGGAAACATGGCTGAATAAACCCTGTCCCAAAACGAAAGGGAATAGAAACAAAGGAACGAAACAACATGACATTCTCTCGATAAAGTCAGGATAGTTGGATCGTTTCCGCGCCCAGAGCGTATTCAAATGGGACGATACGGCCGGGTTTCTGCCACTGATGTAGGGAACTCTGACTCAGCTCTCATCAACTCGGCACATCTCTCAAGACACAACCCTGGACATTCGCAGGGGGAGCAATGCACACCTGCAGACCGATCCCCCCCCGTGCATCATATGTGTATAATGGCCTCGCTCCTGCACAGATTGTACCCCGTTACAGATAAGATCTTCGACTTCTCAGGCAGTGCTATGAAGTACTGTCAGGCACTCTGGTCGATCAGCTTCTTGCCGGAAACGCGCGTCGAAGCTCCCAAGATGGGATGGGATATGGAATTCTCGTTGCACATCTAAAGCAGATGCCAATGGAAACTCAGGTTCCCACGCAGGTCTTTTGAGACAGTGCCGACCCATCATCAGTGGCTGTTTCATAACTATCACCTGAGGGCTGACCGCCTCCTGCAGGACGGTGAGCAGCGAGGCTGTCTTGTCCACCCATTGACCTCTCAGCCATTGGACGCCTTCGTGATCCATGCCTCTGTGTAATCAGGGAACGCCAGATTCTGCCCATTCCGTCTGAATATAGCACCGATAGCGACAACCATCACACATACATATGTACGCAACCCAACGCCGACATCCCCCCCGAAGATGCCAGCTACGATCCTACCTGGCAAGCTGCCTACCATTCACAGGTGAGGCTACACCAGTAACACGGACATTGTCTCGATAGTCGACTGTCCGACTGAACGCGCACGAGATATCGGAAGCAAAGTCCAGCGATGCTAGGCTTCCTAAACCCGTGCTCACTTCCTTACGGGGCAACTGCCACTGTCCACCGTCTCCTGCTTCTCTTCAGATGGGGTTTTTTGTTGCCACGGGGCTTATTAGGTCCCTAAACTCACCATACCGTGCCTATGGCTATTACCTCTTCCTTCACCGGTGTCCTACTGAACAAGCCTTATGCGGAACTGGGGTAGTACGCAGACAGCTGCTTACCACCGGGCCGCTGGTGCTACCTCAAATATTGCCTCCGTGGCTGCCGGGTACCACCTACACCCCAGGAGCGGCCGCAATGGGTTGACTCTCGATAGCAATGGTATAGTTTCCTTGCCTTATCAACGACTTTAAGCTCCCGACCGAGTGCCGAGTCAGACATCGCGGCACCCGAGGCCGCGTCGTCACGGACCCCACTGAGAAATCCGGCATCAAGCAGCCTGCCCAGGAGCTGATCTGGGAAGCACTCGCCGGCCCTGGGTGGGGGGGACACAGCTTTTGGCAAGCATTAGGGACTGGCCAGACCCGCCACGCCGCCTTGTCACTGAAAAGGCTGATGCAAGACGCCACCAACTGAGCTTGGTCGTCCGGCTGGACAAATCGAGCTAGGCCGTGATAATTGCATAGGTAGCTTGCATCCTGAGAGATGGCTCTGCTAGTTGACTGCCAAGCTGCTCCCGAATGTCATATCCAAGCTTGAAGAAAATGGCTTGCTCTTCACAGGTTGATTTGAAAGGACAGCACCACATGTCGGTGGAGGTTGACAAAAAAAATAAAAATAAAAATAAAAAATAGACAAGGCAAAGAAAAAAATATGATCCAAAGAAGCAAAAAAAGACAAAAAAGAATTGGACAAGCCGCGATTTGAACACGGGACCCTCTGCAATTATCCTTTTAAGATGCAAAGCAGAAATCATAACCACTAGACTACTTGCCCAATTGTTATTGGTGTGTGTGTTTATCGTACGCCATGTAGGTAGCGCTGGGCAGCCCCTTGTCACAACCCACATGTATGTCTAAGCCAGGAGCTTTCAGATCTTACCTAGAGAGCCCAAAAGACTGCAAAAGACTGCGCCTTGACTTGGAACTGCTTTCCATGCTCAGGTAGGATAATATAAAATACATACCACTTGATTGGCTTACTCTTTGGATGGCGCGGCATTGCTATGTGGCTAGGGTAGGTACCTAGGAAAGTGATTGAATCAACTGGGCAACTGCGATCCAAGAAGTAAAATACGTAAACTCAAAATGAGAAGACTTCATCTATCAGCCAAGCCACGCGCAACAAGGGTAGAGATCCCAAGGTCAATGTGGCAAGAAAGAAAGGTTCCAGGGCCAAGACACCAAAAAAGAAGGATCCAAGGCTGGCGAGGCGAGCCTTGAGGAAGGGATCGAAGCAACGCCAGCAACTACGGGAACAGACCCGCATTCGAAATTACAAGATCCTTCTCTACCTTCGCCCCTCTACTTCTGGAAGGAGGCAGACCCAAAAACCGGCTACCTAAGTCAGTGGCATCACTGCCCCTTCACAGACAACGATGGCAAAACCTACAAGACCGCCGAGCAGTAAGTCATCACAAGCCAACCTGCTCCCTCTCCCCCAATGCAAACCACCCCAAAAAAACCGCCGTATCAGCCCCCTAACCGCCACCGGCCCAGCTACATGATGCACCACAAAGCCCTCCTCTTCAACGACCCCACCACAGCAACCGCCATCCTGCAAGCCTCCACCCCGCGCAAAGCCAAGTCGCTAGGCCGCCGGGTAACGGGTTTCGACCCCGCCGTCTGGACGGCGGAGAGGTGCCGCGTGGCGCGCGACGCCAACAGGCGCAAGTTCTCCTCGGACGCGCTCCGGCCCCGGCTGCTCGGCACCGGCCGCGCGGAGCTGGTGGAGGCGAGCCCGTTCGACCGCGACTGGGGCATCGGGTTCGCGGCCGCGGAGGCCGGGGGGAAGAGGGAGCGCTGGGGGATGAACTTGCTTGGGAAGGTGCTGATGGAGGTGAGGGGAGAGCTTGAGATGGAGGAGGGAGGAGGAGAGCGAGGCGAGGGGGGCCCCCAGGGGGGACGCCTTGAAGAAGAGCCTCCTTCAATTTGATTATGTTAGTTCAGCGTCCGGTTACTGATGAAGCATAGATAGCCTCGGTGCCAAAAAGTTTTGGCTTGTATTATTGGTTTCCCTCCGGATTGGGGAGGATGTATGTTATTTTCGTCTTTAAATAGCCTAATCTACAGTGTCAACGGCAGCGAAAAGTCTCCAGCCTTCCAATATCGTCCGTCTCAAGAGTGGTGTTTGAAGTTGGAAATGCTCGGTCTTGCGCCATTTCTATTGAAGGGCCTCCCCAACTCCATAAAGGGACTGATGCGACACGTGTTGTACATTTCGGGGTAGTAAAACATCAGGTAGGAGAATAGCGCAGTCGCATGCGCCGTTGCGTGGGACTCCTTCCCCAGCTGATTAAGGATTGATGCCTTCTGGGGGCTGAGTTGCTCAGATGTAATCGCGCCCGCTCTTCTGCATCTCGATCAACCTCCAGCCTCTCGTCTCGGGATTGTTGACATCCTCGGGGACGCGAGTGATGCCGATGGCGTAGGTGACCAGTTGGACCTTGTCCTCCATCCCGGCAGCCAGCGCGTTGGTCTTGGCATTGCGGTAGACGTGAACTTCCTGGGTCCTGCAAGTAATGATGAAAACGGGGATCTCGCCAGGTTCAAGCATCCTCGCTTTCAAGATATCCACGTGGCGGATGTCTAGGATCCGGCCGTCGGACTTCAGCCCGGCTGCGAGGTATTGCTTGGTCAAGGCCTCATAAACCGAATACTGCGCTTCAGAGAGCCACAGCTTCAGCGTTGCGATATCCCCCTTGACGTACGCATCCAAAACCTCGGGCAGGATGTATTCCCGAAGATCCTGCAGGAATGGCTCGACCTGGAAGGAGGGATCAATGGACCTCAGCTTCTTGATGACGGTCGCTGTTTCGTTCTCGGCGAAGAAGCCCGCAACCCGGTCGGTGATGCTCCTAGCCGTGGAGATAAGGGGGTTTTCCGATTCGTTATACACGTTCTTCATGCCAAAGACGCCCTGCACGAATTTGTTGGAATCCCGGAAATCCCTCCAAGCTTCTTTCCAGGCAGCATCTTTGTGCAAGGTGACGTTGGTCCCCGCGCTGCTATCTGTCAGCTCAGGCCACTAATGGGACGCAAAGGATCGATGTACTCACTTGGGATCTTCCTCCAATATCTCACCGCTTGCCTTGCCCTCCTTTTCCATCTGCTCTCGCAGCTCCTTCTTCTTCCTCCGCTCCTCCTTCTCAATCCAGCCACCATATCTTGAGCTGCTCCCGTCATCGATGACGTCCTTGACGTTCTTATAAGCATCGGTGTCTCGGATTGGCTTGGTAGCTTTGTCTAGAACGTCCCCCGTGAGGTTGGCGCCCTTGCGAACGCCTTTCATCACTGGTGTCTCCCAGGTCCACGCTGCTCCCTTGCCGATGGCACCGGCTGTCGATTTCACCACGGTCGAGGCAGTAGAAGAGACGGCTCCAGACGTGGTTTCGTAAGCTTGTCGCGCTTTTCGCACAGACTCGCTTTCGGTGAACTGATGCGCCGAGGATGCGAGGGCCTTGGTGGACTCGTTCCATTCCTTGGACTGCTTGAACTCGACTTGCATTGTCTCGAGGAAGACTTGCCATGGTGTCTTGTCGCCGTGAGGAGGCGGAGGCGGGAGGTCCTCCTTCTTCTTCTTCTCTCCGCCTTCCGCCTTCTCTTCGCCTTCTGACTTCTGTTCGCCTTCTGATTTCCCTTCGCTCTCCTTCCCTTCGGCCTCCTGATCTTGGCGAGATTGCTCTTCAGCCGAAGACTCAGGCTTCTGTTCCGATGCGGGCTCGGAAGTTTTGCTGTCCTGCCGTGACTTTGCTTCGGCCTTCCCGCCGTCCTCGGCTTGTAGTTGTGAAGAGACGTGGAAAGATCGACTCAGGGGCGAGGACGTCTGGAGACAGACAGAGTCTGGCAAGAAGCGTGATCGCAGAGGGGCCGGTTGGAGGGGAGCGAAGCGGTTGTGGTTTGCGACATTCGCGTTGGCATTGAGCAATACTACGCGACCCGACAATAGCCTTCGATATGCTGGAGATCTGCCGTAGGAGTAGGTAGAAAGAGTGGACGCTCTCGAAAGAGCATGATGAGGCGCAGAGGCCAGGGAGTTCCTAATATGGTTCATCCTTTATCGCAGAGACGAGCCCAGTGAAAGGCTCGAGGCAGCTGGTTTGGAAGACGATGCAAGAGGTGCGAGTGACAGACAGGTGACGGAAACGGAAATTTCAAGAGGTGAGGATTTTCTGCCATGCGATTTCGCTTCCGGCTTGGGCCCGGCAGGGGCCAAGGTAGGGTACATACATGGATGTTAGCGTCGGGGGGCCCGGGCGCATTGGATTGGACGGTTCCATTGGAAGAGCATGTCCGAACCGGAGATTTCCCGTGGGACTGTGTGTACCTACATTCTACACTTTACAGCAGATTTTCGATTGAGCAGACGCGAGGCAACATCCCCCCAAAGAGGTTCACCAAACCAGCGGATGAGGTCGATTGCAGAGAGATGAGTCGAGTTCCGACAAGTCGCCTTCTGGCGACCAACATCCGCCAAACAATATCACGACCCAGCGTATCGAGCCGAGCGGTTCCCCAATGGATCGCATGCTTTTCGGGGTCGGCATCGAGGCCAGCAGAGCAGGGCAACGACCCGAGCCAGAACCTGCTCAACACCCTCAGAAGCGCAAAGTCAGATAATACGAAGATTGGCTCGCCCAAAGCAAACGCCATGGACGAGCTCGCAAATGCCAGTTCCAAACTGGTGATGGGAACCCTGTCCAGAGCGCGCAACATGGAGCCGACGGGCGACAGCAACCTTGCACAGCAGATCGGCTTCGAGGAGGAGGAGACTAAGGAGCCATATCACTTCCACATCTACAGCCACAAGCACAACACGCACATCACCGTCACGAAGCCCAGCCGGGACGCCATCCTCTCCCTGTCGTGTGGAAACCTGGGCTTCAAGAAGTCGAACCGGAAACACTACGACTCGGCCTACCAATTGGGCGCCTACGTGATTGACAAGCTGCAGCAGGAGGGGTGGCATAAGAAGATAAAGAGCCTGGAGGTTGTGCTCAGAGGCTTCGGTCCTGGCCGGGAAGCTGTGACGAAGGTTCTGCTTGGAAACGAAGGGAAAATGCTACGGCCATCCATCGTCCGAGTGGCCGACTCCACGAGGCTGAAGTTTGGCGGCACACGAAGCAAGAAGCCAAGACGGTTGGGTTAAACGATTGCATCTGGAGGGGATAGCAGACAAACCACGAATTGGCACGGCGTCTGGGAGGTTCAAGAAGCTAGACGTAGACCGGGGAGGAGCCTTCTTGGTGGAGGGGATTCGACTGGGGATGTGATGTATGTATGTATGTTATGCATCTGTACACTAGATATGGTCTCAAGGCCGATTGCAAGATACGATTTGAGGATCGATCAAGAAATTGGCACAAAAGGCCTACATATCGTGCAAAATAACACCAAACGTTGTCGTCCCCTCGGGAGAATGCCATTTTCCTGACAATTCCATGCGCAGAGGCCGGGCGGGACCCACTAAATATTTTTATTCTGGGCTGTCGCCTCCACCACCTCCACTACCAAGCTATTCTGCGTAGAAAGCAGTCTTCGACAAAAGGCAACAACGCCATGTAGGAGCGGCACCAGAAAAAAAGAAGAAACATGACGAACCCGCAACCAACGCCGTCTCTCTCGGCGCTCCTGAGCCCCGACGCCCTCTTCGGCAACCCGCTCTTCGCCGGCGGGATGGGCCTCGCCGGGCTGGGCGCCGCGGCCGCGTTCGGGCGGCGCCTCGCCATCTCGGGCGCCGGCATGCTGCGGCGCCGCATGCTGGTCAACGTCGAGATCAGCCGGCGCGACCCGTCGTACCCGTGGGTGCTCGCCTGGCTGTCGCAGCCGCGCCCGAGCCCGGGCTTCCTGGCCTCGAGGCTGACGCGCATCCACAACCTGTCCATTGCGACGTCGACTAGCCGGCCCAGCGCGCCCGGCGGTGGCGGCGGCGACGCCGAGGCGGCCGCGGGGGGGCCCGTCCACGCCAGCTTCTTCCTGCAGCCCGGGTACGGGCGGCACCTGGTGCGGGTGCGCGACGGGGTGTACCTCTCGGTGCGGCGCGAGAAGACCAGCACGGCCAGCCTGAGCACGGGCGAGCCGCACGAGACGGTGACGCTGACGGCGCTGTGGCCGCACCGGCGCGTGTTTGAGGAGGTGTTCTCCGAGGCGCACGCGCTGAGCGCCCGCGCCCACGAGGGCAAGACGGTCGTCTTCGCGGCCCGCAAGCTCGAGTGGGCGCCGCTGGGCGAGCCGCGCCGCAAGAGGCCCCTCGGCAGCGTCGTGCTCGACGAGGGCGTCAAGGAGGGCGTCGTCGCCGACGTCAAGGACTTCCTCGGCCGCCAGAGCTGGTACGTCGACAGGGGGATCCCCTATCGCAGGGGGTACCTGCTGTACGGCCCGCCGGGCAGCGGCAAGACGTCCTTCATCCAGGCCCTCGCCGGCGAGCTCGACTACAGCGTCGCCATGATCAACCTGAGCGAGGTCGGCGTCACCGACGACCACCTGGCCTACCTCCTGACGAAGCTGCCCAAGCGCAGCATCCTGCTGCTGGAGGACGCCGACGCCGCCTTCGTCAACCGGAGGCAGAGGGAGTCGGACGGGTACAGCGGCGCCACCGTCACCTTCTCGGGGCTCCTCAACGCCCTGGACGGCCTCGCCGCTGGCGAGGAGAGGATCGCCTTCCTCACCACGAACCACATCGACCGCATGGACCCCGCGCTCATACGGCCGGGCCGCGTCGACATGATGGTCCGCATCGGAGAGGCCACCCGCTACCAGGCCGGCAAGATGTGGGAACGGTTCTACGGCGACGTTGACCAGGACGGATCCGGCCGGGAGAGGTTCCTCACGCGGCTGGACGACTTGGGCCTCTTTGGAGAAGCACCGGATATGCCGAAGAGGCGTACTTCGACCGCTGCCATCCAGGGCCTCTTCCTGTTCAACAAGAACGATATGGAGGGCGCCATCAACATGGCCGAAGGGCTGATCCCCCGCACATTCGAACCGGAGCCCCAAGACGCAGAGGGGACGATCAAGTCTCCGGCTTGATGTCCGGACCAGGGGCTTGGCCGCATTGCTCTACGAAGCTGCGGCAGAGGAGTTGAATCGGAGATCTTAAGGCGAATTTGTATACCACGTTTGTACGATTTGTATGTTAAAAGGGGAATAGACCAACGATACCCATACCAACTATATTACATCAAGATGCGCGTTCCTCTTGCCAATCTGGTCTCTGCGTTCTTCTGCCCGCGAATAGAGTTCCTTTCACCAGTACAGAATCCTCGGCTTGACGACTTCACCAGGACTTGGTCAGCTACTACTACATGAGGATGATAGCCCCCCTGCATAGATCGGGTTAGAACGTGGTTCTTCGAATCAATCGGCATGAAGTTGGCCTGGGCTCTACGAGACTTGAAGGTTGGGGCGGTAACATGGCAGATTAATCCTCTCTGAACAACCCAACATAAGTAATTCGCCATGGTTTGACGAGTGCATGGGTATCTTGGTATCTGGGTAACTAGGACGGGAAAAAGAGATCTGCCCGAAAAAAAAGCCCATCCGTGGAGTCGCACCACGTAACCCTAGGTTCTAGGTGATAAAGATATTACCTGCGGTTGCCCTAGACGGCAAAGGTATCCAAACTTGTTTCTCCATATAAGGCGTCGGCCTGTAGACATCCGAGCATTTAAGGTTCGAGACTGTAGAAAACTTTCCACTTCATCAAGTTCGCAATTATTACAATAAATCAACCCAAAAACACCCCTTTACATTGCCGCCTTTCCGCGGGACTCGAACGGTAATGCAAGGACAAGGAGGCCAGCCGCTATGAAGAGCGCGCCGCTAGTATACACGGGCGCAGACGTCTGGAGGTTCGCAAACATGGCGATGATAGGCTGTGGAGGAACATCAGCTGATTTAGTCTGGTTTAAACAGAGACACGCACGCAGGGCGTCACGTCGATTGGAGGGTTGGGTCCGGGACTCACAGCCATGATGCCAAACACGCGGTTACAGGTCGCGGACAGGGCATTCCCAGTGCCCCTCTGCGGTGTCGGGAACAGCTCCGGCGTGAAGCTATACAGGACGGCGTACATGACGTTACTGGTGAGGCTGAAGGCGCAGTTCCAGCCCAGGAGCGACTCGGAGCTGAGCGCGGTGGTGGAGCCGTACAAGACGACGCCCGTCAGCACCGTCGACACCGACAGGGTGCCCTTCCTCCCGAACCGCGGCACCTCGACCAGCCAACCGCCGATCAGGGCGCCGGGGATGCCGAGGACGGCGATGATGAGCGAGTTGCGGTACGTCAGGTAGGTGGAGCCGTCGTGGAAGTGGGCGCCGCGGGTGGCCTGGATGTAGGGCAAGAAGGCGTTGTACAGCGGGTACCCCAGGCCGATGAAGGCCCAGACAACCATGATCAGCCCGGTCGACAGGGCGAGACGCTTGGTGGAGAAGAGGACGCGGACGCGGTCGAGGTTGACCTGCTCGAGGCGGCGCTTCACGGCGGCGACCGCGTCCGTCTGGGCCTCGTAGCCCTCGGGCTCGCACGCCTTGAGGTCTGCCAGCGTGAGCTCGCTGGTCTTGCCGTTGCGGCGTGCGACCTCGTGGACGATGCGCACGGCGTCCTCGTCGCGGCCCTTGCCCATCAGGAACTTGGGAGACTCGTAGATGGTGAAGAGGGCGAAGCGGATGAAGAACATGATCAGGGTGAGGCCGCCAACGGTGATCAGGAAGTACCGCCAACCCATGTTGCCCTTCCTGGTGCAGACCTCGTCCTGCTGGCAAGTGAGGTTCCCCAGGAGCGGCCAGGCGATCAGGGTTGCGACAACCTGGGCAATGGCCCAGTCGACGGAGAGAATGGTGAGCAGGAACTGGTGAGACGCCGGCAGGAACTCGAGGAAGATGGCGCTGTCGACGGGCAGGTTTCCGCCGACGCCGAAGCTCCACAGGGCGGCAAAGACGCCGATGGCTGCGAAGTTTGGGGCGCTGGCGGCAACCATCCCCCAGACGGCGGTGAGGCCCAGGGTCAGGTTGAAGGCCCACTTGCGGCCGAAGATGTCGCAGCCAAAGCCCCAGAAGATGGCACCGGCCAGCAAACCGATGTTCTGGGCGAGGGTGAGAAGGGGCGGTCTAGAAGGGCCGAACTCGTTCGCGACGGGGGTGAATATGAGCGAGGTCACTATAGGCCAGAGGTTGTCGCTGGCCCAGCCGAAGCCGACGACCATGAATAGCTGCCATTGATACCATCCCATGCCAATCTCTTGGATCTAGATCTGCAGTTAGCTATGACGACTGTCGAGGACTCGTGGCTTGCGAAGGCGGCATCTTGCAGCATGGTTTAAGACCCGGGCCTTGGCCTCGTAGACCGGGTCTATCTGGCCCTTGGGGATGATGGCATCGTCGTCCTTGCCGATGGCCACCACGCCACCCAGCTGAGGTTGCGACTGGAGCTGAGGGTCTCCCCCCTTGTCCTCGATGTCGTGCTCGATATTGCCCATGCCCACCCAATAAAGCAAGGTCAAGAGCTCTGTTTTAGCCGGGTAGCTGGTACTACAAGAGGATTCAAATATGGTACGATCGATGATCTAGGTCGGCAGCGTGACAATGTATATGCCATCCCACTATGTAGGCATCACCGGCATCGACAAGTGGGGTGGGGGGATACAGAAACTTATTTATACTCTGTACCCAACTGACGTATCCATACAGATAAGGAACCAGGGCCCACAGGATGTAACCACAGCAAGTAGGTAATTTCCAGGGTAAGGTATGAGCATGTCGATCTCCCGGGGCCTCCTCGAGTTGATGTGCGAGGAAAAGGCGTGTAGACGCCAGGGAATCGCGCAATTGTGGGAGATACCCGGTCGTTTGTGTTCGGCAGCAAACCATAATCCACCTTGCCAAGGGCCCTGACTGAGGGCTTCGGTGTGTGGGATATATCTATAATGACGCCATTAGCGCTTGGGAGACAAACTTCCGTCTAGGTAAACTTAGGTTCCAGATTCCAAGTAGGTTACTTCCATTCCATATTATTAGTTCTTCCTCCGCCGAATCAAGGTTCCTTGTATTTTCTTGTAAGCCACGTGCTTCTAGGTTCCATGTCTTAGTCGTCTGGACATCTGGAAATCTGGAGATGCTTGGAATAGCCTTCCGAATAGATACCGGTGCTATTGATATTCGTATATCTGCCCTGCTCCCATGTTCTAGATGGCCTCTGGTTCGTGTTATATTGTATAGAAGCGAAGGTAAGGAGGTACACTAGGTACTTAGGTATCACTGAACGTGGGTCTCTCTGTGACGAAAGCGGCGTCTTGCCGTAAATTTCAAGTAAGCCACCATTGGAATCCCTGGGACGCCATTCGATGTCTGCTCGCTTTTAGCTCGCCGAATTCCAAGCCTACCTACCAGAGTAGACTAGGCTACAGCGCTCCCAGAGTGGCCTGGAGGCTTGTCTGGAGCTTCGGGTCGCATGACGGGGAGGACTGTTAGATGCCCGGTTGGCGCTCGGCGAGACCCCCCTTTCGGCCGTCATCCGGCTCCCCCGCATTTGCCCCGCCATCTGAGCAACAGCTCAACCCCACCCCAGTCCTCGACATTTCTCCCGCTGTAAACTCTCCCTCCCTCGTAATCGCCATATACCCCTTCAGCCCTGTACCGATATTGCCTCGAGAAGCCAATATTCAGGATGGGCTCTACATCGGCTGACAAGGAGGAGCTGACGGTGCTCGTGACCGGGTTCGGGGTAAGATGAAGCTCGCATATGGACCCCTGTTGTGGGCATGCGCGATAAGACAAAGGGCTGACTCGACCCTTCCTTGTAATCCATCTAGCCCTTTAAAGAGCAGCACCCAGTAAACCCATCGTGGGAAATCGCATCGAGGCTGCCCGACTACCTACCGCCCATCCGCGCCAAGACCGCCCACCCGTCGTCGTCCTCGGCCGCCCCGCTGCCGCCGGTGCGCATCCTCGTCCACCCGGAGGCCATCCGGGTCAACTACCAGACCGTCAGGGGCCTCGTGCCCCGGCTGTGGGACCTCGGCGGCGACAAGCGCCGGATAGACGTGGCGATCCACATCGGCATGGCCGGTCCCGCCATGGCCTACTCCGTCGAGCGGCGCGGTCACCGGGACGGCTATGCGCTCAAGGACGTCGACGGCGAGCTGCTCAAGGACCAGGACAGGCGGTTGAGGGAGGGGGAGGACTGGGTGTGGCACGGCATGCCAAAGGAGATGGAGACGGATTTCGATCTCGACGACGTGCTGGGGAGGTGGAAGAAGCACAGCCCGGTGAGTCTTTGCTGCCCCCCCTTTGGTGGACTGTGTGTGTGTGTGTCAAGAGACTGACTGTCGCGTCGCGTCTCAGGACGGCCTCGATCTCAGGATTTCCGAGGACGCCGGCCGGTACTTGTGTGACTTCATCTACTTCTCAAGCCTTGCGCATCTTACGAAGGCCCAGGAGACCAAACGGGTCGTTTTCCTTCATGTGCCATCAAATAGTTCGGAGAAAGCTATCGCGACGGGGCGAGAACTCGCCTTGCAGTTGATACGCTCGATTGTGGAGAGTGAAATTGCCAGGCGAAAGCTATAATCGAGAACTAAGAATCGTTTGTTACTTTCTGCTTGGGGGTGCGATTCATCTAGTTGAGCTTCGCCTGCTAGAGAGATAGCTCCACAGGTGACGTCTCCTTGGTCAGGAGTAACTAGGCGGCTGAGGACATGGCAACGAGCGCTATCGAGCGAGGGGCGTGCCAGACAAGCAGTGGTCCGCGCCTGCCCGCCTGCTTGCCTGATATTATTTCAGGTCTTTTCCTCATGTAACGGGGCCTAAGAAGCAGGACTTCTGCCACTTCTTTTCTCTCTCTGCATATATTGGCTTCGAGGAGCGAAGTTGAAGGTTCCTTCACAATGAACACATCATTCTTCCTCAGTACTTCCTTGTCTGCGCCCATTTCTCCTGCTCATGAAGCCATGTCCAGATGACTTAGTCGCGAGCCTTGGCTGGCTTGGCTGACTTTGGTCCTTTAGGTCTCGAAGAACAGCAAGGACAGGAAGGGAAACCCGACAGGCAGGAAGAGGAGTGGGGTTCTTCGCCGTGTCGCTGGCGCCCCTGGAGGGAATGTTCCCTTCTAGAGCATTGTACCTCTGATCATCCCTCTGCCCGTTTCTCTGTACCCGGCCTGAGATCCTGCTCATCTTCATGAGAGGACCACGTGTCTGGTTGGGAGGTGGGTTAGTCCGTTCTTGACCCCATGGTAAGTAGGGTAGGTCCGCCTTGTGGTGCACATGACGCAGCAAGGAAACGAATGAAGAGCGCCAAAATGAGGGTAAGACGTGAAGGGCCACGTGAGTGATGGTAGCTTCCTGGGGTATCAGCGTCTGCTTCCGCCGAATCGCAAGTCCGTTGGATAAGATCGAATACGTTGTGAACAGAAAAAGGGGTAGACAATAGACAATTCTATCGCTGATTCTATCGTATTATTTCTAAGTGTCAAGGAAAAATCGTCACGGCATTATATCCCTCATAAGCCACACCTCTCTCCCCTCTTTCATCTATATCTATATCTAAACCTGGGCATCTCGGGGCCAGTGAGCTCGGTGATACTGGGTCGGCCATGCCACCGAAACCCCCAGCTTCTGCGCCGTCCTGAGCACAAACTCGGGCTCCCTCAGGAACTGCCTCGCGACGAGGACCATATCCGCCTGCGTCCTCTGGCCGTTCTCCTCCTCGACCTCGACGGTGCCGTCCGCGGCGCCACCGGCCAGCGAGCCGTCGTCCTGGACGATGGACCGGGCCATCTCGGCGGTGGTGATCATGCCGACGGCGCCGATGGCCAGCTGCTTGCCCTCTGCCTTGAGGGCGGCGCGGACCCGGCCGGCGATGCTGACCTGGTAGTACGGGTGGACGTCGATCTTCTGGCGCGTGTCGTTGCCGCCCGAGCTGACGTCCAGGAGGTCGACGCCGAGGTCCGGGAGGAGGCGGGCGAGGCGGATCGTGTCGTCGACGGTCCAGCTCTCCTCGCCCGAGTGCTCCATCCACTCGGTCGCCGAGAGGCGGAGCAGGAGCGGCATCGACTCGGGGATAACGGCCCTGACGGCTTTGATGACGTCGATGAGAAGACGGGTGCGGTTCTCGAAGCTGCCGCCGTACTTGTCCGTCCGTTTCTGCGGGCCCATGTCAGTTCCTCGCGTTTTGTACCCGTGCTTGAGGAAATACTTACGTTGGAAATTGGGGAGAGGAACTCGGTGATCAGATAACCGTGGGCGCCGTGGATCTCAATGGTGTCAAAGCCGGCCTCGACCGATCTCCTGGCGGCATCGGCGAAGCTCTGGACAAGGCCCTCGATCTCGGCGATCGTGATCTCCCTGGGGTTCGGGTAGGTCGCCGAGAAGGGGATCGCACTGGGGGCCCAGACGTTGTCGGGCCAGCCGCCCTGCTCGGCGGGGGCGACCTCGCCCTGGCCGCGCACGGTGATGTGCCAGGGCGCCAGGGTGCTGGCCTTGCGGCCGGCGTGGGCCAGCTGGATGCCGATCTTCTGGCCCTGGGAGTGGGCGTAGTCGACGACGCGCCGCAGCGGCGCCACCTGGCTGTCCTTCCAGAGCCCGCTGTCCTCGGGCGAGATGCGGCCGTTGGCGGTGACGGCGGTGGCCTCGACGATGGTGAGGCCGGCGCCGCGCAGGGCGAAGGACCCCAGGTGCACGAGGTGGAAGTCGGTTAGGTGCCCGTCGTCGGCGCTGTACGTACACATGGGCGAGACGGCGAACCGGTTGGGCAGAGTCATGGACCGGAGGGTTAGCGGCGTGAAGAGCGTCGGCACCTCGGCCCCGGAATCCAACGCCGTGCCGGCCGGTGGCTTCTGCGCCGGCGTATAGAAGGGAACGCCGGGAGCCGGGGCGCTCGCGCTCGCCGCTACTTTCTTGATCACGGTCATGGCTGGCGAATCAGATGTGCAAGGCGGGGGATAGTAGGCAACTTTGGGTACTGAGATGGGATTCAAGGTGTTTGGAACAAGTTGAAGGAATGGGAGCCGGCAGTTGTTTATTCTTCGTAGGATGTACTTGACATCTTGGACTTACATCCCAAGGTAGTTAAATACTAACCTCGGCGCAAACAACTGAAGCTACAGGGTGAACAAATAACCCGCAGGTGGCTTACCAAACCCGCCCAGTCTCAGGAACAGTAGGTTCCGGGCCGGCGAGATCTTAGTACGGATAAATCGCCACCACCCATGCAGATTCAGACATTTTCGAGACCCGGTTCTATTGTCTACGGCTCGTTTCTGTGGGCCATGGCTGATCGATCGCCCGGCTCCATTGCTTAATAATGGCCAAAACGTGGGGTCTCAACAGGCGGCATACGGCAGTCAACCCGGAGGCTGCCGTCGTCATTGATAAGCGACACTCCGTCCGGCTGCGTGGTCAGCCATATCCCAGCACACTCACCATGCTTCTCTGGATGCGCGCAAGGTGATGAGAAGGCACGACATTCCGCTGGGTATAGCCGCAGCCTCGAATACATCGGTGTCCGCCGTGCTGATGCCACCGACGATGCAGGGGACGTTGCGGCCCATCACCTTGCAGCGTTGCAGTGTGATGCTGCTGTTGCACCTCTCGGCGGAGGCGGCGGGCCACTGTGGATCGGGTCCCCGGCCTGACTCGCACAATGCACCCGGAAATTGCGACATGATCAGTAATTCGTGCCAGGAGATAAAGTTTTAAGACCAGGCAGGTCCGTGCCGACGGTGAGGGTTGGTTGATAGATTAAAGGTCTCGAGACTCCGGCCATACCATTATCCAGACTGTCGGTAGACAGAAGACCTTAGCATTGATATGTAAATGTTGAATCCCTTTAATAATCGAAACCGCGTCCCGGGTTTGGGTCCAAGAGCACGGCAGGGTTCCATCATGGGGCCTACGCGTTTACTGTGCATATGCATCATTGCCACCTCAACCTCGATAAAACTTCGGGGACACGCCAAGGGCAATTGCGTGCATCGATGCTAGGCGACTATTGCTTGGCTGGCTCCTCGAAATCTTTAATCCAAGGCTTATGGGCGAGGCATTGAACTGAACTGACAATTCGAGGAACATGAAGTGAAGAAAAGGGGCGCATTTCCTCGCTGCTCTATCCCTACCTAGGCTGATGAACCATCCAATTAAAATACCGAATTTAGACGACCCCGCAACCCCAATCGATCACCGCAGATTGTTTTATGAAACAGCTCAGACATCTCGGATAGATATGGTGGGGTTAGGGAAGCTGTACGGGAATCCGATCATGCAACAGCAATGCTAAAGTAATTCAGACGAGGAAGCTAGGGTGTGATCAGGAGGTGTGCAAGGGCAAGGGCACTCACTGAAAGGGGCAGAATGGGCAGAATCCGAAGCAACGAGGGAGGCCCTGGCGTGTTTGGCTTGGAGAGTAGGCGAGGATGGACTCCCGCATTGTTTCACGACCATCCCCTGGGTCCCGGCGCATATCTCGAAACAAAAAGCTATATATCGAGGCAACCATGATCCGGGTTTATTTGGATGATCCCCTTGCAATGTTAACCACCCGCCTGGGATGCATCAACCGCTGTCCTAGAATTAGAATTTCCCATCCCGGTGTTCCCTCGAAGGGCCATTCATATAGCTCCTCAATCGCCCGCCGCGCAGTCTGAAATAATGGAGGGGCTACACTCACAGCCAGCTCCATCACCGGCCCTTGGTGCATTTGAATTACTACTATTGTACACCAGAACCGCCAGCATGAAGTGGGGTAGCCAAAAAGCCGTACCCGGGTGGTGAGTGCCAGTTTCTTTCTGCGTGCTCTTAGAAAGAGGGCGTTTGAAATTTCACGGCTAACGTCTCGTCTCCGAACCTCAGCGCGCTGGGTACTGAGACCGTCCGCGTACTGGTCGGCCCCGACCAGCGCGAGTTTAACCTCCACAAGATGCCCCTCTGTGCCGCCAGCGCCTACTTCCGGGACCGCCTGGAAGCGACGCCAGCGGACCTGTTCTCGCCGCCGGCGGCCAGCGGCCCGGGCTCTACCGGCGCGGTGGTCTCGCTGCCGGCCGAGTCCCCCCAGATGTTCGAGCTCTTCGTGCTCTGGCTCTACCAGCGGCGCGCCTTCAAGGCCTTCGTCGACGCCGCCGTGTCGAGCGCCACCCTCGGCGCCTCCTTCCGCGAGTTCCCGAACCTGCGCAACGACGCCTGCCGCCGCGCCCTGCACTGGAACCTCGTCCGCCTGCACCTCTTCGCCGCCGCCGCCGACCTGCCCGCTCTCCAGGACGCCGCCATGGACGCGCTCCAGGACCTCTACCTGCGCTGCGACTGGGAGGTGTCGCCGCAGTTCGTCCACTTCCTTTACGCCGACTGCGAGCCGGGCCGGGCCGTCCGCCTGCGCAAGTGGGCCGTCGCCATGGTGGCCTGGGCCACGTGCGGCGGCGAGGCGGCGGGTCCGTCGTCGATCTCGTCCACCGCGGCCGGCCGGCGCTTCCAGGCCCTCTTCGACGCGCACCCGGCCCTGTGGCAGGACTACGCCAAGCACCTCGACAAGATGGCCGAGAGCCGCGCCGACGTGCGCGTCAAGAACCCGCAGCTGCGCCTGCCCGGGAACCGCCTGCGGAGCGAGGAGCGGTTTCTCGGCTTCCGCACCTGCTCCTTCCACAGCCACCGCTCCACCGCCGGCGAGGGGCCCTGCCCACTCGCCGTCCGCCCATTCCGGCAGAACACCCGCAAGTCGCCCTGGAGGCGCGCCACCGCCACCGGGGATGGGGACGGTGACGGGGACGGTGACGGGATGGAGTCCGACGACTCCGAGGAGGCCCAGGAGGGCAATATCCTCTCGGCCGTTTCCTGCTCTAGGTGGGCCACGTACCTGGACGACCCATGAATAGGGGGGCTTGGCTTCTTCGTTTTCCCGTAAGCTTGCTTTTAATTCTGGGATAATAATGAGACTTACTGACGCTGAAGGATGCCAGACCACAACACACGAGTGCTGCATGGCCTAGAGACCCCCGCCCCTTCCCCCCGGTCCCGTCAATGGTCGACCGGAAACGGAAGGGTGACCAAGTCAGCCACGACCCGATGGGGAGGACCGCGCGTCCAAGGACTCTGTCGTGGAAGGCCATCTCTCCATGGGCCTGCGGCTCGGGTTTGAGATGGCTATCCTCAGCGTGCCATCTAGGATGCCCCAATCTTGCCGGCTGCCGCTCTGGCGGTTGGCGAGGCTTGCGCCATCCATGACCTCAGCATCCCGCTGAGGCTCTCTCCCTGGGGGGGATAATCTGAGACGGATCCGGATATCTCAACCAAGGAGGTTCGGAGTGAAGTGAACCCGAACTTTTCGGGCCGTGACTGATGGGCTTTGCCCGTCTAGATCCCCCCATGGGTTGAGTAAGGCTGGGGGAAGGGCGGTATTGAAGGGGAAGGGCTTACTGGCAGGCTGCTCACTTCCCCCGGAATGTCCCTCTCGCTGTCATCCCCTTTGCTCGGGGTATAGTTCCAGTAGTGTGGCCGAATCGCACCTACTCGTCAGGCCTAAAAATCGGCCTAGTTAACAAATCCATCAGTGTCTGTCTACTCTGAGCACTGGAATTCTATCATGGCTCTCTCGTTAGGGGATCTCGGTCGAACCGGCGATGTTGGCGGGGCTGCTCCCTCCGCTATCATCAACGCCCGCAACTGCTGCTATTGCGTATTTCTAAGAAGGATCAATTCCATTTCGGAGTAATATACTTTTGCATAAGGTAGAGAGACAGGAGTCTGGCAAACCCGACCAGCCATTGAAGTTTTGCATGTACGGATAGCCGACGACGTGGTACGTGGTTGGCCGTCCGGGTGTGGCGAGATCACCACAGAAACAGAAACAACTTTGAGTCAATCGATCGACGGAAACAGTCAATTCGAAGCAGCAACACGTGGGCTTCGAAGATGAGGAGATTGCATACAACCGAGAAATGGCCGCCTTCTAGTGAAAGTCCGGGGCAGTAAAAATCAACCCCCTCAGCGTAGGCATGGCCCGCTGGAGCAAAGAGCCGGCATCTCAAATTCACATGTTTTCGGGGCCCCTGGCGCTTGATGTCATCCTCTGATGATCGCCCTTTAAGTCGATGACCTAGCCAGGTAGCTGCGATGTCGATTACCCAAGCGGAAACCAATCCGTTTCGAGTCTCGAATACGCAATTTCTTGTTTTCTTTCCGTGTTTTATTTGGGCGCCCACCAGGAACATCTTGTCATCCTGTACTGTGTGGGCAGAGTCGCATCGGCCATGGCTGAATAATTGCTTTGGGAAGCATCGGACGATACCAACCTATTTTCGTTCCTGAGCTAGGTACCTAATGCTGTGGTCTTGCGCTAGCAAACAGTCTGTCTCAATTAGGTCTTGTCCCTCCCTGCCAGATCTGATCTGCAAGGCCCCCTAGTGTTTGTGCTAAGAGATGCTGAACAAGTTGCACTCCTCAGTGCCCAAGACCTGTACGGATATCCCGTACGGATACCATATACCCAGTATACTGCATAGTAGTAGTGAAAGACCAGCTGTGTTTAGACAACGTTGGCTTTCTTTGGTGGTAGGTAGGGCCGCGTTGTGCTCTGAAAATATGGTCTCCTGGAAAGCGTGCGTCGACGGGAGGAAGGGAAAATGCCCACTTTTGAGAGTTGAGACCTTGCTCATTCCATACCGACTCGCTCAACAGATAAGGACCAAGCTCGATTCGGACGGTTTGGATCGACTTTTCTTGGGGATCGCAGAGCTTGCTTTTCAGTGACGCAACATCTGTAGGATAAATAGGAGAGGAAGAGACGGGCCACGCAGACGGGTGTGGGGATCATGCTCGATTGCCACACACAGCACACATAAGCAATACGAGGTTGTTCGGACCTTTCCAGGGGGCATGCTGGGAAGGTACTGTACGAATATTGGGTTCGTGGCGCTGCGGGCGCTGCGGGCGCTGGGTATGCATGTGTCAGCCATTAAAAAGGAGCAGCAAGAGCTGATGGGCAAGTGGACAGGGACAGCCCCCGCTGCGTGGTAGGTACCCAGGGTCTGGAACCTGGAATCTGGACGAACTCTCAGCGTACGGGCTAGCCCCCAAAGGGGTCCACACCAGCGTGCAAATCCCTTTCCTCCGAAGCCTGGAACTCTGCAGCCAATCCTCGCGGAACCTCTGGGATGGGGGCGGTGGCTCCAATGACAAGTAATGTTGTGTAAGACAAGGGGAGCAAATGTGTTCCGGCGGTGACAAGGTTGTTGCTCTCGGGTTCGTGGCGAACTCGAACTTCCAGGTTGGGCGACATTGGAAGAGCTCTCTCCTGCATCGTACCTACACAACTACCTACCTCGGTCCGTCCCACGAAAAAATAATAATGAATGGCATGCTGAGTTTTAGCGCTGGCTTGATGACCTGGTAGGTTCCTACCCGATAAGGTACTAGCGCCGATATGGATAGCTATTAATTCCAGCGCTACTGCTAGTTTGCGGGTACCTCCTTGAGTTTCCAGCCAGACAAGCATCATCAAGATCAGATCGATTTGTTCCGCGGACTGCCCGTCTGCCTCGTCCAGTTTTTGCACACGCCAGATGCCGGAAACATGCCGTCTATTACATCGGTAGGTAGGTATGTGCCCGAACGTCGGGACACTCCGTTCTAGGCCTAACTGTGTCTTACTCTGCATACCCCCACGGAGCTCTCGGGTTCTGGTGGCACCGCGACGCAACATGCGTAGATCCATGAATGTACACTCGCGCCTATTAAAGTTATGGGGTACATACCCGCATACCATGATATTGAGACAATCCGTTCAACGCTGAGGGGTACCGAGACGCTCTAAAAGTTACCAACTGAAGTCCAGAGAATGGGTCCTTCGTTGTCGGGTACTTATTACTTCTATTATCCATAGTGAGTGGCATGGAGCGGCGACTCCTCTTGGGCACAGAGGGCACAGTGGCCACGCCTCCTTTTGGCTGCTGAGCCGCGCTCGTACAGTACATGAATGACCAGTTTGGCGCCACCAGGGGTTCAGGATGAGAGTGATTTCCCACTTTACCTTCTCCTTTGCCACGGCATGGAACTGTGCCTACCTACCTACTGCATAGTAGGCCGCAGACGCCAAAAGGAGCGGGAAACAATGCCTATGTATTGTCGTTTTTGTTGCAGTGCAGCTTGTACCTGGTTTTGTTGATCTATCCAAGCGCTCCACCCATTTCCCTGGTTTAGCGTTCATCTCCCGCCTGGCAAGGACGTTGCGTTTTTGATTTTCGGGTTTGCCTTGCTCAGGACCAAGAGCCAAAAACCAGATGACCCCGCGAGATAAATTACTCCGCAGAGTCCGTACTCACATAGATGTTGGCAACCTAGTTTTAGAATTAAATCGTCTTGTTGGTCGTTTCGAAATTACCAGACCTGTAGGTCCTATGACTCCTATGCAGAGAGTAAAAGGTCAATGCATCCGCCAGACGGTTCACATGATGCCAGCATAGTACCTACCTAGTTGACATTTTAGCAATTACCGCCAGGCAAGCCCAACAACAGGAAATTTCTAGCACCTGATATAATATCTGCGGCAATGTGTGAGTGTGCCGTTGCTGTGGTGCACCCGAGACATGGAAGCTTCGTATCCAGTGGCAAGCGTAGGTAGAGAGTGAAAGACATAATACCCGCAGGTTGGTCAGTCAACAATGAGATGCTGGCGTAGAAATAAGGGGGCGTGTACGGATGATGTGCCTTCGTCCCTACGGAGTACTAGCCGGTATGCAGTCAGTGTGCAGCACATGCATGTGTACATGAAATATACCTTATGCTACCTTGCCTGTGTCTTGTGCGAATAGGCAGCGCAGGAGCATCGGCGTGCCTGCCCATCCATGTTGCATCCCCACCTCTCATACCCCTGTCGTCCAAACCCAAGCCAACCCAGCCTTGTCTCCCGTTCGCGGCCATTGGGGAAAAGATGAGAGAAGTTGGGAGGAAGAGCCAGGAAGAGGAGAAAAAAAAAAAAAGAGACAGGGGGAGAAATTAATAGTTAACTTTACGCTTGCCGCCTCCTTCCGGTCCTTTACTCCACCTACCTATCCCTCCATCTTGGCTCGACGACGGAATATCGCGTCTCGATTTTAATTCCATCCTTCTCCTTCGCGACTTCTTCTATCATATCAATCCAACCCTTCCGGTCGTTAATTCCCCAGTCCCCAGTCACCAGTTTCCATTCACCTGGGCCGTTGGTTTTTGGTCTGTCTGCTCTACCTCTCGCTGAGCAGCTCGCACCATCAACTCCCCTCGGCCAATCGGCATCGGCCATTTTTGCATTGCCTCGCTGGCTTCCTGCGTTCTTTTCAGTCCTATCCTGTTCTCGAATCCATTTGCTGGCGTTTCGTGACCTCTTTTCCTGGGCTCTGAAAGAAACGCCAACCCGGATCAGCTGTTTGCTTGTGTTATTGTTGTCATAGCCCATTATTTCTCCGTCCTCTTTGCCCCCTTCCGTACCCCGTGCTGTCAGACTTGTCCACCATCGATCGGACTCGCAAGGCAACAAACGAAACGCTTCTGATTTATACCTCTTACCTACTTATATTTCCTGGCCGTCCCAACTGCCAACTTAATCTAATTCTCTCTCCTCCTGCCAAGGAAGTCTATTCGTCTGTACCTTGGGTTCGGCTGCATCCTGTAAGTCTAAACCTTCCTCCTGTTGTCTGACAGAAGGGCGGCCCCGTTTTCCCGAAGCAGCTCGTGGCATCCTGTTGGTTACTATGGACTGTGGAACGATGACAACGAGAATTGCACGCTGTATCCTGCGTCATCTTCTGAGCACAGCTTCTGGGTGCACCTCGGTCCATCTATCCACGACTTCCGAACAGGAGTTTCATCACCCGGCCTGCTGCTCTCTGCCCTCTGCCCTCTTCCATACTCGGACATGCACTCGGCGTCGCGACTCTGGTCAGCGAGGACAAGCCACCGTTCCAAGTCTGGCAAGGCGGACGCCGACATAGGCACATGAACTAAGTCCACTGACTCTGGTACTCTCTCATGCAGTTTCCCGATACCTCGCGTCATAGCCAGCCTTCTCGACGAAGAAACAGCTGAGGCAAAATACATCAACCCTGCCCCTCGTTTTCCCGCTTCTCAGCTGCCCTCGTATAGCATCTCCAACCTCTGCCAGCTCTCCATATTTGATATCCAAAGCCTCGCTTTCAAACTCAGCGAATCGAAACTTTATGGGCGGTTTGTAAACGGCCGAGCGACTCGCATACAGATTCTATATGCCTAGATTCCCGGTCGCGTTTGGCAGGCGGAAGTCAACCGCAGACAATCTTGAAAATGTCTCGATAGCACAACCGTCGTTCCGGGTCCTCGATCGTTCCCAGGTGGGCGCCCAGAACTCGTTCGATGGGGGAGCAAGGCTCGCTGCCAGAGCCCACACCTACTCCAAAGCAAGCCTGTCCGACATCGTGGTGGAGGATAACCTCTTTGCAGATCTGAAGACGAACCGGTATGTGTATTCGGATCTCACCCTGTCTCACTCCCAAAATTTATTTCCATATATCATTTGGAAAGACTGCGTGATGTCTTGGCGGGCCGGTGCCGACGCTCTGTGCTTGTTTGGGCGGCATGGCTCGCTTCTGGGCATCGCCATGATCTGACCAGAAGTGTATACACTCATACTGGAGAAGATTTTGGTTTTGCTAACGGCAAGCAGTGGCAGCGGCTCCTCTAATACCACCAAAACCACATCGACTGACAATTCGTCCCGACACAGCAACGTCTCGACGGCCCCGTCCTCGGCCGATTACCCTGGGCACGATGAATGGAGAAACACAAATAAGAGGCCCACAAGCGAGGCCCCCTTGCCGCCCATTCCAAAGTCGTCCTCGTCCGGGTCTTTCTTCAAGGCAGCTGGTCGTACCTTTTCGTTTGGCGGACAGAAGAAGCAGTTGCCACCTGCACCGTCCTCGGATGACCCACTACCGCCCCTTCCTCCTTCGGACGACGTGGAGATAATGCATGGCGGTAGGGCACGGGCCACGACGACGTCGACTTCGACAACTGTGACGGCACCGACCATCGACGAGTCGAACTTCAATCTCGACCTCGGAGGAGACTTTAGCAAGATGCTAGGTTTCGACAAGCGGGCAAGCATGATGGCTTTCGACAAGCGGGCAAGCATGATGACCGTTCGAGATGATGCCAACAGCCGGCAGCAGGCCTCGGCGCCGAGGTCTCTAACTGCGTCTCGCACGAACCAACCCTCCCCGATCCAGATCAACAAGGGTGCCCAGGTTGACCCGTCCCCATACTCTTGGGGCAGTCACCATTCAAACGATGGTCTCCTCACCGCTAGTCCAGCACAAGCGTCCCCAACCAACGAAAGCTCCCAACTGCGGGTTCCTAGGAAACCCTCTCCGTCCTCTGCCAACACACAGCGGGCAAGTGCTGCGGCAGATCTGAAGAGAAACAGTGCGGTGTATGGGCGACGCGCTTCTGCAGCCGAGGAACAAGAGGGCGAGGATGTCCGACTGTTGAAGGACTCTTTATCCGCTGGACGCAGACTCGCCGCAGGTGCCGGTGTTTCCGATCGACAGTCGAGCTGGAGGAAGGCAGACGAAGAGAACCTGTTTGACAGTAGTTTCGCCAAATCCAACAGGCCTGTAAACCGCACCGTCGAACATGACCCGCTGCCCACACGGAACAAGGTCATGACCCCTGCACAGTTCGAGAGATATCGGAAGGACAAGGAGCGCCAGGATACTGTTGAGAGCAAGGAACAGTCGGTTGCGAAGTCGGATGACGAGGACAACTATGACGACGACGAAGATGACCTAGAGAAGGCCAGGCAGCAGGCCAAGCAGAGGCGGAAGCAAGAGGCTCATATGACGGTGTACCGGCAGCAAATGATGAAAGTGACGGGCGAATCGGGCGCAAGCCAGCCGCCAGCCCGGCCGGGCCTACAGCTATCTTACAGCACCCCTAATCTCCCCGACATGGCGTCGACCGGCCCCGGTTCTGCGCTCAACCAGTCAGATGGTTCCGATGAGGACGAAGAGGTGCCTCTGGCAATCCTTGCCGCCCACGGGTTCCCCAGTAAGAACCGCGCACCGACTCGACTCAGCACCATGGCGTCGAACCCCAACCTGCGAACTTCGCAGCAGCCCAGTTACCAGAGACCAGGCTCTGTCGTGGGCGATGCTTCCGGTGCCCGAAACTCGCGCCTTCCTGCGTTTGCTAGAAACCTGCCCCGGGATCCGTTCATCGGTGCGGGCTTGGTAAGCAACCCAGTCCGCGAGAGCTTCGCTTTGGGTGGCGGCAGTCCAGGTCCCGGACAATCCGGGGGTCCTCTGCCGCCCGGTGGTCTCGTCGGAGTCATAGCCCACGAGGAGCGCTCAAGGGCTATGAGACGAGGCAGCCCCCATATCGACAACCAAAACCCGCTGGTTCCTCCCGGTTCGGTTGGCTACGATCCCGTAGGTGGAATCCCGCCTCATATGATGTACCAGAACAGGCCGGCGTCCGCGCTACTCCAGCCCGGAGACCCAGGTCAGATGCACATGAACCAGCAGCAGATGAACCAGCAGATGCAGCAATTCATGCAGATGCAGATGCAGTTCATGCAAATGATGGCAAGCCAAGGGGGCAACGCGGGGCCGAGACCCAACAGCGCCTTTATCCCCGCGCCGTCGACGGGGGGCTTTGGCGATGTTGGGAGTATGCCTGGAATGGGAGGCATGGGGTACCCTGATGCGATGCGACATTCATTTGTCGGCGATTCGCCCATGCTCGATCTCCCCCGAGGGGATCAGCAGATGCGCACAATGAGCATGGTCCAGCCGAGTTCAGCCTCGTGGATTCAGCCGCCCCTGAATCCCGGTTACGCGCCGTCCATCCATATCCAAGGCACCTCGTACACGCCGTCCATCGCCCCGTCTGAGCGTAGCAACATCGGCCTCCCCGGGAGGTATCGACCTGTCTCGCACGTTGCACCCCCCGCTGGTACCGGTCGTCTGGCCAAGTCATCAACCATGTCGGGAGCCTTGGGTACGTGGAGCGAAAAGAGCCAGAAGGAGCAGCCAAGGGTGACGGTCAAGAAGGCCGGAAACTCGTCAGACGACGACGACGAGGAGGGCTGGCAGGCCATGAAGGCGAAGAGAGAGAAGAAGCGGTCGTTGTGGAGAACCAAAAAGAGCATCCCCGACATCAGTGCGCTGATGGGTTAGACTAATGGGACCTCGCCGCGTTGGCGGGAGGGGGGAAATTCTGAGCTTTTTCCGGGGAAAATGAAAATATATATTGGCATCTTGGTCGAACACCATCTCTCTATCTTCCTGTAATCTGGTCTTCCTGGCCATCGCAAAAGGGAGCTGATTTGTATATTCACCATCTTGACGCACACATGGGACCTCTCTTAGCTCTTCTTTTCTTTTTTATACCTAGGCGTTGCGTCGGAGTGCAGGGAAGACTTGGGATATTTTTGTTTCTCTCTCTTTTTTTTCTTCTTTTTATTAATTCCTGTTTGTTTTCTCTTTTGGCTCCCTACGGGAACGATTCATGATAGACATATCAACCTCCTCGATGCAGTAATTAACTAATCCTAACTTGGCCCCAAAATTTTAGGCAAACACACTTGAGATATCTAGAGAACTTGTTATGGTGCATGTGGTGATGATGTATGTCCATGCTTGCCTCCCGTGCTGTTCTGACCTGGCCTCTTGTCGGCTATCCCCAAGGGATGCAAGTGCACGTTACGAGCGATTGACCTCTCCCATCTTTCGGACATGATTCAATATGAATCGTCGCGGACTTTGCAATGCATATGAGAGAGCTTGATATTCAAGATTTTACCCAACCTTAACTGGGGGCTGACTACGCCTTCACCCCCAACCCTCAAAACTCTCCTCTGTCATGCACATAACAGCGACCACTGACATATCTTGGAGACTCATCTTAGTCCATCTTCCCCACAGCCCAAGCCTTCCTCTTCTGGCCCATCTCGACGGCGGCGAGACCCCAATCCTCGCCGTGGTTGTGGCCCCCCACGAGTACGCCGGCGCGGGAGAGGGCCTGGTCCTCGGAGAGGACGGTGAGGATGCCGAAGATGACGGGGACGCCCGTGTCGAGGGAGACGCGCATGAGGCCGTGGGAGACGCTGTCGGCGATGTACTCGAAGTGCATCGTCTCGCCCTTGATCAGCACGCCGATGGCGACGATGGCGTCGAAGGCGCCGCCGGCCGGGGTGGTCGTTGCCAGGGAGGTCAGGTCCGTGGTCGAGCTGCCCAGGAGGTCGCCGGCTGTGCCGCCGCCGGAGGAGGAGGATTGGACTTGGGAGGCGGAGTAGAGTCTGTTGTGGGGGGGAGGGGGGCCCGAGGAGAGGTCGGGCGGATTATGAGGTTAGCTTTCGGGTGGGGTCGAGGTGCGGAGGCAAGGGAGCGAAGGGAGGGAGGGAGAAAGGGGTGGAAGCTTGGGGAAAGCAAGAAATCACGAGGAGGCGAGGAGGTGGTTACGGACCGTTGGACGGCAATTGGCAGCTCCCAGGAGCCGGGGACGGACTGCACGACGATGTTGGACTCCTTCACACCGCAGGCGAGCAGCTTGGCCTTGGTCCCCTCCAGCAGCGGCTCGATGATGGTCTTGTTCCACCGGGCGTGCACGATGCCAATGCGCAGGGCGCTGCCATCATGCTGCTCGGGTGCGGGGGCTTTGATAGACATGGCGGGACGCGAGGGTTGGTCCGGTATATCGCGGTCGGGAAGTCGGAATTGTTCTTCTGGAGGGTGTCTACAAGGTCATGTGTCTAGAGGTAGGTAGGTAGGTAAAGGTAGTTACGTAGGTATGGAGGGGTAGTCAATAGTTGGAGATAATTGAAGCTGGGAGGTCTGCGGGGCAGCTAGGGAGAGGTGCTAGGGTGGAAATGCCTTAGTCAGCTGTGGGGGGTCGGGGATGGGGGTATCGTCAGTTCTCCAAACTGCATCCATTGCCCATTGTGCCTTCCCTCCGTTTTGTGATCCTATCTGGGTCATGCCTGTTTAGGCAAGCACCTCGAGATCCATCGGTAGGTAGACAAGTAGGTAGGTCGGTTCGATACGGTAAGCTCAGAACCTAGTTCTCTCTTTTGGTCCTCCCCATCAGTGAGGCGTCATCGGCTCTGCCATGTAGAGTTTCTATCCAGTTGGTCATGAACCCCTGAGCAGCTTTGCTCTGGTTCCTGTCGATTTTACCTCCTTCATTCTCACTGTCTCATCTGTTACATGCCTTTCTGTTATTTGCCTCCAGCATGCCTATCTCTGCTCTTCCTCCGGCTACAATTCGTCTCCTCGGCAGCCCACTCGTCATCACAACCCCTGTGTCCCTTGTCAAGGAGCTTATAGAGAACGCCATTGATGCCGAAGCCACCTCGGTAGAAGTTCTGGTCTCGCCAAACACCGTTGACAGTGTCGAGGTTAGAGACAATGGCCGAGGAATCCACCCAAGTGATTTCGACTCTCTTGGTCGTCGAGGGCATACCAGCAAACTGCGCGCGTTCGATGAGATCAGGGCTATCGGAGGTAGAAGCCTCGGGTTTCGTGGCGAGGCATTGGCTAGTGCGAATGTTTTAGCTAAGGTCATGGTCACCACGAGGACCTCGGGCGAGCCTGTGGCGGCCAGGCTTCATCTGTTAGACACAGGTGGCGTGGCGAAGCAGGAACCAGCGTCTGCGCCCATCGGTACGACAGTGAGAGTTTCTGGCCTGTACTATCAACTCCCCGTTCGACGACAAACTTCCATCAAGGAAGCGTCGAAAACAATCTCAAAGCTGAGGGACCTTCTTCAATGCTATGCGCTTGCGAGAGTTGAGATCAAATACTCGTTCAAGGTCCAAGGACGACCTAGACTCACATGGTCGTATACTCCAGGAAGACAAGCCACAGTGAGAGAGGCAGTGTTACGGGTTCTCGGCCACGACCTGGCCTCTCAATGTATTGAAATCACTGGCCCGGAAGCTGCTGGAGTTCTGGAAGCCACTATCACCGACGATCCTCACCCCACCAAACGAGAGGAGGCCACGGAATATGTTATTGAAGCATTCCTACCAAAGCCTGATGCTGACTCGGCGTCTATTTCGAAGCGGGCCTTCGTCTTCGTCGACTCGAGGCCGGTTTCCCCTTCTAGGGGAACAGCGAAGAAGCTCGTTTCAATGTTGCGAACTCACATCAACCGAAGATCTATCTCGGCAGACCCCAGCAGGCATCTCAAGGATCCATTTATCAGGATAAATATCCAGTGCAATCCCGGTAGTTACGATCCAAACATCGAACCAGCTAAAGACAATGTTCTCTTTGTGGATGAACAACTCCTCCTTGAGAGGTTTGAAGCTCTCCTTCTTCGCGCCTATCCCGGCCCTATCGATGGAACTCGAGATGGACATGACCCCGAGCGATGCCTCCAGAAGAAGGCAGAAGATGGCATGATCCCATTGCGCAAAGTACGACCAAACTCTAGTGTATCGGGAGCTAGTCCAGATACAACAGTTTGCTCGAACAACGTTGTTCATCTGCATAAGTCGGTAGTCCCGGGGAAGGCCGCCGAACCTAGTCCCACAGTTGCGTTGACTGAGCAAAGTCAAATAGACATTCAAGTGAGCCGCGCAAGAAACCCCCGCAAGAGACACGAAATTGACAACTAGCAATAGCTGGCCAGAGAATCCAACGGTCCCAGGAACCAGGAATATCGGATTTCCGTTGCCCCTAATCCTCCTCACCAAGATCAGATGACCCAAGCGGACCAGCGACACAACCTCGCCTCCCAGCCCGCACCGGAACAAGCGCTTCCACGGTCCGGCCGGCAGTGGAAGGTAGATATGTCTGCGGATCCGGATATTTTCGTCAGCGATGAGGAAGATGTCTCGGAGTCCCTGTCGTTCGGACATTCCAGATTACGAAGCTCTTTAGAGACTCTTGCAGAAGAAGAGAGTCAGGGGAATACGACCGATCACCTAAACCCCTGGGTTATTGCAAAAATGAATTCGTCTCGGGTTCATAATGTCAGCAAATCAGCGGGACCCTCCCAGACATCCCCTGTGGTAGATAGCTCTTTGCGAGGAAGTCTCGAGGATGACACCATTCACGAACATCCAATTCTTCGACCCCCGGGATGTCCACCAAGAGACTTGGAGTTACCCCCAAGGCGACAAATATCTCGCCTGAGGCCAAATGCACCCACTCACCCCTTCAAGCCCGTCAACCCGTATCGCAGCCCGATTTCCAGCCCACCCAGGATGACTGAGTCCTTCTTCGATACCACCATCACTCGGAGAAACAAATATAGCCAGAAGAACAGCGTCGCGCTTCGAAGCCCGCCTTCCTCGTTCGACTCCGGAGGCAGCAGTCGGAAGCCACCCCATACGAAGTCGAGACTGGGAGCAGATGGCTGCGACATGGTCCAAAAGACACTTACTTTCGACAAAGAGGGAAGTAAATGGTCCCCGACAATGCACATGCTCGCGAGTGACGGTGCTGTCAATAGAAACAGGGATCATTCCTTTGCCAAATGTTCAGCAAGGGCCAGAGCTCGCGAGGAGGCCACTGCCGACGAACACGACGCCTTCCACTACCCGGATTGTCCCATCCGCTTCATCAGAACGGCGGAAGAATGGCGGAATACTGGCCGGTTTGGCACCCCTGATCCCGAAGTTGGCGGGCCTCAACCGCCCAGAACGGGCATTCTGATGAGCGATCCACGCAGTGTCCTGAGACGGCAATCATTTCCAGAGGACCCGCCAAGAAAGCTCCGCCGTATGTTGTCCGACCTCTTGCCGCTTGAGGTACCGAACCAGGAAACCCCGACTCTGAGGCAGACTTTGAAGGTCGATGTCCAGGGGTTGGCAAGACGTCTAAACACGGCGGCAGTTCACGATGCATATGTGAGCAGAGGAATACTGGAGGACGGGCTGGATATGAGCATGGGATCAGTAGAGGTGGCTGGGATCGAGAGCAGACTGAGAATACTGTTGTCCAGTCAGACGGCTGGCGGTCCTGGAACTGGGTCAGATATCGAATTCAACCTCTTGAGTGCGTTCAAGGGGAAGTCAAGTCAGAAACAATAGGGGGTGGTCTTTGCTGGAAAGGTGATAAGCTAGCTAGCTACTAAACATAACAATATTACCCATGTTGCCCGAACAACACCTTTTCTGACACCGCGCCCATATTATACTTTGTGATTAGCTGGTAAGGGTTGGGGTCCGAAAACGGGACACCCTATGCAAGGTTGCACAATTGGCAAAGTTGGCAGAAATATGTCATCGAGTTACATTCAGTTCCGGAATGGCATGTTGGAACCAAAAGTTGGGTTGTTAGCAGAGACCATTATATGTAGCATTTTTGCATGAATGACGGTAATGATGTGTCCAGGGGTCGGTCGGGTGTTGGTTGATCATGATCGGCCTAGCTTAGTTCTATGGCGATTCTTTGGGAAAGGGGGCTGTGTGTCTGTGCTACGCTCCTAGTGGCTCCTTCCTCTTCGTGTTCACTTCACGATGGGCCCGTGCCCTTGAAGGATTGCGCCCCCCCGCGCGGAAGCTGCCATCGCTGCCATCGCAGAGCGCCCAGAGTGGAAGCCATTTCGTGATGAACAGGCAGAGACCCCGCATGTGTCCAGTGAGCAGGTGTTTCAAGGTAGGTTTCTCAAAATAGCTGCCGCCCAGGGAATCGGCGGACTAGCCCTGTAGCCAGTCAACGGCGATATGTGGCCAGCTAGTTGCAGGCTAGCCGTCATCTCCCTCGTATAGGAGGACACAGCGCACACACATGAAGCCAGAGAGAGAGACCAGACTTGTGTTATTGCAGCCTGGAGGGTTGAGAATGTACCTCCCATTTACCTCCCTTATGAATGCCAAGTGTCTAGGTAAGTTGTTGGGAAGTGCTGAAGTCACACAGCTTGTCACGGCATTTAACCCATGCCTTTTTTTGCGGGGTTCTGTCGAATGGGGATGATGGGGATGATATGTTAACCGGCGCTCTCTTCATTGCCAACCAGCCAGCAATCTTGGAGAATCAGGTTGACGCCGCTGCAGAGATTGGTTGATCCAGTAGATAGAGCCGTTGGTTGCCCTTCTTTTGCTCACGCCAGCTTCGTCAATTACCTAGGTAGAGAGGTCACACCTGGGAGAGCGCCATGGCAGCTGCGTAGGGACTAATTTAACAATTAACCCCCCCTGCCTCACGTCATAAGCGCGATAGGAACAGACAGAAACCAGAAAAAAAAGAGCAGGGGCCCAGTAAGGCTGCGTTTCGGGACTTACGAGCTCGCTAGCAGCACTGCCATCCCGCATTCCCAACCTTGTTGCTGGCTTGCGTCCCTGCCTTTTTTTTTCTTTCTCCCTACCCTCATTCTCTCCGAGTATTCATTGCTATTTCACTCGTTGGCATCCTTCACGGCTGGGACGAGACCATCGAAATCGAAAGAAAAGATATATGAAAAGCCGGTTTCTGCGATTTTCCCGGTCCTCCTCTTCCCAAGATGAGCGGCATGCAGTAGATGCTTCGAATCCGACCTTTCGTCTCGAACGACCCGACCCATTCCATTCTCGCTTGGCTGCTCAACAATGCGAAAAGTCGATGACTTTGATCCCCGAGTCCTCCTGCCCGCCGCTGAGTCGTACTCCGAGCCTAGCCATGCCGCGACCTCCATCGAGCTTCTCAGTTGCAGCTGCCAACCAGAGGGGGATGCTGTGGCAGGTATAAAACGGAGCCCTCGGGTGGATGGCGCAGGGCGGGCACCGCGGAGGCTCTGCGACAATGCCCGTAGCCCGTCGAATCGTTCCCCACCCGACTGGGCATTCTCCCGACGCCGAGTTCGATCGCTTATCGCTTCGTCGTTCGCCTTCCCAATGGCATTCCTACTGTCAGCATGGCTCCTCGTGCAGCCGGCGGCGGCGGTCATGGTGCCCTTCGAGAACTGTCTCTCGGATTCGTATAGATATAACGACCCCACGCTGCTGCAGTGGGTACCGCTCTACGTCGACGCCTCTTTCGACACCGAGGACCCGAGACATCGGCTTCAAGTGACGATGTGGGGGAATGTGACGGGGTCCTTCTATAACGTCACCCTTCCACCACCCGGCAGCCCGGACTGGTCTGACCCGGCCAAGGTCGACGGGAAGATCCTGGACGAACCCGAGCCGAACTCCCCACACCCCAAACTCACGACACTCCACAGCAAGGTGAATTTCCTGACGTACGAGCCCTGGCATGAGGATGCGAAGTTCTGCAGTACCTCCTTAACCAATGCGTCATGTCCCCTGGCGCCGGTTTTCAACACGACTTCACTGTATGTAGAAGAAGCACCCCCTAGCTCCAACGCGATGCTTGTGCTTTCTGTCTCGTTCTAGACCTCGAGCTGACCCTATAACTCTAGCCCCGCCCCTTACAACCTTCCATCCGTGGGCATGAGCCACGAGTTCTTCTCGTCCTACGCCTTCACCTCGCTCTCGGCCACCTTCATCATCATCTACGGCGACTCGAAAGGAACCCATATTGGGTGTGTATCTGCCACCGCGACCCCTGACCTGGGTGATCTGAAGTGGATGTTGAAGGTCCTGCCCGTGATCATTCTGTTGTTTGTCGGCATTGCGACTGTCTTTGCTGGCATCTTCAGCCCCTGGGGCGCCACCGATATTTTCCACTGGACCTCGAACTATGGCCGCGATGCCGATCTGCTGCGCCTCGTCACACCGGGATTCGGCGACTGCCTGCAGTACATACAATTCGTGGCGCTGACCGGGGGTCTGACGCTGAGCTACCCCGGTTTCTATCAGCCCATCGTCAGCCAGGCGTCATGGTCTGCGCTGATGTTCAACCAGAGCTTCGTCAGCAAGGAGCCCGGGTGGCAGAATATGGTCGATGGCATCTACGTGACCAACGGCACCTATGGTCTTCAGCATCTCGCCCAGCTCGTGGGCTTGAGCAAGGTCGAGGACATCTGGGCGGGGATGGCTGTCTGGCTTCTCGTCATCATAGGCTTCGTCCTCGTCCTCGTCCAGGTCGCCTTCCTCGTGCAGTGGATCTACCGAAACCTGAAAAACGTCCACGAGGAAGACCTGCGTGCCAAGAACCTCCCTTTCTCGCTGGGGAACGTTATCCGCATCGTGTTGAACTACTTCTTGTTGCCGATCGTGGCGCTCTCGACCTTCCAACTCGTCGTGACGCGCGAGTCCCCGGCCTACACTGTCGCGCTGGCGGTAGTGACTCTAGTCCTGATCGTCGGATTCACCGTGTGGCTCCTGTATCTGATCGGGTCGACGAAGCCGAGGGCCTTCTTGTTCGACGACTTACCCACGCTGTTGTTGTACGGGCCGCTGTACAACACCTACTCGGACGAGGCGGCGGCATTCGCCCTCATCCCTGTCTTTCTCACCTTCGTGCGCGGAATCGCCATTGGGGCGGTGCAACCGGTCGGAATTGCCCAGCTCGTGCTGCTGGCGATCTGCGAGGTCATCCAGATCCTGACGCTGCATGCCTTCCGTCCTTTCCATTCTCCGACGTCGATGAATGCCTACCACACCCTGTTCTCGGCCTTGCGGCTCGTCACCGTCCTCATGATGGTTGCCTTCGTACCTTCGCTTGGCGTCGAGGAGGGGACGAAGGGTTGGATCGGCTATGCGATATTGCTGACCCACGCCGGTGTCTTGGTGCTAGGGTTCCTCCTCAACGCGCTGCAAACCATTGTCGAAGTGGTCGCCAGGATGCTGGGGGCCGGGGGCGATGACGTCCGTGGCCAGACCCGAGGGGGCTTGTCCAAGATATTTGGAATGCGGCAACTCGCCCGGCGGATGTCGAGGCGAGAAGCCGGGCCGTCGAGGCAGAGCCAGCTGTCGAGTGCAGGAATGCTGGACGCAGAGGAGGCATCGAAATCCGGATACATCATGGCAGGCGGCCGGGTGAGGAGCGAGTCGGCCGGCAGCATGGGGGGGGTTCTCTTGAACCACCACAGACACCGGAGTTCCTCTGCCATGGACACGATCAGCTTCGAGGGGCCGATGCGCAACCTCGACAGTGGCGCGAGCTCCTACACGCCCACCACCCCCGGCGAGCCGAGCACCTTCTCTTTTTTGCCATCCCCGGGTTTCCCGATTCGACACTCGGCGAACGGGCTGCCTCTCCAGGCTGCCGATCCATACTACCGACCGCCGCGAGCCCGACAAGCAACGTTGGATAGCGCCTCTTCTCCGACCGACAAGACCCGCGGATCGTGGGCGAGTGGCGACCTACCTCAGCGAGGACCTACCACCCCCAGGAAGTCCGCTCTGGACCCCTCGCAACTTGAGTCGCAACTCGAGAGAGGCGAGACTCCCGACCCGTACACCTCGCCACCAATCAGCGCGGGGGCCGATTATTCGACTCGAGAGGTGGATTTCTATTACGGGGTCCGGGGCGAGAGGCTCAATGCCGATGCACCGAGCCGCAAGCTCGGAACCGGCCCGGCGGATCCGACGGGGCCCATGGCGTCTGCAGCTGGGTGGCTCCGCACCTTGTTGGGCGGCAAGAGTAAAGAGAAGGGCAAGGGTTTCGAGGTCGTCAGGAGCGCCCGGATGCCGCCGGCCATGCGCGCCGGCGGCGGCGAGTACGGCGACGATTCCGCGCCGCAGGGCATCCCTGTCGCCATGGGTGTCCTGCGCAACGGGCCGATCGAGTCCGACGAGGAGGACGAGGCGCAGCGGAAGAAGGCGAATCGGCGCATCCGTACGGATGAGCCGGCCGGTGCCACCGAGCTGCTCGACGTGGACGGTAACCCTCACGAAGACGACTCGGACGAGATCGAAGGATCAAGGTTGTCCGCCGTTGCTCCCGTGCTGCCCGACATAGACAGCGGTGGGAGCATCAGGATGCCGAGCCGGATTCAGTCAAAGGCGAGCAGGCGGGCTGCAGGTAGCAGCGGTTCCGACAGCGATATGCCCCCTGTCCCACAGGTTCCGCGGAAGAGCTCGAAGCGAGACTCTGGAGGGGAGCTGTTGAGTCATGACCGGAACCCGTCCTTCACCCTCAGCCCGCCGTCGGAATCACACGCGGCTGCGACCCGGAACCAGACGAATAATCCCGGGGGTTCGGTGGCAAGCCCGTCGCGGCTCCCCTTTGAGCGCAGCAGCGGCTCGCAGAAGGGGCCCTCGTCCACGTCGTCCACGTCGGGCGTCGCCGAGGACTTCAGCGACGTCGACTTGCGCGGCCCTCGCGGCAATCTCGAAGAACGGCCGACCAGCTACGGCTACGTCAGCCAGGGCAGCATCAGCCGGGTTCACGGAAACGAAGATCTGCTTGGCAGCTCGGCCGAGGTCGTTGATATGAGAAGATGAAGGGGAGGGGCCCGCACGTCCTCGATTCGCCCCGGCCTTTCTCGTCGTCGTTGCCCGAACGAATCTATAACTGACATATATCTGTCACACATCTTTACACATAATGACACTACAGATAGACCCACAAGCTTCGAAGCGGGCTGAAAAATGATACATAAAAGTCCGCGGGGGGTTGGCGAGCCAGGGGTATTGTAATTTGAGCGGAGTCGAGATGGAACTGGATATACACAAACGGACCTCTTACCACCACTAATACCGGTGGTGGCATGACTCTTATTTTATTTTCTTGTTTCTCATGAAATCAAGAGCGAATGCTTTTAAGCGATGGCGCATAAAAACATAAGCCGGGGCTCAGTCTTCGCGGAGCCAACTTGCTTTGTTCTGGGACTTCTGTTTTGGAAAGGGGGGGGATTTGACTTCTTGAAAATAATGAGTTGGAGATCAACTAACTACCAAACTGTACCTACCTCGCTTTGATGGGAGCTGTCAAACAAAACACTAATGAGTTGGCGTCTGGCTTCTCGTATCCTGATGTTCCTGTCACCGCTTCCTGCCCATTTTCCCAAAAAAAATCCCCTCCTCATAGTCGGTTTGTTCCTAGCGGGGGTCGATATGCCAGCGAAATCACGAGCGAAATGACGAGACCTCGGCGACGTCCTGGACCGACCGTTATGCTGTGGGTGTGGGGTCTGTGTTTAGGCAGGGGTTCCGGGCCGCCAAAAGACGGCGATGGCAATGTCGATGGCACAGCAACAGACACGGCGACAGCGACGGCTAGCCAAATGCCCCTGCCTACGATGGCTGAATGCACCTGCCTGAATATCTAAATGTCCCTTCCCTAATACCTCAATGCCCCTGCCTGAATACCTAATTGCCACTGCCCGAATACATAAATGCCCTTCCCTAATACCTCAATGCCCCTGCCGGAATACCTAATTGCCCCTGCCAGCTCAATCAGATTCTTCAACAGAACAATCAGATTCTTCAACAATTAGTCGCCATAGAGGATCGACTAACCGGCACCGAGGATCGACTGACGGCGATTTGAGGTTCGTTGGCGAAACGAGGAGAGAAAAGAAAAAATCAAACATCAACACGCTCTGAACTCTGGCGCTGCTCTTCTTCCACTACTAGACGTCGGAACCAGCCTTGTCATACCAGACTGCCCAACAACAACTGACCAGTTGAACGGATTAACTGGCGCTCAGGCAACTCGAGTCCTTCGAGCTCTGAGGCTAACTGTACCTCACCTCGTACCAGAGAAGAGGGAGGCGGTTCGGCAGGAATTGCTCTAGCGCCGGGGTGGACCACAAGAAGTCCGACAACAAGAAGTCCATACGATGAGTTAGATAAAGGGCTCTACTCGGAGTACTCCCGTTTTCCACTTGGTGAGGTTGTCTCCGATGGCAGGGGCATTTTGCTATTCAGGCAGGGGCATTTGCTATGTAGGCAAAAATCAAACTTCTTGTTGCTGGCACAAGGAGCGCTGATGTTTGATGAGGAATTAATTAGCCTTCTGTGGGAAACAGCCGTAAGTAGAGCTCTAGATAAATAGACATCGATCGGTATAACTACTATTACCGCGTTATGATATAATTGTGAAGCAATCTTGAGTTGGGCTGGGCTTCCCCAGCTTATAGTAGATAGAGTACTCCGTACTACCCTCAGGTTCTAATTATTAGCTTAGGTGTGGTTTGTAGCAGAGAAAGTGACGTCGAAGTTGACATGCAGTTGAAGTTACAAGTACAATTCTTCTGCTGTCTGCCAGTAAAAACTGATGAGAATTGAACGTTCTGTCCTTATGGAAAGGCACGCGTTTCCTTTCTGGAAAGGGCAGGGTCACTTTAAGGACTTTCCTTGTGGAATGGCACATCTGATTCCGTCCTGGAAGTCGTCATTCCCATTCTAAGGACCCCTCGCGCGGTGTGGAAGTGCTTGGATTGTGGGGCTTATCGATAAGAACCCTCCGCAACACCTTGATACTGGCAGAATAAAATTTCATGAGAAAAACAAACGCCCCTCCAAATACCTACTTACCTCCCCCTTACGAAAGAAGGGGCCCCCAAGCAGCAGAACTCGATCTTTCCCCTTTAGCGCGCTCGAAAGAGGCAAGCCTTCTTTCCCCCCGGGAAGCAACTAGGGAGGCCATCATTCCTTCCATTCTTGAGAAAGACCCCCACCAAAAAAAAGAATCAGAAACCATGGCCCCCACAAGGCCCGACAAGAAGAAGGCCAACGCCAGAGCCAAGAAGGCCAGGAGGACCACCGCCGCCGCCGCCGCCGCCGCCACAAGCCCCCGCCAGCTCCTAGCTGAGGCGACGGCCCGCCTCGAGCAGGGCGACGTCGGGGAGGCGGCGCGGCTGGCGGAGGAGGCGTGCGAGCGCAGCACGGGGGCCGGGCGCGGGGCGGCGCTGACGCTCCTCGGGGAGATACGCGTCGAGGCCGGCGAGATGGCCGAGGCGAGGGCGTGCTTCCTCCGGGCGGTCGAGGCGGCGGGCGGCGAGGAGGGGGACGACGACGACGGGCACGGGGATGACGAGGGAGGGGCGGAGAAGTTTCTCTGGTTGGCACAGCTCTGCGAGGAGGGGGGTCGGGAGAGCGTTACGTGGTTTGAGCGCGGGGCTGCGGTGCTGAGGAGGCAGATTGGGAGGTTGGGGGAGGAGGTTGAGAGGGCGGTGAAGAGGGCGGGGGCAGTATCGTCGTCGGCGCCTTCGTCATCAGCAGCCGCAGCCGCAGCCGCACCATCATCATCAACACCAACAATAACAACAGCACCGTCACCGGCGGCACATGCAGCACAGACGGCGCTGGACGAGAAGAAGCGCAAGCTGGCCGAGACGCTGTGCGCGGTGGCCGAGGTGTACATGACGGACCTGTCGTGGGAGGCGGACGCGGAGGGGCGCTGCGAAGCCCTCGTGACCGAGGCGGGCCTGCTGGCACCCGACCACGCCGGTGCGTGGCAGACGCTGGCCAACGTGCGCATCTCACAGGGCCGCGCCGCCGACGCGCGCGCCGCCCTCGAGAGGAGCATGGAGCTGTGGGAGGGGCTGGCGCCAGAGGACTCATCCGTGCCCGCGTTTCCTGCTCGGATCGGCCTCGCCAGACTCCTCATCGAGGTCGACATGGAGGAGAGGGCCGTCGAGGTCGTCGAGAGGCTCGTCTCTGAGGATGACGAGAGCGTCGAGGCGTGGTACCTAGGAGGGTATGGCCTGTTTGCCCTCGGCGAGAAGCTAAAGGAGAACGCGGAAGGGGATGTCAAGGGCCAAGACGACTCGGCGGACGACTGGAAAGCGGTATGGAGGTCGGCGAGGCGGTGGCTTGCACAGTGTCTGCTGCTCTTCCAGGCACAGGAGTACGAGGACCAGAGGCTGGGCGAGCACGCGCAGGATCTTCTCGAGACGATCAAAGGGGAAATCGGCGATGCAGTTGAGGGGGAGGATGAAGAAGATGATGGTTGGGAAGACACTGATGGAGGCGAGGATGCCGACGAGGATGCCGACGAGGATGGGGACGAGGAGATGAAGTAGACCTGGGCAGAAGAGGAGCCTTGCTTTTGGAGCCTTACCTTTCCTTTGACCCCGAATTGGCATGGCTGGTATCTCATGGCATGGGCGAATCGGGAGTTGGGCAGGAAAAAAGAATATGCTTAACTTCTTCTTCTCTTCGTAGTAAGGGCGTCATGGCGAGGGCTTAACGTATGAGCCCCCGAACTACATGATTAAGAATACAGACAGGTGTTTGTCCTCAAACACTGGATTCCCGACGCCACGCGATGCATTCATGTTTCATAAAATTACCCATCAAGCCTAAGAATCCACCACCGCTAGCCTTTCCACCTTTTCTATCGGTATTTCATCATAATCATCCTCGTGGATGTCCTTGCCAACAAGGCCTCCCTCCCACAGCTGCTTCCCCGAAAGCTTGACGGGCTCCTTCACCCTGGCCTTCTTCAACTCGGCAGCCCGTTCCTCCTCCTCCTGAATCCTGGCCTCTTCCATCTCTCTCAAGAAGTCCTTCCTCCACTTGAGGAAGGTCTCGGGCGTGACGGCCGTGCCGTGGAACTTCTTGTTCTCCTCGCGCTCGGCGGCCAGGAGCTCCTCCTCTTGCACCTTAGCGGCTATTTCCTTGCGCTCGGCCACCAGCTGCTCCGCGGCCTCCTTCAGCGAGGACACAAGCGTGAACACCATCGGCATGCCCAGGTTCTCTTCGATGGTCGCGTCCAGGTCGCGCAGCAGTTGCTCCTTGTCGTCGGCGACGCTGAAGTACTCGTGCACGCTCGCATTGTGCGGCGGTTGTAGGTCCAGGATCGGTGCCTTGTCCGGGTAGTCCTCTGGGCACCGCACATTCAGGAGCATCACGGGGGGTTCGCCTTCATCATCGAGGATGTCGAGGGCGATTGATATCCGATACTCGGTCTCGGAGATGTCTATAAGTCGTTTCTTGTCAGCAAAGCGACGGGTACAAGGTTCAGAGACATTACCGGTTATCTCGTCTGGGAAGATGGAATCGAGGACCTCCCTCTCCTCAATCTGCTCCTCGCGCCCCATCTTAGATTACTTGTTAGGTTGGCAAAGAAGCAAGTTAATTATTTACCAAGTAGCGCTTTCTGCGAAGGAGATATCGAGGAATCTCCTGCGTCGGTATGTCTTGGAGGGGCATCTCTGATAGTGGGGCAGAGATCCACGATTGACTTAGCGGCCCTCTCACCGCCCGGCAATTTTCACTTGCTCCGCTAAAATTTTCTGTCCCAACTGCTGCTTAAGAAATTCTCATTGGAGTTGGTCTAAGTCGTTGAGACTCTTGTCATTCTGTCATTTAACTCCGAACTCGTCAAGTCAACACGATGGGTATAAAGAGTGTAATTGCGAACGCGGGCGGTAAGCGCAAGTCCTCCGCCCCTGCGAAGAGCGAAAGACACGATAGAGCCAAGAAAGTCAAGCTCGACGCTCCCAAGAAGCCATTCCACAAGAAGGCTGCAGCCACAACCAGCGACGAGGGCGACTTCGACGGACTGTCCGACTCTGAGGATGGAGGAGCGAAACTGGAGTCTGCCTCCGATGTGAAGAAGCCGCGACAGAATCTCGAAAATAGCAGGCCTGGCCAGGACGCCAACGGCACAGGTTTGTTCACTCAGGTCTCCTAGCCAGTCCACCTCAACTGACATGATGCAGGCCAAACCTCGAGAGAAAGCCACCAGAAGCAGAAGCAATTAGCCCAGGAGCGGAAAGCCGCGAAGCCATTGGCCGACGAACTTCTCCGGACCAAGAAGATCTGGGAAAAGCTGCGACGGAAGTCCCATGTGGTCAAGGAAGAGCGGCAAGCGCTGGTGACCGAGCTCTACGCCATCATAACCGGCCGAGTCAAGGACTTCGTGCTCAAGCACGACGCCGTCCGCGCTGTGCAAACGGCGATCAAGTACTCGACGCCAGACCAGCGGAAGCAGATTGCGAAAGAACTCCAGGGATCGTACGCAGTGCTCGCCGAGAGCAGATATGCCAAGTTCCTCATTGGAAAGCTCCTCATCCAGAACGACACCGAGATTAGGGACATCATCGTCCCCGAGTTCTATGGCAAGGTGCGGAAGCTGATCAACCACCCCGAAGCTTCCTGGATTCTGGACGACATCTACCGTGGCGCTGCTACGAAGGAGCAAAAGGCCATTATTCTACGCGAATGGTACGGTCCCGAGTTTGTCCTGTTCCGGGGGGCATCGACGGTCGAGGGCACGGCAGATCTGTCTCAGATTCTCGAGAGCGAGCCAAGCAAGAGATCGTCCATCCTAGAGTATCTATTGGGCCTGATCAACCAGCTCATTCAGAAGAAGCTAACCGGCTTCACCATGCTGCACGACGCCATGCTCCAGTACTTCCTCAATCTCAAGCCGGAGAGCGAGGAGATGAAAGCGTTTTCCGACATGGTCAAGGATGACGAGAATGGCGATCTGTTGAAGAACATGGCTTTTACAAAATCCGGGGCGCGGCTTGTCTGCTTGCTTCTGGCCCACGGCGCCGCGAAGGATCGGAGACTAATCCTGAAGGCATTCAAGGATACTTTTCAACTCATGTCAGGAGATCCCGTTGCTCATGTCGTGATCCTGACCGCCTACGACGTGATTGACGACACCGTCATGATGTCCAAGGCCATATTCCCGGAGATTCTTGGGGACTCAGAGGACGGGGTGCAGAACATAATCTTCTGCGCAAACGATCTCAATGCGCGGAAAACAATCTGCTACATCTTCGAAGGTCCGACCAAGTCCCTCTTTCCCCCAAGTCAGACGGAAGACCTGGAATTCCTCAAGGAGGTGCACGAGATTCGGAAAACGACAAGCAAGAAAGCCCCGGAGATACGACGCAATGAGTTGATTGCCGCCCTTTCGCCGCAGCTCCTCGCGGCCATTGCAGCGGCACCTGCCGACCTGGTGTCCACTTCATTTGGATGCCAGTTCGTCGCGGACGCCCTGCTGTCCGCAGTTGGCGATAAAGAGGAAGCCCTTGGTGCTATTGCATCGACGGCTGCTGGGGACCCGGAAGAGGCTGTCCCGGAGGACGCCTATCCTCCTCCGAGGCCACATCTCTCACTCACCCCACACGGTGGCAAAATGTTCAAGACATTGATTGCAGGAGGTCGTTTTGACAAGGAGACAGGCAAGGTCAAGCCCGTTGACCCGCCCCTGAAGTTTGCGGACATGCTCTACCCCGTTATCAAAGACCACATCGTGGCATGGGCAACCGGGCCAAGCTCCTTTACGGTGCTGGGTCTGCTAGAGGCGGAGGATTTCTCCGACGCCAAGGCTCTCAGGAAAATATTGTCCAAGGACAGGAAGGCCCTGGAGAAGGCAGCACGCGAGGAGACGTCGGAACAGAAGGCTAAGAGGGAAGAAATGGAGAAGGCCGGGTCGAAGGAGGGGTCGAAGGGCAAGAAGTCCCAGGCGAAGAAGAACGTGTCTGTGGGGAATCTGGGTGCCAAGCTCATACTTGAAAAGCTATAGCTGGGAGCCTTACGCGGAGAGCGGCGCATGTTTTAGTGTTGGTCCTTGAGCTTAGACAGTACACGCCAAGGATGATAGAGCGACGGTTGGTTCTCTTGAATCCGATCTCGATGCAAACGGAAGAAATTGGGAGTTGCCCCACGCTGCTTTGACTTATGGATGATGTGCATGTGATCTGGGACAAGGAGCACGAAAGTAGAAGCAGCTATTTATGTTCCATGCCAATGATGCTGGAGGCTGACTCCTTTCGGTTGCAGAGCAGTCGGCCCATAAGGCTTGGGATGATTGATGCATGATGCATCGACGGTTCAGGGAAGGAGCAGCTCAGGATGGCAGCTGCAGCATCCCAGTTATTCGGGACTTGATAATGGAATATTGAATGCGACCTCGCTTATGCAGAAGCAGTTGTGGCAATGAACCTGTCGTTCTGTGTGTGTGGGTGTATATGCGCCTCCCCGAAACTAACTGACAACATGATTGGCGCAGAGAGGTCTTGGGAAGCACAGGATGCTCATTTCCACAAATTCACAAACTTCTCATCGCCCACACAGGTGCCATCTGTACCATCTCACAACAGCTTGGCCATTGAGTTGTCGTTGTTGTGGCTTGTGACGCAAATGATGCTTGTAACCTTGAGAGAAGCTATTTCCGAGAGAGAGAGAGAGAGAGAAAGAGAGAGAGAGAGAGAGAGAGAGAGAGAGAGAGAGAGAGAGAGAGAGAGAGAGAGAGAGGCGAGGCGATGCAATGCTGCACCTGTTGCTTCTGCAGGTGGCAGGAATGTTGTAGGTCAAGCGCAGAAGAAGCAAACGATGCTGTCTCTCCCCCTTTCGCTTCGACCTCACTTTTCCTTCCTTCCTAGTTCCTACCTATCTCATTTCAGGCTTTGTCCTAGATTTCAACAAGCACTCTAGTTCAATGAGAAGTGACGATCGACAATCACACTGAAACCTTCCATATCACCCCCATTCACTCCTGTCTTGAGCTTTCCATATTCGCGGGTACTGCAGAAGGGCAGGCTTTCACAGACCAGTTGCACTCGGTATCCTACCTACCCACTGCTCATATGAGGCTCTCTCATATGAAATTCTTCGATAAAATACCCCAACCCTTCCCGGCCTTCCATCACCATCACCTCCTCCCTCTGAGTTGACTACTATTGTATGGCTGGCATGGCATGCCACTCCCTTGGTTGATTCCTGTTTCTAGCCCTCCGATATGTGGATTGTGCCGCCGGGTATCAGTGGTACACCTGCCAGAGAGGCGGACAGAGTTATGCCGGCTGTTGTTCCGTAGACCCATGTGCCTTGCCGGGCTTCTGCCCAGTCGACAACCGGGAAGGCTCTGAGGAAGCCCCTGCCTCCACGTCCACCCGCAAAGTCGAACCGGTAACCGTCGTTCTAACTTCGACAACCCGCATGACTCTGACGACCACGAACTCTGCCGCAAAGCCGACCTTCTTCGTAACAACCGCAACCACCGAAACGGCAGCCACCGAAACAGCCATCACCTCGCCCAACGCCGCGGTCGCCCAGCCTACGGCGGTAATCCCGGTTTCTACTGCTCCTACCACCACAGCTGCGCAGGCCGAGGACCACAAGGGTAGCGGAATCCCAATGGGTGCTGCCGTTGCCGTTGCCGTGGGCGCCTTGATCGTCGCCGCTCTTGCTGCTCTCTGTGTCCGGGGCCGATGGCGGCGCAAGAATAAGAATGAGAGGCGCAAGGCAAAGAAGGGAAACTCTCGCGGCAGCCCCGACTCAGAGAAGGGATCCAGAGCCAGGTCCAGGGGCACGAGCTCGCCGAAGCCCCCGATCTCGCCACCGAGTCCAACTCATGTTTTTGACGAGTTTGGAGGCATGTGCCCCCCTTCTGATTGCCAACTATTACGCTTTCCATCACTTATATGGAGGTAACTGCTAACCCGCCCCTGTAGGGCGGTATAACGACTCCCACTCGCTGAGTCCGAAGAGCAGTGTGTACCGCCAGTACACTCGAACGAGCCACCGCAGCGCGGGCGACCACAGCACTCTAGTCAGTCCAATGACCCCCCGCAGCACCAACTCGGACCCCGTGTTCCGGCAAGAGCTCGACTCGACTCCGGTTCGCCGGGAGCCAGGCTCGGCACCAGCAGCCTCGTCGAAATTTATCACCCTTGCGGACATCATATCCTCCATGGGAGATCAGTCCAAGGCGGCTGCCAGACCGGAGCCACCCAAGTCATCCCGGAATCATGGCTCACGTGGCGCAACGGTCCAAGACCCCCTCGAACGGCCGCGGGCCACGATCAGAGCAACGGCGGATGAGCGCCGGTCCAAGACGTATGTGAACAGCTGGACCAGGTTCCAAAACGTCCAGGTCTAATATCGGGACGACCGATGCCCTTTCCACAACGGAAAAGTAAAAAATAATAATAGTTGAGAAATAGCAACATTAGCATAGGAAGGGGTTACGACGCATTTCATGGATAGGAGGTTGCACAAGATGTTAGTTGTATTTCAGAATTGGCAAAACTGGGGGGATATTAAGCTTTCTTTTCACTTTTTGGGCTTGACGTGCGCGGAAGGACAGGACAAGGGACAAGGTTGATGATACCCAGGAGCATCAACGGACGGCGCTCCGGATCTCCATGACTTTGCATGGTTTTGGTGTTTGGGAGGAGTTTTGCATTTACGCCCAAGAGAAATCACTCATTTTACAAGGGCGATACGACCCAGTGGGAATAGACAATAAACAGGGAACAGAATTGTGGGTGCGAAAGATGCTTCAATGCCATTATTTCTTTGCCTCCGGGGTATTGAACATGAAATCCGAGAACGACCAATCTTTGTTTCCCCCCTTCTGACCCCTAAACTTTTTGTTCCAGACGCCCTGCCATGCAAAATATATTTCCCTCAGACCAACGCATCCATCCACCATACATCCCTCTTGCCCATACCTATTAATTGGCCCTTTTGCAAGGCAAAAATGCCCAAGGGCACCGGTCTATGTGGCCATTTCTTGGCCGTTGTACGGCGCCCTATTTCTCGATCCCCCTCTATGGTCTAGATCGCTCCGAGTAGAGAGAGAGAGAAGACTGCAAAGTCGCGCACCGGGTTAAAAAATAGAGATCGGGCAGGTCCGGCGGGGAGTGAGGCCTGGATCTCCCTACCCGCCTTAGGTGCTCATGAGCTTCGCCATCTCGTCCAGAAGTTCCTGCAGATCGTCGTCGCTGATCTTGTCCGCCAGCGACGGTATGAGCGTCTTGCACTCGTCGGCGGTCTCGCAGCAGAGCGAACCTGGATGGGGGGTTCAGCAAAAAAACTTGGTAGTGATTTCCCCCGTCTACACGGGCACCGCGGTTGGGGAGGGAGGGGACCCTGACGCACCGATCTGTGCCCTCTCAAACTTGGTAAGGTCCTTCCTCGCGCTGAGAAGTCTCTCGACGGCCTCGACATTCTCCTTCTGCTTGAAGCGCGCGAACGCGTCGAGGTAGTCGAGCGTCTTGTTGAGGATCCTGTGTGCCGCGAACAAAGCCACGTCAGCGGGTAAGCCCCTTTCCCAGGTACTGCCCCACGCCTCGCCTCCTCCCCCTTCTCATCTCCCCCCGAGGGAAAATGAGATGAGGGGGGGGGGGGGGGGGGTTATAAGGAACTGGACGAGTCTATAAAACTACCTACTCGGTCTCGTTGCGGTCCTTGCGGTCTTTCCTCCGCTTGGTCATCAGCGCGTTGATGACCAGCGACGCCTCGGACAGGGTCAGCGTGTCGACGTCGTGGAATTCGCCCAGCCGCAGCGTCGTCGACGCCTCCTCCTCGATCGGCGGCGGGGGCTTGGGCCGCGACGTCGGCGCGTGCTGGGACATGGCTTCTTTCGCGTGGGGGTTCTTGGTGGCGCGGGAGAAGGGAGACGCGGGGGGAAGGGTGAGGGTCCCTATTCGGATTGAGAATTGATTTTACCCCCTCCTTTATTTGTTTTGTTGTTTGTTCTGGTTCCGCGGTCGCTACAGAAATGGTGATTTCCGCGTCGGGTCGGAGTTGGGGTCGGTGGTCGGCTGGGAAGATGATTGGGGTGTGGTCCAGGTAGGTTTCTTTTAGGGGAAATGTGGGGCCACCTTGATGGAGGCTCTGGGCTTGAGACAGGCTTCGTTTTCAGCCTCAGGATCCACCAAACGGCGCTAAATCTTAGCACCTAAATGAGATTACGTAATCACATATTGCTCTGAGTTGGCGGCCTGGTTGGTTGGAGATTTGTTTTCCTTCGTCCTCGGCGCGAGAATCACCGAGCATCTTCTCCTGTGGCTATCGTAGCAATCGTCAAGGGTTGGACCAGGCTCCTTAGACCCCCTTTATGCACGTGAACATTCTGCCCAAGAGATTACATGCACTCCATATCTTATTCAACTGTGGTCTTAATGGTTTCTATGGCTGGTAGATAGATGACTGTTGTACAACCGGATAGAATCGGTGGGTCATCTTGGGCTCAAGGCTCTGGTGTTCAGAGCTGTAGCTTGATGCTGGGAATTACCTTGTTACCCTAAGAAACCAAGCTGCTCTCTCTATCTTCAACGCTCTCCGCTGATAGAGGGTTGAGAAGCACAATCCGTTTTCCTTCCCAGATCGATGGCTAGCGACACCAGCGATTTTGGTATTTCGTGCGAAATGCGTCCCCTACTTGCCTCCCCCATTCCTCACCCAGTCCGCAAACTCCCGCCTCTGCTTCCGGATGTCCACAAAGCCGGGTCTGGTCTCGAGGGTCCGGAAGGGGTTGCCGACATAGCCCTTGCTGACCTCTCCGCTTGCGTCCAAGAACCCTTCATCTCCCTCCCGCTCGATCTTGCCGGCCCACACCCGCCACTGGATCGGCTGGAGGGGCGGGGTCCCCAGGACAAGGCCGAGGCAGATGACGGCGGTCGCGAGGACGGCCTCGATCGAGATGTCTATCGGCAGAGAAGCCGCGACCGCCGCCGGTGATGATGTCGATGCGATCGTGGCGGCGCGGAAGGATTGGAGGGCCGAATGCTCCTGCGCCGAGTAGCAGCTAAAGAATGTTGTTAGCTAGAGCTCTGGTGAGCGGGCTGGAAAGTCGCGTGGCTTACGCATGTGCAAGCAACACGAGGCCGAGGAATGTTGTGGATTTTGATATCCACGTCATCTTGTATTGTCGTCCCTCAGTCTACCCTGGAAAGCAGAGTTGTTGTGTAGGAATTCGAGCTTGAGCGAGAGCTGTTGTTGGCGAATTGGAGTTTCGTCATTCCCTGCTGGCTTGTCTTGGTCTCGTTCTCTCATCCAATCAATGGAACCTTGCCGAGAATAAAGTTATTCCGCTCCGACAACGATGCCGAGGTCGGGCGGGTGCCGTCTCAGAGCGCCCACCTGGAATCTTCATTCAGCACAGTATCGCCTCTGAAATATGGTATTATCTCGAAGGCTCTTCAGAATGACACAAGTTACGAACAAAGCAAGGGAAGACCTATCGAACCAATTCATGAAAGTGGCCCTCATGGCCTTGTTAAACTTGCATCAATTTCAGCGAGTTGGGCCAGTGCCGAACACAATGCTATTGTCACAACCCCTCGCAGCATCGAGTATCTCTCACACGTCTCGGGGCCATTTGCTTTGATGGACAACTACCCTTATTCTCTATTCCTGTCCACGTATGTACCCCGAACCCTGGAGTCTTTGTCTGAATCAAACATTGCCCAAACTCCAGTATCAATGCAACGAGGCGAGGTGCTAGATCGCGGAAAGGAGAAGAAGGCAGAGAAGGAAAGAAAGAAAAAATTGAGAGAAAAAAAAAAACCATTTCACACATTTTCCACAATCAAACCACACAAAACAACAATCCCCGACTCCATTTTTGAGCGCAAGCGCGTTCTTCGAACTAATTATCCATGGCCTGGGCGTCCACCCAGTTGTCGAACTGGGACGGCCCGTCGAGCGTCTCGACGTGCCAGCTATCCTCGGTGCCCTTGAGGAGCTGCGTGTGCCTCTCCTGCAGGAGGGTCTCGTTGAGCCCCAGCAGGCTTGCGGGGAACTGCCCGTCGTCGGCCGCCATGCCGCCTCCCATGTGGGCCATCTGCCACGCCTGCTGCCGCTGTTGTTGCGCGTCCAGGTGGCCGCCGCCGTCTAGCATGTAACCGCCGCCCCCGCCCATGCCGGGGTCGAAGAAGCCCCCCTCGGCGGCCAGGAGCGAGGGGTCGATGCGCTGGTCGAGGCTCACGGCCTGCCCGTGCGGGTGCGGGTGCTGGTGCGGGTGCAACTGGTCTGCATAGCCCTGCTGGTGGTGGTGGTGGTGGTACCCCACGAAGTCGAACCCGGGGTCGGCCTGCCCGGGCTGTTGGAAGGCCGTGCCCGGCGAGGGCGTCTTGCGCATCACGAGGTCCTCGACGGTGCCGTGCATCGGCTGCCTCTGCGGGTCGCGGAAGTGCGTCGTCTGGTAGTAGTGGCCCGGCAGGTCCCTTTGGTCGTAGGGCGCCGGCATGGGTTTCCCCGGGTTGCTGAAGTGGAAGACGGATCGGTTCTGGGGCGGCAGGCGTGCTCCGGCCGCACCGTAGTGCTGGTGGTAGGCCGATTGGGCCTGGTAGTCCTCTGACTCCTGCTTCGGCGTCCTGGTCCTCGACCTGTTTCTACTGGAGTCGGCACGGCGGCTGTCCCAGTCATAGTCCCCGCCGTCGGAAGCCTCAGCGTCGTCGAATTCTTTCCTGATCTTGGGCTTCTGCGGCTTGGAGGGCGTAAACTTGTATCCGGGGTGCGACTTCTGGTGGTTGTCGCGCTCGAGCTTGGCCCATTCGTTGAACTGGAGGCGGATGAGCTCCGGCTCCAGCGGCCAGCTGTCGCCGCAGACCTGGGAGACGACTTGGTGGTTGTGCTGGGAGCACCAGTCCTTGGCGCGGTTCTGGTAGGCTTTTCGGTACAGCATGAAGGCGTTCATTGGCCGCTTGATCTTGCCGGGGATCTTGCCCTCGGCGACTTCCTTGTGCCGCTGCTCGGCGGATCGGTTGACGTACGTCTCAATGTCGACGACCTCGACGGGCGAGTCCTTGGTCACCTCGCTCAAGGGTCTGTCCAGCTTCGGTATTCTCTTGACGGCCTTGGCCCGCTCCTTCTTCTTCGGAGTTGACTTCTCGACGCGACTGCTCTTCGGTGCCAGCGCCTTCATGCTCGACCTCCTGGTTATCGTGCTCCCACTTCGGGTGGTCATGATGTCCGAAGCCCTCGACGGGGTGGGCGGTGATGTCGCAGGCGTGCTGTATGGCAGGGCGGACTGATCCGCGTCAGCAAGGCACTCGCCGGCGGTCCGGACCCTGACCTCCGGGGGGGGGGGGGGGGGGGGGGGGCGGCGGGGGGGGGGGGCGGGGGGCGGGGGCGCG